TCGAATAATTGCCTGAATTGAACCTATTTAACAAACGAACTTTGTAATTGAACGAAAAATATCTCAATGATTTATCGATTGTCATTTTGTATGCCGTTTGTGTTTTCTATTTTGTTTTTCATTCAATTTTTAAAAGACTTCCGTTTGAACACTGTTAATACGTGCCAATTTTCAATTTTAAAACTTGAAATCATATAAACGGCCGATAAAAACGAAGATCAAGCGAATAACGAATATTGAATGTTTGTGTGTGTGTGTGTAAACCTAATGAAATTGGCGAATTGCAACGTAATTGCGCATGAAAATGAATAGTTTTACAATTTATTGAGAAGTTTGTTGTGACAAGCGACCGACAAAACTGATCGTATGCGCGAATTGAATGAAAATCGAGAATTTCATTCAATTTGTTTCGAATGCGATTGATTTTGTTTGGTGCGGCAATCTCACGCTTTTCGGCAATTCTGCCACCATATTTCATTGGCATTATATTGATGTTATATATATTCGACGAAGCATGAAAAACAATTCATGCATGTGCGCAAATGGAAACGCCTACATTTTACACAATTCGCAGCGTTCGGCATGACAATCAAGAAACCTGGTACAGTAAGAGACGAAGAAGCAGAAGAAGAAGAAGAAAATAAAAAAAAAACGGGCAAAACCAATCAAACACTTTGATCGGCAATTTCACAGAGAGAAATCATTTGTTTTGCGGTCGACATCTCTAGCCTAGATGAATTCTCATGAGATGTAATCTGGAATAAAATTTTAAATTTAAATTCTCTCAAGTTGTCGCGGTTTCTTCTGTCTTAAGAAGCCCGTGTGTTTAACCGCCTCCACGCTTTAGCATTTCTTACGATTTTATGTTTGCGAAAAATCGTTTCGCTGCGGCACAAAGCCGAATAGTTTGATTTTAGATGGAAAAATATTTTGTTAGTCGTACGTGACTTCAAATGACCATTAATGCATTGTCGATCGAACAAATTACACATATCATACATGAAATGGGCTATCTTGTAACTTCCTCAGCCGAAATATAGTGGCATTTCTCGTTGTTTTTCTGGTTCACAAGAACAACGCAGTGTGTGAGTGTGTGTATAAATAGTTCTTCGAACTCAATGGAAAGACCAAAACATAACGGACACAGACTCACGATGATTTTTCATATTTGTTTCGTGGTTCTGAGTGTTTTGTTGCCAAAACCACCTCAATTCGGTAAACCTAGCAATTTGTATGCTGAATTATAATTTTCTGATATTATAGGTTAAGTGTGGATACGGATATATGGGCTCGCGCTCGCGCATAAACATGAAACTCAAAGTCGAAAGAGAGCCTCAATCGATATGTTTTCTACGAAACCAAAAAAAAAAAACTTTTTTTCTCCACAATTTTTGTCGATTCATTCTACCCAGAGTTGCCAAATACACAAAGTACTCGGTAATAGAAGTGAAAGAGGAACAAAAAAAGTGAAAAATTAAAAGTCTGCCTTCACACATTAAAAACAAATTTTTCTCACGATTTTCGATATCTTTTTGTTTTATTCATTCTTTTGCTCAAGCTATGTGCAGTTGCTTTGGCGCGCACACAAATTCGATTTGATGCGCGGTTCACTTCAGTATACATGTCGATGGTTTGCCATAGCTTTGTTGCTCACAGAGACTCTTGATGCCCAAAAAAAATTCAACACTACTGCAGCGCAGCAGCGGCACAGAGAGTTATTGCATTTGCATTAAATGCAGATTAGAAATGATTATGTTTTATAAACATTAACTGCACCTCACGCTTCTCTGTGGTCAATTGTTGCATTTTATTTTCGATATTATTTGTAACGATTTCGAAACGATTCGTCTCTCTTTCTTTCACTTGTATTTATTGTATTTTGGCTGTTGTTATTTGTTGGCTGTGCATCGTGTCTGATATATATTAACGTTTTAAGCGATGAACTCAACTCTCTGACTAAACAATCTGCGAACACTTTGATTTCCAATTCAATGTTCTGTTCATATATACTTTTTTTTGTTGGTTCGTAAAGGCAAATCGAATAATTTCCATTTTTTTTCCATTTCGTTATGTTTGCTCATGGATACCACGTTGATTTAGATTTTTTTCTACCTCATTCTTCTCCTACTAATTTTTTTTTGGTTTGCTTCTCCTTCGTTAAATATTTATGTGGCACGAGGATTATGTAATTTTCAAAAGAAATAAAACACACTTTAAAACGTGCGCACAAATTTTGTTTTTTTTTTTGTTTTTTTTTTAGCCAAAAAAGCAGAAACAATCGTCGAAGACCAAGGAGAAAACCGATCGAACATTCAAAAAGGCATTCATAAATTGCACAGGCTTGGACCGATATATTGTCTCGTATTTGAATCGTTTCATATATGTGTGTGTGCCGGTTTTGGGGCAGAGTTTCATTGTCTCTTGTTTTCGTCTCTTTTTTGATTAAATCGCGATACAAAAGGAAATGACTGTTAAAATGGCACATTAATGTGTTGATTATCGATTTTTATTTCCTTTTGTTTACTTTTTATATTAAATAAATACGTTAAGAATTGATTTTTCTTTTGTTGAACGACACAAAATCAATGCAATTTTCTCGCTCATAACAATTGAGTACCGAAAAAAAGCCCGTCGAGTACAAGTGTAATAAATCAAGGCGGTACAAAATGAGCGCTTTTAGTATCCTTTTATATAATCGCCGAATGTGATGATTATTTGTCTTATGTGTCGCGACAACGAGTGAAGGGCATACAAAATCTTCTCATTCACTTTCACATGCAACTCGGTGTGGCTTTATTTTTTACGAGGATGATTTTCTTCAATGCAATTTCCTTATGCTTTTGATTCTTTGCGCTTTACAATTCAAAAAATTCAAGCTAACCTTGTATGCGCCGACAACTTTTTCCCGACGGCTCGAACTTTGTACGCTTTTTCTGATCATTGAGATAATAAATCATCATATTCCTTCTGGACAATTGTTTTGAGACAGCTGACATCTCAGCCAATAAAACAAACCGTCCACATTTCAAGTTCGACCAAGATTTTCACAATTTTATCACTTTCTGTGATGCAAGTGGAATTTGCTTGTCGTAAATTAGTTAATTTATCAATTTTAATGGCTACACATGCAACCGTGCCTGCCATAAAACACCAAAAGATTGATAAATGACATTGATAAAATGGTGATTGGTAATTAAAATCGCAATTCCACTTCTAAAAGCAGCGCACACACACACACCATTTTTCACAAATTCTCTTCATTCGATAAATGATCTGTACTGGCTTTTATGACACCAATAAATTTGCTGATTCACTTCACCGAATTTCGATTTAAAAAGAGAAAAAATTCGCGATGTGGCCGATAATTCACACACGGTAATCAAATGCACCGTATTTTCAATTCGGTTTGTAAGAGTTATGCACAAAATCTTTTATGTCATACCAAGAGACACTCACTATGGAAATTGATAAAGGAATTACCTATTTAAAACTGTGTGGTAAATCATTAAATGTCAAATCGATTTGTTAATTTATTTTGTCGATACTTCTCATATTTTTTTTCGTTTCTTTGCACAATCGATGCGGCGACCCAACCAATGACTTGATTCGGTTTGGATTGGATTCGATTCGCTTTGCCACTTTAAACGTGTTTCCTTGTTTGCAATAATCCGTTAATGTTTACACTTTTGAATTTAAAAACGTCGAGAGACTTTTGCCTCTTTGGGTTTCATTTAACATTGCATAATGTCTTAATCGCAAAAGTTCATCCAGACTCTCGTCAGTGGAATTGTCTCGGGGTTCAAATGCATGCACACGAATTTTTCTTTTGTTTATGTATTTGTGTCGCAAAGCATCCAATTAATTACGGGGAATTTGCAGAACTGGTAAATGGCTTACAGCTGATGCTTACAATTTTTAAAACAATGTCGAAATCGATTTTTGGAAAATGGATTTTTCATCGGGCCTTTTTTTCATACCACATTTTATTGATCCACGATCTAAATTGAAATTGAACAATGATTTTCTTGAATTTACACGATTTTAATATAAATTTCGAAAAAGTCAACGTATAAAAAATATGACGTAAAAGAACATCGCCAGAATCATTTATCATTCGGTGTCCGTATAATTTATTTTGTATGCAGTTGAAAATGAGATTGGTTCCAACTGGATTCGCTTTCTGGTTTTCTAGTAAAAATTCATTTCGTCGAAACAAAAAAAAAATTGTATACATTCATTTTTGCGATTGCAACCTGTTTAGTTTTCTTAATTGCGGTGCGCATTAAATTTTTTTCATGTGTATTTTTACATTCAGCCTCAATGCGCTTCATATTTTAATGGCACACTTTGGTAAATATCACTGATTTTTATGACACTCGAGGGAAATATACACGTTCGATGTTCTAAACAGAAAAACTAGTCAATTTGATTTTCAATTTTTCACACCGTTACCGTTTATTTTCACTCCTTTTAATTTACTCGGAAACTCTCTTTCCCTCGTCTTTCGTTCGTTATATAGGAGAGTGAAATAAACCCAAAGCACATGGAATGCAAATTTCCATCCCTTGTTTGTTTTCACAAAATGCAAATATTTAAAAATGGCGGGCAAAAGATTATAAATTGAGGTGGTTGTCAGCAGGAAATTATCAGTCTGAAAAAATCGTCGACACGGTTTGCATATATATCTTTTGCCAAAAAAAATTGTGTTTCGCCAAATTGAGTGGTTTCAACGGTTTTTTATCATTCATAATAACACGAAATAAAAAAAAACTTTCCAAATAGAGTCTGACATCATTTCGAATGAAGAGTTTCGCAAATCATCTATAATCTTATTACTCTGTTGCATAAATGAATCATTGATCATTTTATAAATAACTTTTTGCATGAAATAGAATATACACAATCAATGTTTGTTTATGGTTTGTTCGCTCATAATATTGTTTTGTCATGTTTATAATTTGAAAATGTTAATTATTTTGTCTTTTTATTTGTCATTATAGGTGCATCATCTCTAATCGCAGCCGTTTTCGCACAACAGCAACATCAACAACAACACCAACTACAGCAAACACAAGAAAATCTAAACGGTGAGGGAGCCTCAAGCAACGAGGCGCCAATACAGAAAATTAAAAGCGAACATTCATCATCAAGTATGCTGCTTCTTCAGCCGCAGGTTAGTTGTCAAACATACACCCAATGTAAGGGAAAAACAAAACAGTTATAATACTTAATAAGACTGTGCGAGTGAATTTCCGCGTTTTCCGTCTAAATTGAGTCATACACGTACAACAACAAACAAATGGCTCAATTCCACATGACTTGCCGTTGACAAATTGTCGACCATTAATTTCTCATCAAAAGGCGCGTCGACGATAACTTATTCAATCTAGAACCACTTGAGTCCACATTATAAATGGGCCATTTAACGAAAATAAGATTGTCTTTAGGCGCATTTATTCATTCAATTCTGTACACTTTTTTTTACTTCACCCGTGTTCTATTTGCTTTCGACAATTATTATATCTTCTAAAATCATTTAATTTTTTCATTTCCTCTCAATTTTCCTCCGGTTTCAATACAATCACCGATCGTAGAGGTTAATAGAGCACTCGATCGTGTGGTCATTGTGCAATAAAAAACAATGGAAATAAAATAACACATATATGAATGAGAAAGAAGAAAAACAACAACAAACCATCGTCGATCGTTAACGAATTTTGAATTGACTGTGTGCCAGCGACAATCAGACAGTGAACGAGCTCAAGATGAAAGCAAAAATTATAAGTTGTTTGGCTCATACAATTCGATTATTTTTTGTTGGCTATATCGCCAACCCACCAATTATGTAATTTTGTCGAATTGAATTAAATCGATTCTCATATTATTTCATATATTGAATGACGTTAACCGAAAAACGGCGATGCCGATGTTAAATCGCACAGAGAGAGAGAGAATGAACGAAAGAAATCCGTGCGGTATAAAAGTCAAAATAAATGATAATTCAATTTAATAAATATATGTTTGGTGGTAAAATAATCGACCGAACGATTTTTTTCTTAATGTGGTAATTTGTTTGTCGATGAAAATAATGAAAAAGAGCGAGAACGCAAATATAGTATATGCCGTTGTAAAGAACGCATTGTTTCGTTTTAATATTACATTTGGGCTAGACATCAACATACGAAAAATTCATAAATTGTTGCGTACTTTAAGACTTTGTATGTCTTGTATCAATAATTTATAGCGTTCAACAACTACATTTAAAAAAACTGTATAAGTTGCCACGAATTTTCACCACATAAACATTTTAATAAAATTACTGAATTATCAATTCATTTCAATGACAACGAGATCGCGTCCGTTCGTTTAATATGTTCACATTGAAAATTGATGGCGTTGTAATAATAATAATATTCATAATTTTTATTTTGTTTTGCATTAAATATTTTTCCTGTTTTCACAATATACAGACGACAGAATATGTACGGCCCATTTCTTTTTTGAAAGGAGTTAAATTCAATGACACAAGTCAAGTCGGTGCTTTTGTGCAATTTTCATATTTTAAGCGACGGACTTTTTTCTCTTGGTCTCTCTTCTCTCTCTCTCTCTTTCTTTTTCTCTTTCTCTCTCTCTCTTTGTTCTCACACAAGGCACAGCACATTACATTTTATCCCATTCAATCCCATTTGTATCTACTTTACGAGCATTGTTAAGAAAGTAGCAAAATGATAAAAATTGCGATGTAGATAAAGTCAGATAAAAGCAACAGCAGTAGCGAATTCGAAAACATTTTAAAGTATTCTGATGTGGTATAATCATTTTTTGTTGCCCATTTTGAAATCGTATTTCTTTCTCTACGACGACGACAATGACAGCGACACACACAAAAAACCCTATCTTTTATGCTTACCGAAAACAAACAAAAAAAAAACCTCTGCACATTTGTCACAGTTCGAATCCGACAAAATAACATTTATTGGACAGGTCTTGTGGATTCCATTCCGTATAAACGATTAATTAGCCGCCGCTGGATGCAAAGAAAAAAAACACCTTACCAAGTTTCAATATGAATGGAGAGAAGCGGGAAAAAGAGTTTTGCTCGAAACGATTTGTTATTTGAATTTCTGTGCGGCAATCCACGTGTTTTATTCAATGAAAATGATGGCCAAAACTACCGTCGCTCTACACCTATTTGCAATCGACAAGATCTCGATTCTCAGTACATATGTTTTTCATTCGAACATGTTCTATGACAATCAAATAAACAAAACAGTAAGTTTGCTTTTGGTTTTCAATCGTTTGGTTGCACCGATGTACGAGCGCATTCTTGAAATCTTTCCGACAAAACAATAAAATCGCATTAAGAAGCGCCAATTAGACACACTCATAAACATTGATACAACCATAAAAATAAAACAACAGTCATTTTGCTGCCGCTGCTACAGACAATAAATATCAATTGATTTGCACTCACAATATTTTTTGTAAATCATGAATCGAAACGGAACGGAAAAATCTGTTCCTCAGGTTGCATCTGCATCACTTTGCAGATGTAAACAGATAATTAAATATGTAAATGCTTGTTGAAATGAATGATTGGCTCATATGTTGGCACTTTATGAATAATATCGATTCGATAAGGAGTGTATTTAATATCGTTTAAAGCAGAAGAAAAAAAACGATTGAATTGTGTTTTCACAGTTCTTTCTCTTTCTATCCCTCTTTCTCTTTTTATTTCAATTTCATATACAGCAACAACAAAAAGTTATCGAAATGATATTTTTGATTTAAAACCGATTAATATACAATAATTTATAGATTTTCCCTCTATTAAAAACACGTTTATCTCTATCTATTTAACATTCATTTGCATAAGAATGGGAAATGATTACGATTCATAATATAACAAATGTTCATCTACTCGTCGTTTGCGCACACATACGTGTGGACGATTTTTCGTATTGCTCGAAATTCAGTTCTAGGTTTCATAAATCGTTTTTGATTTTTCAGTGAAAAAGTATATAGAAATTGTAAGAAAACGAAGCGACGGAATGATACATGGTTACATGTTTTTTTTTTCAAATCTTGAATTGATATTGCAAGCGCCATAATATTTAGATTTATACTCAATGTTTTTATTTTGTTAACTTGCTGCAAGCCGTCGCTATAAGTCAAACATATTCGATTTTTCTTCCCTATGAGATTCGGCGAAAGACATATACGCTCTATAAGGCCTCTCTATGGTAGTAGATCTATGTGCATTTTTTTTTCATTTGATTTTATCAATTAAACCGTGACGACATTTATTTCTTTCGAGTGTGCCATTCAAGTGGTGCCGAATGGTGCCATTGCATATATACTTTTTTTCTTTTTCGATAGCATCTTGAAAATCGGATCGAATCGATCTCACTTGAGTGGCTCTAGCAAGTAATCCATATTAAAACTAGATGCCAAATGAATCAAAACACCAAAGTGCAATCAGAAGGCTGATTTCGTTGCAATTCGCGGTGGCGCACATTCACTGTTTATGTACCAGATGTGAAATAACTGAATGAAAAAAAAACACAATAATTTTATTTTATTGTTTTCGAAATAATGTTCTCTGTGTGAGTGTGTGTGTGCTATCACTTTATGGTTCTCTTTCCTTCTATGTGAATCGAAGTATCTGTCGCGCAGCATAGTGAATATCTGATAATCAGATAGCTTATTGTTTGCTTGTTCTCGACAGGGAGTCTTTGACATTCGTTGTTCTCTCCTTGTTATTTCTTCTTCTTTTTTTGTCACAAACGATGAAAATATTAACTTATTTCTTTAATACAAAAATGATGTAAATATGGAAGACGAGCAACAACAAAACACGTATCGCAGCTCACAATTGACGATTAACTGTGTATATGAATCAACAAAAAAAATTGAAGAAGATGTGTTTATAACAATATTTAGTCGAATAATATCGATGAAATGATTCCCAATAATAAAAACGATGCGCTTTCATGTAATTCGTTCCTTTCGATTTTGTTTTCCGTCTCTTTTTCTGTATTCCGCTTCCTTCACTGCACATAGAGTCTCAAACTGTGCTATTGCAAAATATACAAAAGATGCAAGCACAAGTAAGCATTTTGTGCAATGTTTTCACTTTGATATGCTCCAACTCCAAGCGATGAACAAAATTGTCGACACAGAAAAAATTGTTCGATTGTTTGGCATCATACACTCTCTTCGATATCACAACATCCACATTGTTTACTACCACAATTTCTAGCCGTTTTTTCCCTTCCTTTGTATTTGATCGCTTTTCCTTTTATGCAAAATGCACTTAACGCGGTGACAACACGGTGAATAGAGAGAAAAAAAACTATAAACGAACTAACACCATATGAAAATTAAACATTACATCAGGAAAACAAACCGTCATGCTTTCAACGGCTCGTATCGCAAAAATGATGCAAAAAAAAGAGCAGCACACAAAAGAAATCAAATGGTAATTTGAAAGAAAGGCTCGTGCATAAAAACCGTATAATTTATTCCAGCTTTACAAATTAAACATGCGATTTATAGACGTTTAGCTATTATTTTAAGTCAGTTTTCTGCGTCGTTGTTGTTGTTATCGTCGTCGTCGCTTTTTTCGCTCTCCATTTTTGCCGTTCGATCAATTTCGCTCTCTCTCTCTCTCTCTCTCTCTCTCTCTCTCTTTCTCTGTTCAAAACCATTTGCCTTCGTAACGGTTTATGATATTTGCTATTATACCGTTTGAATTTTAGTGTTTATATGAAATTATGGCTCATTTTTCGCGGTAAGCATGCCATCAATATAGAGTACAGCTCATACATAACAATCTCTTTTGAGGAAGGGTTTTTTTCTCTTCGGTGAATCGTTCAACCAATCGACGTGGTGCTTGTATAAATCACCCCAGTGGAATTGATACTGTGTTGACTTGCGCATTTGTCAGGCACATTTCAAGTAGAATGAGAACCGTTTTTAATCAAGTCTTCGACTTTTTCATTGGTTCTGTATTTCGTTGAGTCTTCTGTTAAAAATACATACTGACGAAATGAGTTTAGGCTCCACCTTAAAAGAAATTAAGCTTATCGATTACATATTAAATACGTTCTTCACTCGAGCACTTTCTAGAAATCACTGTTCAGTTCGGAACTTCACGAATACCGTATTACAACACACTTCACATTCTAATAAATTGTATTTTATTTGTTTTATATTTCTATCAGACTTTTTCGAGTTCAGTTTCTTCATTTGATCCTTTATCATCATCATCATCAACATCACAACCACAAACGCAAGACCAGTTTCAGCAGCAAACATCACAGGCACAACAATTTTTCACAGATTCATCAGACATTTTTTCGGATATTTTATTCGGACAACAGCCGTCGGTGCAAACAAATCAATTGCATCCACCACCACCACCGCCACAACAACAATCGATTGACTTTAATTTTTCACAATCGAATCGTTTCGTTGAACATTCCAATTCGTCGAACGAAACGTTGATCGGTAACACGGAAAATTCATCACATTTCGGTTCAAACGATAGCATACCCAATTCATTGGCTCTTCCCTATTCGCATCAATCAATTCAATCGCAGCATTCGATTGAAGGTGAACAAAATAAAAAAATCTACTTCGATCGTGGTTCAGAGGACTTAAGCCTATTGACACTTCGATCGAATAGTGATCCAACAATTGCATTGCATAGCTTGCAAAGGGCTCGATTACAACAGCAACAACAACAACAACAACAACAACAGCAGCAGCAGCAGCAACAACTTGGCGTTGCATTGACAGATATTTCACAAAACGCGCCAGTGCCATCACAATCGAATCAGCCAAACGCTGCTCTATTGGAATCATCACTTCCAAGCTTTCAAGAAACTTATCCTCAACTTAAATACAATCAATTGGAAGCATTTGGTATCAAAATGGACGAAGATTGCTATATGCCACAAAATCATCAAGCCAACATAAATTATCATCATGGGCATCAACATCATCATGTTATGCATCAAGATCATTTCGATTATCAACAAAATCCTTCCCAATTTATGGCACAAAATTTTTATCCTACCTATGAACAGCAACAACAAATGGTAAGTTTGCATTTTTCTTTCAATAATATTTGTTTTCATAAATATATCCATTTTCGGCAAATGATTGGATTTAATTTAATCATTTTATTTTTATTATTTTTGATTCAGTACGGTGCGCCGATGACATCACAAGATAGTTTCTCATTGCCACCATTTCCAAATGTCACCGATCTACATGCAAATGCCAATCAACATCGTCGAGCATCGTTACCATTACAACGTTCTGAATCAACATCAAGTACAGATAGTTCAAAAACGACCCGCTTGAATATTCTGAAATCAATTCCGAGTGCTTCAAGTTCTGCTTCCAGTTCCCCAAATTGTATAACAAACTTATCATCGTCGGTTGCATTGAACAACAATGATCCATCGATTGTTTCACGTAATATAACGACCGTTGTACCGCAACCATTACCACAAAGTCCGTCACAATTGTGTGCAGTTTGTGGTGATACAGCTGCATGTCAACATTATGGTGTACGTACATGTGAGGGTTGCAAAGGATTTTTCAAACGAACCGTACAAAAGGGTTCGAAATACGTGTGCTTGGCTGACAAATCATGTCCGGTTGATAAACGACGACGAAATCGTTGTCAATTTTGTCGTTTCCAAAAATGTCTTACCGTCGGCATGGTTAAAGAAGTGGTACGAACCGATTCGCTAAAAGGACGACGCGGACGTTTGCCATCAAAACCAAAATCACCACAAGAATCACCACCAAGTCCGCCAGTTTCATTGATCACCGCATTAGTTCGGGCCCATGTTGATACAACACCCGATTTAACTAATTTAGATTATTCTCAGTATTGTGATACGGCTGCCGTTTATGATGCATCGATGACAGAAGCGGAAAAAATTAACCAATTCTATAATTTATTGACCACTTCTGTTGATGTGATTAAACATTTTGCCGAAAAATTACCGGGATTCACTGATCTATGTGCCGAAGACCAAGAACTTTTATTCCAATCAGCCGCACTCGAATTATTCGTATTGCGAATGTCGTACCGTGCTCAATATGATGAGGCCAAAATTACATTCTGCAATGGGATCGTTTTGCACAGGGTACAATGTCAACGGGCATTCGGCGAATGGCTTAATGGCATCATGGAATTCAGCCGCAGTTTGCATATGCTTGAAATTGATATTTCGGCATTTGCATGTTTGTGCGCATTGACTCTTGTTACAGGTTAGTTTAAAGCATTTATATTGTTTTCCCTTCAAATGGATGGGCACTTTTTTCTTTCGAATTTTTTTATGTTCACAATTTTGTTAAATTAAATTCTTAAATGCATGAATTTTCTTCAAATTTTATTGAAATTTAATTGTTTCTCTAAATTTCGTTTTATTTGCATCTCTTATTTTATAGAACGTCATGGAATCCGTGAGCCGAAAAAGGTCGAACAATTACAAATGAAAATCATTGGCAGTCTTCGTGATCATGTCACATATAATGCGGAAGCACAACGGAAACCACACTATTTTAGCCATATTTTGGGTAAACTACCGGAGCTTCGCTCACTCAGCATGCAAGGAATGCAACGAATTTTCTACTTGAAACTCGAAGATTTGGCGCCACCACCACCATTCGTGAATAATATGTTTGTGGCCAGTTTACCATTCTAATATGGAGCTCTCGTAAGCAACTTCATAATCGGCTGCATTTCAAAACCTCCAATGAATTTATTTTTATTTTCCTTCGATTTTAAAATCTTTTTTTAGAAATATTCTCCGTTTGTTTAAATTTCCTTCTGTGTAACTTTTTTTTATATGATTCACAAGTGCTTATCAAAGGATCGAGTACTATCTGTCAAAATATTTCCCCCTATGCCAAGCGAAATTAATTCGATATACGGCGCTGATGTAAATGTCACTCTGTCATTTCACAATAATACTTTTTTGGCTTGACAATATATAAGCTCTTCATTTAAAATGCATACACATTCATAATTATTGAATCGTTGAAAAAAAAAACATGTCATAAAATATTTTTCTAACATTTTTCATTATAAAATTTATTAAATTTTTTTTTTATAAAAAAATTAATTTGTTTATAAATTACAATAATTTCAACAAAAAATGTTTCATCGATTAAATAAGAATCCAATGTAAATAGTAATGACAATGCGACACCTACCGTAAAAATGCAAAAAGAAATTTAGTTGGTCTCCATTGTAGCATTTTTGTCCACCATGACAGCATCTTCGTTTTACTTGACCAATCACAGAGAAGCAAAACGAAGATGCTGTTATGGCGGACCAAAATGTTACAATTCCAAATAAGTTTCCTTTTCTATTTTAACGGTAGGTGTCGCATTGGTATTACTTTTTACATTAGATTCTTGTTCAATCTATGAAAAAAAAATTGAAATTATTGTTATTTTTAAACAAATATATTTAAAATATAGAGAATTTTTATGATAAACGTAAAAAGAATATTTTATGATATGTTTCTTTTTTTTACTCGACCGTTCAAAAATTATGCATGTTGAATGAAGAGCTTATATATTGTCAAGCCAAAAAATGTATCATTGTGGAATGAGATAGAGTGACATTTAAATCAGCGCCGTATATCGGATTTATTTCGCTTAGCAAAGGGGGAAACGTCGTACTCGCTCCTTTGATCTAAGAATCTTAGACGATTATTTTTTTTCTCATAATTTAAAAAAATCAACTAAAAAAAAGAAAAAAAATTAGTGACAAAAACCACATAAAAAACTTTTTATTTACTGAGTAAATGAAGAGTTTGACTCATGTAGCTTTAAATGTATAATTTAAAAAAAATATATATATCATGAGACTTTATGATTTAAAGAAGAAGAAGAAACCATGTTCCCTTGATTATACGCGGAATCTCTTTGGAACGAGCATTAAACCGAGTTGATGTCTTATAACAGATGTAGAATTTAACGATAGTAAGTGGAAATCCAATCCAGTTCTCAAAGAGATTTTGATGTAGTTTAGGAACAAATTATATATACATATATATATTTTTATAGTGATGTAAGATTGTGAAATCATTCAAAAACACACAACAAGAAATTCTTATGTTTTAAAGAGATTCAATTCTATTTGATAGGAATCGAATAGTTTTAGCTTGTGAGAAATAAATGTTTTGTGCAACAATATTTTTTACATTTTGTGTACTGAATATGGAATGGAGTGAGAAAGAATAAAAAAAATAAGTAATTGGATGATGCAAAACCATTATCTGAAATTGTAGCAAAAAATGTGTGGTCTGTAAAAATGACGACAACTGTAATTATTTACTTTTATATGATTTTCAAGAAACAATTCTCGATTTTTTTTTTTGAATTTATAAATAATAATACGTTAAGCTTTTGTGATTTTCCTTGAGTTCAATTTGAAGTTTTTTCTCTTTTGTGTATTAGTTATTAAAAATCGTATATTCTAAGAATTTCTTTTTTTTTAAATCTTTTTTTCACTTTAAATTTAAAAGACACTTTTTTCCATGTCACAGTTTAAGTTTATTCCTTTTTTTATAATTTGTTTAATTTTATTTATAATATTTTGTTGCGCAATCAATAGAGAAAATTAATATCTAAAATAATCTGCAATTAAATGAAGAAAAAAACATGCATAGCATAGAAAACCATCAAACAAACAAAAAATAAATAAATATTACTTCTACTCAATACAAATCAGAAAAATACATAGTGAATATTGTCCGTTTTATATAAGTGTGTTGTAATGTTATGTAGATACATACAATTTTATTTTGATTCTGTTATTAGTTTTTATCCAATACTGTTTCGATTTTGTTCCATTTAGTTTGCTTACAAACGTTTCTTATTTTCTATTCGATTTTTTTTGTTAATACAATTCCACTCGCTCTAATTTAAGTTTATTTTTTTTTTATTTTTCGCTGACTACTTTGATGAGGAATAAATAAGAAAAAAAGCATTTAAAATTCCATAAAAAATTCGTTGATCGAGTCCATTCGCTTCCGATTGTTTCGATTTGTACATATAAGCTGAACAAAAAACGTTTACTTATGCATTAGACAGGTATCAATAATTCACATATTGATTACGAACTCTTATTTGAAAATTGAGAACCAGGTATTTGGTTCTATTGTTTAACAACAACAAACGAAAACAAACCAATTTACCGGCCAAAACAAGATTGACGTCATCCGCATTCGTTTACTGGAAATTCTGACCGGGTTTTAGTATTTCATTCGATAATCGGACACTCAATTAAATATTCAATTTACTGAATCAGACGTTTCGTCTGGCGCACGGAATCACTTTTATTCGTGAAATCAAAATTATGTTCGATAACAAAGCGTGAGAGGGGTGAGTCAATCATTTCTCATAATTTCCTTTCAATCTTGGGACGCAAACCGACAAAATCGAATTCAATCACGTCTTCAACGGATAATGACAAATGATTTGCTTTTTTCGTAATTCATTGCTAGGGTGATAATATTATTGTCGGCTTTTTTTCAATCGAAATAATCGGCACCCATTTTCAGTGGCTATCGTTGACAGGCAAATTGCGGTTAGCCACATGTCAACACATAGATTTGCGTGAATTGGCCAATTTTATACCGAGTGTATAGTGAAGCCGGAAGTAGGGTTGTAAACTCAGTAGACCATCAAAGAAACCCAATTTAAACGCATCGATATTAAACGATCAACAACAGAATGCATATTTTAGAAGAATAAACACGTAGTCAGCGAAATTACAATTGTACAACGTTTTTTTTCACACTGCCTTTGTTCAGTTTAGTTTATTTAGTTACCATTTATTTGCCATTGATTAAATAATTTATACAGATATATACTCACATTCTAAATAAGAATTAATCGATTTAATGAAATGAGATAGTAGTTATCGCAATTAGTTGCTTGGATTTTTTTTTCGTTTTTTTTTTTTCATGTGCACTAGAAACAATACATAATTTAACAACAACAACAACAAAAAAAAAAACATTAGACATAAAACTTAAATGTTAAAAATCAATATTACAGATTAATTAATGAGATCAAATCCCCACATCTAAATGAATAAATAATTCAAATGAAGAACAAAAACCGAATACTTTTCAGTTGATCCCGCCTAAACAAGAGAACAAGATAAATGAATGTGAGACAAAACATGTGTGTCCAACAAAGCAAACAAAAAAAATACTCACACAGACACACACACGAATTCATGAATGTTGAAGAAGCAACACAAGTGCCATTTGAATGAGATATTTTCATATTAAAATATGTGAAACAAAAATAAACAAAACTAGATCTGTTGACTAAATTTACAATACTATGATGCTTTTATACATTGTGTGTAAGAGAGAACAATTTCTAGATTTAGTACACAGATGAAAATTGTACAATCTGAATATACCTTTATATATTTTCTATATGTATCCAAATGAAATGGATTGATTTTCAATAATTAATGAAAAACAAAACAAAAAATACAGAATGAATTTTAACAATTGCCTTCTATATTTTGGACAAAAAAATATATATATGATATTTTTTCGCGAACTTTTTCACTGGTTAGAGCTTGGCGAATGCAAATGGCATCATTGTGATAGGCAAATTTTTTGTATTCTTTTTTGTAGAACGATGGTTTGCATTTAATAATGTGCCGTAATACAGAGAGTATATGCATCAAATAGGAAACTGTATTGCATTTCAACAAATGACATTTTTTTGTTAAAAATAAGGGATGGAGGGAAATATGAGAAATTTGATATGCAAATGACACACATCGAAATATTTTTATCGACTCATTTAAAATTTCATTTATTGATTATTCTTGTGACCAAAAGGAATTTCAATTCTCATAAATTTATTTGAACGTTTCAAAATGAATCAAGCTGATCCATTTGGATCGATTTCATCAATGGTATTTTGACAAATTAACCGGAAAAAGCGTTGAATAACAACGAACATTTGAATTGAAATGTATTAAATTTTTAAATGATATTTTGGCTTTGCAAATTTTTACATTTTTCAAATAATTTGATTCGAGAGGCCGTTTTTCAGAGCGATATACGTGAGAATGAGCGTTCCTCCTCACATTTATTGCTCTAAGAAACCTTCTTACTCACGTCCTCCACTCCAACGAAATTCAATTTGTAATTCGAAAGATGAATACGACAATATGCTATTAAAAATAATATATATAAATAAAATTGTCGTAGTGCATATATTTTGTCTCTGTCAATGTTTAGCTGGTGTATCCAATAAATATACTTTTGTTTTTCATTTTAAAATAAATCATGCATTTTTTTTGCAACAATCATTAAGTTCAAATACAAATTAAAAAAAAAAATCATAAAAAGAAAACATATCTCTCCTTCAAACCCCTCCAAACAAACATTTTATGAATAGGATTTAAAATGGTTGAAAACAAATCTAATAATGCACTTGCTATCTCATATAAAATATATATTTTTCTAAAGGAATGTATCTAGGTGACGCAATGTAATTCGAGTATATCGATGCACAACTCTTTTTTGTTGAGAATGGACAGGAAATAGTCTCTTGCGTCGATATACATATTTTTACGAATTGCATTGACTTAATTAATGAATGAACAGTGTAACAGAGTAATTGTTAAGTTCAACAAAAACATGCACTTAATTATTATTATTAAAATTATTTAGCTAAAATTAATGAGATCCCCTTATACACAATATATATCTTGTTACAATTAAATAAAGATTATTTCAAGCAAAAAATCATTGCATTTTATTTTAGAACCAATATGTTAATTTCATTGCACCTTCAGCCTTTTGTGTGTTAATTATGCTGGCTTGTCGAACAAGATGTCGCATTGATGGTCGACGCTGTCTTGCGTCCAATGGTGTTTGTTCCGTTTCGGTCATTCCGTCCGGCTCCATTAATATGCTGCCCAGTGTATGCAATTCTAATTCTGGTGGCAAATTATCAATATTCTCATAAGATGCATCATTTGACGGCTGTGGCCTGTGAAACGCATAGAGTTTGAAATGGTTTTTTTGTTCATTATTTTAGGTTGATTACCTGATTGGAATACATCGAAAACAGTCCTGTAAATCCCATTCTTTGCCAAATTCTTCACCCTCTTTAAGTATATGAAAGAAAAATTGTCGGAATTACTTTTGATGTCTGATATGTGACAAGAGGAGCGGTCTCACAAGCCGGAGGAGCACTGAGTAGATCACCTCCTCCGTGAGAAGCAAATTATTAAAAGTTAAAAAATCTATAATCATAATATTATAATTTTTTTTTCATCTTTTTTTTGAGAAACAGTCTCTGATTTCGGAGAATATTGATTTAACTTGTAGAACAATCAAAACTGACTCCTTGGAAAAACGTTCAATCTATCGCCTCAAGTATGCATACTGACCTTCAAGTGTTTGTGGCAAACGATGATGCAAGGTCTCAGGTAATCGTAATCCAGTTATTCCACCGAAAATCGATATGAATCCCATCACGACCAACGGCAATCGTAAATTTTCTTTACCCTACAGATCGAAAATATATATGTGAAAAGTGAAAAAGAGTATGAAACGTACTCATACCAAATAATTGATAAACGGAATCACAGTTAAACCAAGTCCTCCTACATAGCTGGAGAGAGCAATTTTTACTTTAAAGTACACACTGTATAGTATATTTTTATGTAACATACGAGGATGTACCGATACCGACGCCTCTCACCGACGTTGGATATAATTCACCAGCGAATGGATAGATTATTAAATATGATGCTGAAATCATTGTTTTCGACACCAAAAAAATGATCAAAGTCTCCAAGGTGGCTTCATCCGGTACCAGAACCGTTATTATGGAAAAAATTCCACTAAACAAAATTTTAATGTAAAAAAAGTAGACATTTTCGAAATTTCTATGTTTCACGGGCGATCAGATAATTTACCTCAAAATCATGAGCAAACACAGTGGCCAACGGCGACCCCAACTGTCCATAATGAACCAACAGCACAAATAACTTGGAATTTCAACTACAGATGATAGGAAAAAACTCAAATGCTGATCATCACCCAAGGATGGACCGTAGTAAGACAACCCGAGGTACACCGTTTCGTTTGCGAACCAATTCAGCGTGATTAACAGAGTTTTTAGACGCATATTGGGTGTTCTATGAACATAAGATGGTTGTAAACAATTTACTTTAATTACAAAGAAATACCCAATTGGAATATGTGACAGAGAGTATTCCGAATGATTTACCTGCATAAATCGAAACTGTTCAGCGATTTGACGTTCTCCTTCACACGCATTTTATCTGCTTCGACACGCTCATGCAATTTTATACGAAAACTATTCGGTAACTTTTTTCCATTGACTCTAGCCATAACTTCCAGTATATTTAAAGCTTCTTCAAATTTTCCTTGGGCCAATAGCCATCGTGGACTTTGAAAAATTGACAAACAACGAATAATCAATAAATAAATTGAATTTTATGTTTTAAATAAATTATTTTCATTTTGTTTTGACAAGTTTTATATCGTTGGTTGAAGAAAATAAAACACACATACCTTTCTGGCATAATGAACAAGTAAAGAAAATAGAGTATAAACGGTGTCGATGTGTATAAGCACATTTCAACCCAATTCGGCACTAAATATGTTACACCAGCTAACATCATAATGCCAAATGTATAAAATGTGCAGGTCATCACCGTAACAAATGACCGATAATCTGGACCAACTAGCTCCAAAGCTTAAGAAATTGATGACAAATGTTAATTTCAATGCAAAATTAAAATGGTGTTCATTTACCGATGATAAATGGAATTTGATAAACGGCCGGAATGGTTAAGCCAACGATTACTCTTGAGAAGCACCACATCCAAAAGTTGACACTTGCAGCGGTGATAAGACTTCCCGCGATCAATGTGGCCAAACATGCAAAGTATGCAATTCGACGTCCAGCTCGATCGTTCAACATCCCAAATACATAAACGCCAATTGGGCCACCAACGTTTAAAGCACTTAATCCAATAGTTGGATAGATATCATGATCGCACACCAAATCAAACTACTTAAAATATTTTTACAACAAATAAAAGAGCAATTGGTTAATTTAGTTTCTCCGTTGTTTCACAACGTTCAGTGTTTCGAATAATTCCTTACATCGATTACAATTGAGGATGTCACGTGTGTTTTGTTATACACCCATCCGTTGCGGCACGATTCGGTCGGCCATGATATGTTCGGTTGCAAGTCAATTGAATCTGGGTCAGAGATATTGAATAAGTTTTCCCAATCGATTGCATATCGAGCACATTTGCTGTGTTGCATGACACCATTTTCCTTTTTTAAATAATAATCAACATTTAATTACACAAAACGTATCGAAAAACCAATTCGAAATGGAAGTAATTAAATATCGAGTAGCTCACCACTGTACTTGGTATGGCCAAGTTTCGAATTTGTTCTTCGGTCAAATTAAATTCACTCAATTGTGGTACATTACACCAAAAATCATCTGGTGTATCAGTCATAAATAATTGATTGAATGCACAAAATCCGCACGGTATACAGGCCGGTAAACAAATGAACCACAGCAACAGCTTTTGATAACACCCAAATTCACCCAACACAGGAAGCAAATCGTCCAAATCAAGCGGTTCCTTAATAAATTTGATTAGATTTTTATTTATTTATTGTAAAATCACCGATTTTGTTTCTTTGTTTTATCAGGCACTTACATTTGGCGTCACATTTTGTTCAAGATTTAAATTCGATTTCCGCGATTCGGTCATCGCGAAAATAAATTGCGTTTACCCTTTGTATGAACAGAGTCAACTTACTTTCGACACCACACAATACATTCTAATTACCTTAAAGATGGAATAAAAGCGTGTGACATTATTTCCGAATGAACATTTTTCTCTTGTTGGACGATATTGGCAAACGGATTTAGTGAATGTGCACCTTATGTAAACAAATGCAACAGCAGTATCAATAACACATATTTGGCGCAATGTGGAATTGTCGTAACATTGGTGGGATGCCATACAAGTGCTAAATCGTCGATTCCAAAATTGCATTCGTATGCAACACTTGATTGTAAAAGGGTAACAATTGTTGTGGCTATAAAAAAAACGACAACAGCAATTTTGCAATTGAAGTCACATCGGTCAAGTAAAACAAAGTGCTGAAAACAAACTCCAAATTTTTTCATTCTCATGCAGTCATTTATTTGATTTATTCATCAGCATTCATAACATTTTGGTACATTTTTTTAATGTTTCGTTTATCATTTAGTTTCATTACACATAGATTTACATTCATCTAATTTGTTTGTATGTTGACTACGAACATGTCATAAATTTTACACATTTATTCAATTTGACTTAAATTTATTTTCGATCGATTAAATCACACAATTTGATCATTTGTTTGTTTTGTATTATGAAAATAGTTTGTTATTTTATTCGCAATTTCACAATTTCAACATTCAAACATTTCAAAAAAGAAAAACGGAAAGAGAGAAAGATGATAAATATTATTATATCAAAGATGATACCCACAATGGGATTAACAAGTGAAACTACACAGACTTCACGAAGTTTGAGCATTTGATGATGAACACCGCCATAAAAGTGAAGCGGGGTGTTCAATGCCGAAAAAATGGCAGATTATTAAAATCACATTCATGCATTCAGAATTGGTTTTTCTCACATTTAGATTTGTTAGTATTATTATTATTATTTTTAGTATGGTCCACGTTCATTTATTCACACAATTTTAATTTGGCTCATGTATTCATCATGCAATCACAATTTGATTATTATGTAAAGTGTTTTTGTTTTCTATTTAGAATTTCAAAAGGAAAAAAAATGTGTGATTGTGTGTGTGTTTATGAGAATGGATCATCTTAATATCATTTAATTTATTTGTATTTTGTTTCTCTAGTTTAAATTAATGCCTATAAAACTAAAAAAAATCATTTAAAAATTGAGAAGGCTTAAGTAACATTTAAGTTTACTGACACATCTTTTATGTTTTTGTTTATTATTATTATTTTAAATTACATTTCCCTATGTCAAGAGGAAAGATTTTAATGGCGCTGATCATTACAGCTAAAAATACTTTATTAATTTATTTTGTATTGTATTTGTTTTTGACTTTGCTTTCAATTTAGATATTACGAAAGCCTTCCCAAATCACAGACTCGTTCACGATTATTTTTTTTTTTTGCTTTTTTATGATTTTTTCTCTTTGTTTTGTTTGTTTTCTTTGTTATTGTTGCTAACTCTTATAATCTAATTTCAATTGTAACGATTTCACTCAGATTTTCTTCTCCTTCTTCATGATACATACTATTTGATGGAACAAACAAAAATTCATTTGCATATCACACCCACAAAATGATATATATATATTATATATATGTGCTCATCGGGAGCCAAACATTATTTTCATTCAACAAAGAGGAAATTGCTGTCAAAAATACTATTTTTAGAATCACATAAACCGGGTTAAATTAGCAAGAAGCGAAAGTATGTTCGATGTCAGCGACACCGAAAATATCATCATTTCCATGCTATTATATGCTTTCGATGTAGTTCAGGCGTAAGATGCAACAAAATTGATTTATTGCATTTGGATATGTCGACCAATGATAATAATTAAAGTCATGTCAGAAATTTATTATTTAATGCAAACATTTGAGAAATATAAGATTATGATGTGCGCATAAATCGCAGGAATGTTATCGTATACAACAAATGTTGTCACCTTGAAATAAACAACAATTTTAATTTTGACACGGAATTTTTATGATATCATTTTTGAACAAATAAAAAAATGTGATTTTTTTCCTTTTGAACACGCGATTTCTCTCTCTATTTTTCTCGTCTCACATTCGACAACAATCGCACTAATAATTAAATGTATTTGATCGAAATGATTCTTTCAATTTATTTCCATGGGAAAACCATAAATTACGCCGTTTTCTTTTTGATCATTTTTTTCTTCTTCTAATTTATATCCAATTATTCGAACAAAATAAGTGAATTAGTTGAATCGTACATTGTCTAATACATAAATCGAATAAAAAAACAGATGTGTGTCAAAGAAAAAAAGAAATGAAAAATTCATTTTTTTTTATCTTATTTGAATTTAAACAATTGCAACGAAAAAACCGTCACTTAAAAAAATTATAATACAATAATGTTTATCTTTTAAATATCGCGAAATTCTTGTGTACGATTCCACATGTACGATTTATAGTTAAACTTGTGTTTGTAAAAAATGGCAAGAATGTTCATTCACTTATTTTGTTTCGATAAAATTATTGTATTTGATTCACAATTTTTTGAGGTTTGTAGAAATAAACAATATCGTCGCTGTATCAAAAAGAGAACAAATTTATGATTTTCACATTGTGAAGAAAATTAATCATATAATCTAAAACACAAAGCACAATTAAAGACCAAAAACGGCATTTTCTTTAGATTATTACTTTCATCAGTTAGTTTCAGAATGAATTTCTGCTTATTGTTTATCCAGTTCGATTTTAAAAATATTTTGGTTTTACTCGATAATACTCAATCGTTCATGATGAGTTTCTGTTTGCTCCGTTGAAATTCGAGGCGGATCGAAACTTAGCATGGATATGATGAGCTAACAACTTGAATTGTCGTTGGTCGAATTATGTTGAACTTGTTTCTTCTGTTTTTCATTATCTGGTACAATTGATTAAATATCATTTTTGTTTACGTTTGTCTTATTTACGTTGTAAGCGTATTTCTTTGGAATATTCCTAACAACAGCCGTTTGTGATCTCGATTGTTTCATGAGATTACACACTAAATTTTATTTTTTTGTTTAATTGTAATTGTATTGAAATTTGTTACCATTATTCATTTTAAACGTATTTTAAGACTCTCTCACATTCAATAACACCTGCGCTCATGTGTTTTTTTTAAATCTAGGCTTGTTTTATTTGCTGTAGTTTTGTCAATCACATTCAACTTACATTCTGAGGCACTCATTTACTTAAGTTGCTTCGAACAAACGAAAAAATACCTCTCCCGCAACAATTCTCTCTCTCTCTCTATCTCTTTCTCGCTTTTCATCGCTTGGTTGCACGCTAAACTCTCTTATAGTTTAATGTTTCTTGTGTTTTCATCATCTGGTTGCTGTATATCATTTACACTGTGACTTTGGATTACTTAAAACACTTGCGTACAAATAACACATTTACAAAGATTCATTTAAACACAATTGTTCTCCTGATTTGCCCCACTTAATACTAATGAATTGTTTTGTTGGTTTGTTTTCTTATGCGATGTATATTCTAGACTTTTTATTTGATTTACGTTTTTTCATTTACACATTAAACGAGATTTTTTTTTTAATTTTTTAAACATAATTTTTCATTCAGTCATTTATACAATGTTTTATTTTGCTATTTTTTTTGTAATGATTTTTGTATGGATTTTGTTTTTTTTTTTTTCATCAAAAATATAGGCGATACATTTCACTCCATTCATTCGAATAAATTGTCGAGATGATGAAATGAAGAATTATTTTTTTATATCTTTCTCACATTCTGCGTTTAATAAAAATGAATCTTCGTTTTTACCATATTTTGTTTCATTTGTATCTGTCTCGAACGATAAAAATGAAGACTCAATTCCATCGAATTAATATCGGAAGCACCATTCAATAATGTTTTTGAATAAAAGTAAAAACTCATTAAAAATTGCCAAGAATTAACGGAAAAAAATAATCATTTTCTTCCTCTTAATTAAAAAAAATTCGATGGAGTTTACTTGTACAAATTTTTGTTTGTTTGATGGAAAGTGCTTTGAAGAAAAGACGGTGAATTCTCTAGGCGAAATGTATTGAGGGGACACGGCCCCATGCGCAAAAAATGCTCATTCATAATTATTTACAGTCTCTCTCACTTTCATTCTGGTGTTTGGTTTTCAGTTTGCAATATACTCACGTTCTCATGTTAAATAAGATTTCAGTCATACAAAATACATACAAGATTCGCTGTCACACGGCATACATACAATGAAAAAAATTCAATAATAGCATTTTTCACCCTCAGACACGCAAAATGCTCACGTTACCCATTCTCGCTCTCTCTTTATCTATCTTCTCTCAAACTGAAACAAAAGCATTCACTCTTTCGTTCACGCTTAATCATACACATACACACAAATTTTCTGTTAAGATTTTCATTTGCTCAACGCATATTATTTTTTTTTTTTTGATTTTCTTATTAACTAAAAATTTGTGTTATACCACTTGAACAGAATTTTGTTTAAATTATTGAATTTTGGTTGTTGGATGTGTTGATGTTCCATTCACCAATGGGCCATGGATGTGGGGAGTGAAGCCGATGCGATCTAATGCACGCCAAATAAGCAGCAATACATTTATTGTTTTGTCTTCATTGATAGGTCCAATGGGTTGTTGTCAATAGCTGCTGGTTGAATTCGGCTGGAACAAATCTATTTAAGATAAATTCAAAATTTACAAAAATAAAAACGACAACTCACAAACATAAACGCACACAAAAATAAAAAAAAATACAAATCGAAAAAATCATGCAAAAATGTTTGAAAAGTACCTACCAACTGCTGGCAGCGATCTGTTGGATGGGTTGATCTCGTAGCTTTTTAATCTCCTTCGAAGCCCAGCTTGACAATTGTTTCGTGCGTGAAACACGAGATTTACGTCCTTCTTGCAATAGCTTACAGATGTGTTCATTGTCGATGAATGTAAGCAACGCTGGACCGAATGCACTGCATAGATCGCCAACCAAACCAGCCATTACAGCTGTGATTGAATCATTGATTTCTGGATCTTGGGCGATTGCTACAAGATATTGAATCATGTGCGGTACATGATTTTTGAGTAGATCAATATCTGGATTTGGTGCACGTTCGGTACCCTTAAGCCCTTGTATGATGCCTGTATATGCTTCCAATACACTTTCACGTAGCTCATTCAAGTATTCAACCAATTCATAATCGTTTGTATCAACTTGCAATGTGGATGCTTCTTGAAGCATTTGAAGAACGATCATTAAATATTTCTTGAAATCGGTGCCAATGCCCAATGCCATGTCACCGAATGCTGACAAAATTTGCGGTTTGATGTTACGATGCAAATTTGGCAAACTGAGATTTTCCAAAAGTAATGTCATGATCTCATCACAGTATGGTGCGATTTTGTTGCGAAGTATACGACAAATGTCACCAGTTAAGCCAACAGCAGCCACACATACTTGATGTTCTTGGTGATTTTTCAATCCCATGTACAAATATGGTTTGAATGCATCCATGTATTTCAAGAATTTATCATTTAATAATTCGGCCAATGTGGAAACGGCCATCAGTGCATCTTCTTGTACATTGCCCGATTTACCGGCACTGGTACTGAACATGGTAAGCAATGCACCCATAATTGCATCACTGATTTGTGGTGCATCTTCTGGTGTAACACGACGCAATACTGATTGAAGTGTAGCACACAAAAGTGATTGCAAATCGTTGAATTGATAGCGATCGCTGTGTGTAATCTGTGATTCCATTTGGAGCACATGATTGAGACGTTCAAGAACGACCATTGTTGTCTTTTGAACAACGGCATAACAATCGTTTGGTGCATTTTTAATCATGTCCATCAATGCTTCGTAAGCGGCTGCACGCAAATTGGCTTGACCACAATCCTGTCTATCAGTTGTTTCCAATAATTGTTGTACGATAAACTCGAAATATTGACTCAAGCAGTTTGTCTCTTGCATACCTTCACCGTTATTCTCTGGATCGGCGGCTGCTTCAACCAATCCAGTAAAGGCCCAGCACACATTGGCCGCAACACGTGGTTCGGCCTTAAGACCCCGAACGAGTGCTTCCAATAATGGTTTCAAGTATGCTTCATTTATAGCGGCCGATGGGCATAATTCACACACTCGACCAAATACCCAAGCAGTTGTATCACGTACCGTTACACTTTCGTCATACATAAGTTCGATCAATGTTGGAATGGCTTGTTCAACAAGCGGTTTTGTTGTGGTTTCATTGATACCACCCAAAATCGAACCGAATGACATGAGAGCCGCATCACGGAAACGCCAGTTCGGTGATTTGATGTTGTCTTTCACAAATGGCAGTACAAATGGTACGATGTCTTCTTCGCAACATGATGATAAAATCATAATACAAACACTGGCTGCTTTTGACGGATTCCAATCGTCTTCGTCATCATATTCCTCTTGTTTGGTCAATTTTTCCATGAGAACAGGCACCAAGTATTGCAAAGCACCGCGTGCATAGAATTTCGATACACGAGCCGGTGGTCGACCATTTTCTGTTGCCTCTTGTGTTTCAATGCTTAAATCGATCTCTTCGTCGCCAACGTTTGACCAAAATTCAATTCCTTGCAATGCCACTTGATCGTTGTCCGATTTCATCGCTTCCAATGTGATTGGGAATAGAGCTTGGGCCATGTATGGTTCCATATATTGATAGTACAATGTTAAAATTTTTACCAAACATTGTAATGCGGCCACAGCGATTTGTGAGTCGGGACTTTGTGTCGATTCGCACACCACTTCCATAATGTAATTTCGTTCAACTTGTTTATCGAAATTTGCTTTTGTGAATTCGAGCGAATTGTGCAGAGCATTCGTTGCGGCTAAACGAACATGATTACTTGGCTCGTCTTTACGCATTCCAAAAATAATGGCGGTTAGAATGTCATTTGATTGGCTCTCCAAAACACCAGGTGCAATGTCCTGACAAATGTAACCTACAATTGAAAAAGGGCAAATCAAACAAATGTGATTAGAAAAATTGAATTTTGTATTTAGAATCGGTAATTTTGATTGTTTGCCATCGACTTACCAATGGCTTCTAGAGCCGATTCACGTGACCGTTCGGTCGTATTTGCCTCGGTAACTTTGCGAACCAAGATTGGTATACATTGTCCCCACAGATTAACTGGTAGTTCAGCAACTGCAACTGATGCCACACATTGTGCGGCCGATGATGGGCGGGCAGTTTCCGTACCAATTGCTTGAAGTATCTGTATTAAAAAGAAAAATACAATTTAATCGACTGTTGGCATTTGAAACTCAATTTCAAAATTGATTTGATCGGCTAGCTCATATCAAAAAAAATTATCAAAAAATTGGCATTGATACTCACGTTATTTTTTATGTATTCTCGTGTTGGTTCCGGAAATGATAGCCATCGATTGTGATATTGTTCGGTGATGGTGGCATCTTTGCTCGTGAGATGGTTTTTCAACTGAAGACCAGCTGCTGTTCGTGCTACGGCGCTACAGTTTATATTGGCCAACACCTCCGATAATGCCTTCAGAAATTCAGAAAGATTTTGCTGTGCTGCATTTTCCAAAAACGTTTTTGCCGCCAACAATTCATTTTGGTCTGTGTACGTGTCGCATAAAGAAATAAGAGGGAAATAAAATTAGTCGATGCGATAACAGAATATGAAAATAGTTTGTCGTCAAACGAGTATTAGAGAGAATCACTCAAAGAGAGTGGGGGATAGAGCAAACAAAAAATGTTTCAAATAGCTCTCATAGTGTATGCTAATCAGCTTCAAAAAAATCTCAACGAACAACGGTACCAAAAGAAATACGCAAAAAGTGTTGTTCTCGAACATGCTCGCTGTGAGTCAAAACACACGAACGAATACAAGAAGAGAAAAAAAAAAACTCAATACATACAGCTATTGCTCAAGTATTTTGTTGTGTAAATAACGAAAAGTAAAATTGCAAAAAAAATATACAAATATTATATCATTGTGTTTTGAATTGAAAAGTAGACTTTTGAAAATCAGTTGTCGTTTTATGTGCATTCAATAAAAATGCCTTTGATTTGTCTCAAAATCCGCTTCATTGCATGTCTACCCTTGAGACGTCAATTAGGTTAGGTCAATAAATTTTTCCACTACATATCTATACACACAATAAAAAGCGAAACATAGCTGTCCATACCAGCGCCATATTCGCATTTGCCAACAATGAGCGCACACACACACACAACACTTTGACGCGATACCAAATCAAATGCATGATTTTATTAACGCTCATTTCTTCATTTTTTCACACAGACGGGGAATTTCGTGTAGAAAAATTGCTTTAATGCTATGACGAACAGCGAAAAAAAAACAAAGATGGTTCGCGTTGAATTTAATTAGAGCGATGTGAAAAAAACTTTTGATATGCGCCAAACTTGTGAATGTCATTGATTTACGTTCGAAACAATAGCCTAGGTAACAGCACGGATGACGACAACGACGGCATCACGCGAAACAGAAAAAAATGTCTCTTTTTTTGTCTATCACTAAATCGCAATTTATAGCGTTTGCACAGGGAACGAATGAAACAAAAAAAAGCAACATGGTTTCACTTACCTGGTGACACAGTCTTTTCTAGAATCGGTACCAATTGAGTCATTTTTGTTTTATTTGTTGTATTTGACGACGAAACTTGTCTGATGCAAAAAAAAAATTTGCTCGATTGAAAATTCACCCAACGAAGCGAGAAAAAAAATAGAAATGAACTTTTTTTTCTCTCTTTTAGAATAATGAAATCAAATGTTTCACGTTTGCGTTAGATTAGCGATCAGAATGATAAGTTTTCTTTCGTTTTATGGTTTTTTGTTTTAGTTTGATTGAAAAAGAATAATAGATAAAAATTAAACACTACACCGGCTATGAATGTAAAAAAAATTTGCACATGGATTCACGTTTCGCGCAAGAAAGAAAATGAGTGATGATGTTCGTGTCGTTCGAAATCGTTGAGAGAGAGGTAGTTCGTTTTCAAATAGATGAATGTCAAACGAATTGAGAATGGCTGTACATTTGTAGCGTGTGTATGAGTGTGGCTTTGCGCGCCTTTCTACAATCCTCTCCAAAAACGTTCAAATGGATGCGTCCAATGACATGTGACGGACTCGTTCACAGCATTCGATTTGAATTGTTACAACGTTTGTTAAACTTTTTCATTTACTTATTATATTTGCGGATCATAAAATAAAATAGGATGATGGTTTTTTTTAAATTTATATTATTATTCAATTTTTTCCATTTATTCCAGAACAAATTTCCTTTTGTCAATTTTTTTTGTGCAATTCAACAAAACCGTTTACGTTCAATAATGTGATCGTCAACATTGAACGTCTCAACGTTTCATTGTTCATGACTAGTTTTTGCGTCACAATTGAATAAATTTAGTGTGTGTATGTGTTCTTGAACGTGTATAGGAATTCAATGCCTAGCATAGAAAGTGTAATGTTGTTGTTGTCTTTGTTCGGCCGTTGTTTTTCAGTTGATATTCGCTCAATTTTTTACACTGTATTAAAGAATGCGATGTATTTATGTTTCTTCAATTGCTACTGATGATTTGCAAGCGAAAACAAAACCCATATCAATGGCAATTAATGATTCTGTGAATTTAATCTCTTGCGTTACTTATTATCTTATGAAAAAAAATTTAAAAAAATTTGCAACAACTAGGTTAGATGGAAATCAGATCGTTCATAGGAAAGATATCCTTTTATCTGTCGCTCACTCTTTTCGTCAAAAGAGCACCAATCTGATTTGATTTATCAAGAGAATAATTGGTTCTTTCGAACCTGCAAAAATTGCCGTAGCCGACGGTTTTTCACGTCGTCATGGCGGGATATTGGTATATAGTTTTCAATTAGCAATGACTGCAACTCGGTAGAACCTCATTGTTTACAGTATTGCCTCTGCGCAAAGTTAGCTACATCCGATGCAACTCATCTTATCTATGCAAAATGCAATTACATTTCACTGGTGAATTATAAAATTTTACCATCACAATGAATTTGCAATTTTTCATGTAAAAAAATATATGCAAAACACATCACTGATTCTTTTAACTGGTATTCGTACTCACCCTTTCGCTTATTTCGCAATAACAGCTGTTTACCTATTGTTGCACGGTCATCGTTGCGTTTAAAACATTCAAGTTTTTCCAATAAAACAGCCGACGTTGAGTTGTTTTTCATTTTTATTTCTCTTTTTTTTTCAAATGTTTGAACAATGGATTCAAATGATGTAATTATTATTATTTAATATGTATGCTTATCAAACTGTTGTCCACAGGAGTTTTTCTTTTCGGAATAAGTCAATCTGTTTGATGAATTGAATATTGATTCTATTTTTTTTGTAAAATCTTCATTGAATTTCTACAATATCTTGTTCCATTTATAGCCAGTATAAACATTTACAAATTTACTGGTGGAAATTGGTAATTCTGGTTGTAATAAGAAAAAATAGGGAAAAAATCTACATCATGCTATGGACGAGGTACATTTATTTCAATACGGTGTCGTTCATGCTGGTCTTTGTTTTACATTTTAAATCTATATATTTTTGTAGTCACTTTTTGTTATGATTTATTAATTTCTGGAGTATATGTTCATTAAAATTGACAAATAAATAGTATAAAATTATTTGATTGGATTTTTGACAGATTAAACACACTTGAATTACTTTTTTTTTACCTAAAAAAAGAAGTGCGGAGTCATGTTTTTTCAATAATAGTTTTTTTTTGAACTCTTTATTATCAAAGATAAACTGTAAAACTGATTTTAATCAATCGTATTTTATGAACAAAACTTGGCTAATACTAATGCAACATACAATTTGACAAATTTTAAGAAAATATTGCTGCAAAATACCGTATTTTAGTTGTTATAGATTGTGTGTGTGTGTGTTTGAAATTTGTTTTTTTACGTCTGTATTGAACTAAGAGAAATGCTGCTCAAACATTTTATGTAATAATAAATTAAAATCGAAAAACTATGAATAAATCCGAACATTCTATAAATAGTTGTCAATTAAATTTGAAAAAAATAATAATAATATATATTCAATATAGAAACACGTTACGTGCTTTCAAATGAACAAAGTACAAATAACTTAACGGACACTCTAATGCTAATTTATACAACAATTTTGAATAGAATGGATCTAATTTTGATTGGTGTGTGTGCGTATTTAATGTCGATGACGACGTCATTCGGCACGAACAGAGGTCACCGGTGGAAATTGTACTTCTTCGAACATGGTTTTTGGTGGATATTCAATGGCCTCAAATAAATCACGACGCTTGTCTGAGTCTATAAAGAAAGAGAAAATTGAATGATGGTTTAACAAAAGTCGATTACCAACAATTTTTAAAATAAGCTACATTGCGGAAATTACCTGACATTTTATTCTTTTCGCGTCCTTTTAGAACACTTGCATAGGATCCAACGGATGCGGTGATGGATTTCTTTTCCGGTGATTTTGATCGATTACAGTTGTTCTCGTCCATATTCACCTCTGGAAAATCGAAATCTGCTGTCAATATTAAAGAGAATTGAATCTACCAATGTGCATGTGCTTGTATATTGTGAAACTGAAATGATGTCAAAGTACAATTGTTAAATTACCTGTAATACCATCAAGTGGACTACGTAAATCGTGTGCTCGTATCAATTTACAGTCGCCACCTTTGTTCGCATCAAAATCGTATACGTACAAAAAACCGTCTTCGCAAGCTGCCAACAATTTCGATTCTTTTTCCAATTTGGCAATGGCGCATTGATATCTTAAACCAGCTTGATTGAGTTGAACACTTGAGAATGCCCGATCTTGTGTAAGAACATCGCTTACAGGACTCGGCAAATACTTTGTAAAGAAGCCCATCGACCAGCGATTATTGCTGTTGCTGTTCAATTCAACGGAATCACCGCTTGACGTTGTGTCAACGCTGCTACTTCCGTCACTCGATTCGTCATTGTTATTGATACAATTTTGTCGTTCGACCTCTTCAACCAATTTTAAATCAATTTTGAACACATGCACCGTTTCTGTGTTTGAACTAACACACAAGTAATTCGAACAACCGCTAAAATTAAGCGATGCAATTCGTACACATCGTTTCATGCCACGACGAAATTCGTGCACTTTTTGACCATTTTTTACGCAAAACACACGAATCACCGTACCTTTTTCCGATGCCGTCGCCAATAGTTGTCCGTTTGGCGAGAAATTGAAGGCTGACAACGGTGAATCGTGCGCTTTTATTTTGATTTTAACACGCATATTTTCGGCATCATATAATTGCAATTCACCGCATTCATTTGAAACGGGAAACGCAAGATGAGATTGTAATGATAAACTACATAAACCGCTGTCATTGGGTGCAATGTGCCGAATCGAATTCATTAAACGCATATCACGAATATTGTGCACATAAATACTATCACGCAAACACACCACCAAACGGTTTCGATTCAATCTCACCGATAATATGGCGCTTGGATAGCGATAGTTACAGATTTCGGTACCCTTTTTAAAGTGCCATATCTAGAAGGGAAAATATTAATGGTTAGGAAAAACGTATTTGCAAAATGACAAGAGAAACGGTCAAAAAGTCATAACATTTTAAATTAGCTGTAGTTTTCAATTTAAAGAAGATGATGAATTTACCTTAAGTTTTTCCGTTTCAGTCGCGGTGACAACTGCCACCAAACTACTACTGAACAACCTTTCCGCAATTTTCGTATCTTCATTGTTACTGCAAAATATCTCTTCCACACGCTCAACTGATGTTATTGTAAACAATCGAAAGCCAAATTGTCCAACCACAGCCAGAGATCTGTGACGAAAAAAAGCATAGAAAATCACAAAGAAATTGGTTCAACGTAATAATAAATAACATGAAAGTTGGGGGAAAATTTCCAAAAAGCCATAAATGGTTTTTGTTCCAAAAACAGACAACGAACAGTAATCAAATCAACGAGGGAGAAATTATTGTGCAATCCATGCGTAAGCATTTAAATCAACAAAATGTCAGATAAATTCGCTTTTTTAATTTATGACACTGTGAGTCATTCACCTTCGCTGGAAAAAAAGTAAGTATGATTTGCAAAAGACGTAAAAAACAGCTGTTCACCAGTTCTCTCTTACTCTTTTTTCTCTGTATTTGCCTATACGTTTATAATACGTTATAGTACTAAAGATATATACGAAAAATCCAGTAAGATGTTAAAGACTTAGTCATTTCTGTCTCTATTTTTTTGGTTTTTGTCTTTTACGTGCATATTAGTAAATTCGAACTTTCAAAAATTGATGAGAGAAATGTCGTAAAATTCATAGAAAAAAGCCAATTTACGTATTAGGTGAAAATTCACGAATAAACATCAGCAAATTTTAATTGGAAATCAATAATTAGTCAAAATAATGTGATTTGTTTGGTTTATAAACTTACATTTTTTCAACAAATCATTTTTTTCAATCACTTGCAGGTGATTTCAAATCGATGTCGATTCATGCAGAACACCATCAATATCACATATCTAATCTGCCTTTGTTTTTTTGTTGGAGTTTGATTTAATTTTTCAGGAGAATAATTGGCTCTTTCGAACCTTCAAAAATTGCCGTAGCCGACGGTTTTTCACGTCGTCATGGCGGGGTATTGGTATATAGTTTTCAACTAGCAATGACTGCAACTCGGTAGAACCTCATTGTTTACAGTATTGCCTCTGCGCAAAGCTAACGATACACAGCACACGAAGTAGTACATAACGAATCTGGCGATACATTGCGCCAGTGAATTATACGTCGAACGAAAATGAAAAAAAGCACCTCGGTTCTTTGTTACGTTGTGAATGAGCGTATACGAGCAAGCACTGTACTGTGCTGTATGCGATCGAACGACGTTGATAAAATCTTTTGGTTTTCTTTGTTTCGTGTATTTTGGAACGTTAGACTCATATTGAATTACGTTCAAAAATACGTTTTTTTATTTCTCTATTTTATGGTTTGAAATATCATTTACGTCGAAAATCATCAAATATTAAATGAAAATACATCGATATCTCGATGGACCAACGATTACATTATTTTTACTTTTTTTCTTACAGTCGGGATGCACGTATTGATAAGATTGATATGTTTCAATAATCATTTCGAATTATTTGTCAAAGAAAAATGGTGTTGATTTCATTTACATTTTGCTAACGCGCCCCTTTTGCCACAAGACAAAACATGACCTTTTTGTTTATGATGATTTTATTAAATATCAAAAAATCAACAATGAGAAAAAAGAGCGAAATAATCAACCATGATGTAGCTGAAATTGTTGATAACAATTGTAATGAAATGTTAGCCTGACCCATTGCTAATAGCCACTCACAATAAAAATTGAAGAAAAAAAATCAAATAAATGCATACAGAGTCAGGTCAATAATCACCGATGGGCTATGCGATAACATTGGAAATCATTTCAAGATCGTGCAAAATAGAAGGTATACCGTAAAACAGCTGAACTTCAACTATTCCACTTGTTGATATCATGTTAAAACAAAAGAATACATTATTCAAATGACGCATTTACATTCCATGTTTTGAACGCAATAAAACTATTTGCGCGCATTCAAGTTGTGTTTTGGAATTTTATTGACTCACTTCGGTGATTTTCTATTCGACAAATTATCGAGACAAAGTTCTGAACTAATTATCACAACTAAACATTTATTATTTTAATTTTGAACATTTAGTTTGAAACATTTGCATTAAAATTCATAATTTCAAAACATTCGAAATTGAAAACAGTTAAATTAGATGCTAGGGAAAAAGTTGTAAATTATGTTTACAAACAAAACAATTCTCATTATTTTGACATATTTAATGATTTCCAATTAAATGTTGTTGATGTTCGTGAGAATTTCCATTTTATAAATAAATTACCAAATGTTTTTTTTCCTCTAAAATTTAACGGCATTTAAGGGTCTATCGTCGTTTATGTTAGTTTTTTTTATCAGAGACAAAATAATTCAGAGAAATACAGAACTATAATTTGTAAAAACATCGTGTTTTGTTAACACTCCAAGAACATAATAAAAAGCAAAGCGCAAAGAAAACTGATACACAAAAAAAAGAACGAACAAGCTGTATGTACGGCAGAGATGAAAAAAACAAATCTGGTAGAAACGAATACACAGGCGCGCGTTCGGTTGTTAGAACGGCTGTCCATGTGACCGTGAATCGTTTTTTTTACGTATGTTCATACACATCAGAATTTAAGTTGTGACATCATTTTAACAAATCAACGGAATATTTCGTGTATGTTGTTCGTTCGTTATCCGGTATGCATCTTGACTGCATCATTTAGTGTGTCATTAGTGTTTGTCACCTTTTAAACCATGACCATAAATCGAATTGAAGTTTTGACATTTCTTTAAAAATAGCGTCCGATATTCAACTGGAAAGGCGAATGAAAAAAAACCACCCAAAACACATTTTGTCTGTCGCAAGGAAATGATATCATTGATGGTAGTCTCGATAAGGCAATGACAATTTTCACCAATAAAACAAATATACACAGACAAATTGAATAAATGTTAACAAAAAAACATAGTTGTTCAAAATATATTCTAATTGGCGTCATTATTGCTTTCGAAATGATCTTTAAAATAAGCATAAATTCATTTAAGTAGACGATGATCATGCAACTGAGCACATATCCCATAAATCTTTGTGCTTTAAGATGAGAACTAGTCTAACATGGAATAGAGCAAAAAAACGTGAGAGAACAAAAGAATCAATTTTTATGTCAATTGTTAAGATTCATAATTTTTTTCGAAATCGTCGGCAACGAGTTTATATTTAAAACACTGATAGAGGAAGCTAAGTATGAGATAAGCAAAGTATCAGCTGAGCACGTTCACTGTGAAGTACGAAAAAAGCAGCACTATCACATCTGGATATAGCATTGGCATTGACATTGGCTCAACAAAAACCACCTTACAATTATTTGCCAAGGTTGAATTTGTTTGTTGGGCAAAGCGATACCTAATTAATCTGTCGAGTTTTGAACTTCACGAAACCTTTTTTAATTCGCTTTGTTGTTTTCAACGCTTTTCGGCAATGCGGAAAATCGTGAAAAGCAACAAAACAGTATTAATATTTAGAAGAGTTAAAATGGGAATGCCACACGAAATACGATTGAGAGTAGGAAAAAATACGTTGCCATACTCATTCGTTGCCTTGCAAGTTGGCCAAAGTTGGAATTACAGTTTGGAATTTTCGCTCGTTTCAATCTGTATATATATAGAGCGTATTGCATTGCAGGGTGTGTGTGTGTGTGTGTGAATTGGATGGCCTTGAACGTGTTCAAGTGTATTTATATTTCAGGCATATAATAAGCGAATGCGCTCTAGAATTTTCTCATGTACACGAATGTTTTGCGAGCACTAAGAAAAAAAAATATATGATGAATTGAAAACTGACAAAGAACCGACGACGATTGTGTATAATTATGTTTTGTTTGCTGTGGTAATGATGGATTATATTCCCTTGAACTCCGTTTCGTTAAAAAGCAATATTGTTTTTTTTTGACGTACCGTGAACAGGTTCAAGTTCTGTTGTTTTAATTTTATCTTAATGATCTATTCTTGAATACAACCACTCTCATTTCAAATCGATATTTCGATTTAATCGTCAACCACTGTGGTTTTCGAGGTGAATCAGCACTATCGAAACCAAAATTAAATCCTTTCATCGATAAAACTCTATACATAGTTTTGCTACTGCACATTTAATCTGGAACAGTGAACACCGTACGCTACATAATGTGCATATACATTTCAATATTCAAAGAACAGTGAAAACAACAACACATCGCCCATTACAATGCAAAACAGTAGCACAGAAAAACAGCAATAACAAACATCACACACGCAGTTTATTGCGACGATTGACGTTCACGTGTTTGTCGAATATAGAAAAAATAAAACACGATTTGTTGGAATTTAATTAGTCATGCAAACAACACGGGCTAATAACTACTTGGGCTGTAAAATTGAAAAAAAGTAGTATAAAATAAAACGAAGAAAATATACATATATATAGTCTATTTCAAATAGGCTTCTTTATATTCTAATGATAACAAATGCATTGACTTTGCATTGGAATTTAAAACATCGTACCATATTCATATCAATTTCTTATACAGTGCAACTGTTTTTTATTACCATTGACGCATGTGTACGCGTGCTACTCTGTCTTTTATGTGATTTGAATGTGATGTGTGATTCGACACACATTTCCATGGGCGCTTCACTTCTTTTCTATTTCAACTTATTCATTCGACTTGAGACGGTGCATGACTTTCTCGGTATTCGATTTTAAAGCCAACAACAAATGCAGAGAGTGGTGCACTTGGTGTACCTTACCGCTTCGCCAATCATTTCAATTTATTACACAAATTTTTTTTTCTCTTTTATTTTTATATATGCACATTTCTCCGCGCTGAATTGTACGTTGTTTTATTTACTTTCTGTCTTTTTTAAAAACAACAATAACGAATCATATGGAAATATACTTATCGCAAATAATTTTCGTAATTCGAAATGGTGTATGTGTATGTATTGACATGTTTTTGCGATTAGAAACACCTCTGTATGTAAATGTGTGTGTGTGTCTGTTGTTTTTTTTTGTCATGTAATATTCGCTTTCTATCTGTTCGGCGCAATAGCAAAAAACAATAACAACATCCGCGCGATACGATTGCTTGTAAATCGTTTGTAAACAAAGAGTCATCTGTCTAATCGATAATATAAATGAACACATGATTAAAACGAGACATTTGTGATACTTCGGCATAACCACTCTCGATTTGTTTATAATCTACCTCTCTGAGTGATGTCATTATCGGCTGGCTTTAAAATGTCATGAGACAACAACAATCCGACGAAAAAAAAATTGGCGGCTTTTTTTCGGCCATATTTGTTATGGTGTGCTTCAAGCATCGATGTTAATAATCAATGGATTTTTCCATTTTTCGGTTTTAAAATTGGTTTTTATTGACCTGGCATTTTATCAAAGTCACCGTTACTTTGTTTCAACCTTTTTCAATTCCAATATATGAATACTATCTCTAGTGTATACGGTGAAATAACAAAAAGAAGAGAGATATGACACGTTCCCCATTAGGCAAAGTTCAATTTGAACACAACAACAATATGTTTATTACTCTATTTTTCAAACTATAAATTATGTGACTTTTGTTCGTATAAACAACAATTTTTTGTTCCAAAAGTTCCAAATTTACATCATCGAGACACGTATTAAGGTGTTTTCAAAAAAACGCAACAAATTGCAAACAAAATTGCAATGTTATGCAATGTCACGACAAATGCATTACTTTTTCTGATTAATTAAAGTATTCATGGAGCTTTTTTTCATTATATGGCGACTTTGTACGCGAAATTCAATGAACAAGGGTTGAAAATTTGATAAATTTAATTACAATGTCATGACACATCTAATGTGCACACATTGCGTTTCACACACCCATCCAATTTATTATATATGAACGAATGTGAGCTTGTTTCACAATCGAACGATCAGTCATAGCGTCGACTGACTTCGATTTCACCACAAAAAGTCAGAACGTTTTTGCTTTTTAATTATTTTCTACTCAGAAAGAAGAAAAAAAAAAAACAACACAAATTACAGACAATTAGGATTTTTCTTGAAAGATCTACATACAGATTACGCTTCACCGCAAACGAAATTACATTTCAAGTAAAAATAGATTGAAATTGATTCAGAACAATAAAAAAAGACTGAGAATTAAAGTAAAGATCCAACATATGATATACAATGCGTATAAATAACGCTCAATGTAATTGATCAAGATCTAAATTAAATTCAGACGATAAGTTATTATTAAAAAATGCCCGTGATGCAGATATGCAGGGAGTCGATTTCGAAAATTCTAAACAAAGGTCCGGGAGTCCGAATAAGACACCCTCCCCCACCTCCAGAATATTGTGAACGATATAAGAGAATTAAAAGAGCACTGGTACATGGCAAAATATCATGACATCTTAGAAATACACGTATTGACTTGTAATTTGATGGTCTTTTTAAAGCTATTTATTGTCTGAAATGTTTTTCCCCATTCTTACTTAACCTTAAAAACAAAAGTTTCGTTCTAAAATACAACTTAATTTATGTCTGAAAATAAATCAAACTGCAACTTATCTATTATGCAGTGTAAATTGATCGGCTTTCGGTAAGTCGGGTTAATGACTGTTTTACAATATAAATATAAATTTGGCATTGCTACTTTTGTGACTGACATAAAAGGTGTGCGCACAACATAAATCGATATTTACTTGAAAGCGAAAAAAAAAACATCATTAAACGGTATAATTAAATATTTATAATAATGACTGTAGTCAATTTTCTGAAAGTAAATCATGCGTGACTTGCCGCTTCAAGCACGCACACAACTTTTATATCGTGAAATCTTTTGGAAAAACAACCGTTTTATTTCACTTCAATTTTAATTTGCCCAAACAAAACACACGAAAATAAAACATTTACCATGATAATAAATTTTAATGCAAAAATATATGCAACCGAGAAGAAAAAAAATAAGTTTTTTTTTCTTTTTGTAAATATTATATTGTTTGTCTTTGTTCACAAATAAATAATAAATTATTCAATGTAAAAGAGAAACAGACAAATGAAACCTTTGTTCAGCCAACAGCTGAGTTGATAAATTTCGAGTTCATCCGATAAGAGTTGTCAATTTGCTTGAATTTTATGTGTTACGATCGCTTTTGTACATAATTGATAATATTTTAATTGGACGTGATTTATTTGAAGAAAATATAGAAAGAAATCATTTAAATTAACCTCCGCCATAAAAGGCCAAACCCAAAATAAATCATTTTCTAATGATCTTCGATTCGGTTTCATAACAATGACAACAAGGAAATTGACATTTTTTTAGTTATTACAAAGACCATAGATTCCAGTTTCGATTGAAATAAAACAATGCATATACATATTATGCCCCGTATATGATAACGGTTTCACAATCTGAGTCAATTGAAATTCAATATTTCTGACAGCAGTTTTGATTCTCGATGACAATGGAATTCGTTTTTTTGTGTCATTTCATTCTATTATCTAATTTGACAATAACAAAGAAGCTAACATTAAAATAATGTAATGTGTAGTGTGCGCAAACGGGCGCCCGTGATGAATGTACGTTTTAACCTTAACGCATTCAGCATTACGAATCTAATAACCTTGGTTATTACACACATATGCATACCAAAATCCAATGCCCGAATGTGAATTAGATGTAATTTGTTGTTGGTTTTTTCATCTAACAGGTGTCGCATGAATAACAGGCTCTATCATCGATTTTTTTTTCTCGTTTAACATACATATACTATCACTTGTCTCCTTTTATGAGACATAATAGAGTTTTATTTTCAAACGCTCAATCACCGTATGTGTTTGTATTGTTTCTCTTTTTTTCTTGATTTGTTTTGTTATTTTTGGTTGGTGATTGTGAAGTAGACGGTCATCATGGCGTCAAAATTGTTAATGTTCGCATTTAAATACGCGAACTCTCATTAAGACATTTTCAATGATAAATATATCGTTTTTTGCTTTCGGATATGTTGAGGTATCGGTCATTAATCTGTAGTGCTTGAGGCGTCCTTCCTATTTCAAATTTGTTTCCTCGGTACTTCAAGTTGGTACGCAATTCGATTGTCTCTTTGCGTTTCAACTTGATTGTTTATTTGTTTTTGTTTTTTAATACACATCTTTTGCTTCCTCCGACATTTGATAATTGAAATTTAAAAAAAATGTTTTGATTTGCCTTTGTTTTTTTTTTATCTGAAATGAATTTTTTGATAAAAACTGACGTTTTCAATGATATAAACAACAGCAATTCTGCAAATACATTGTTTTACGACAGCTGATTTGTATAGAGCCATAAGGATTGATTCAACTGTTGATGTTGAAATATGGGTCAAATAAACGCCAGAATCACATAACACAAAGCAGAAACACTGCACACATACATTGTGTATTTGAAATAAACCATAACCACGAGTATCATAGCGCCCACTCATTGAATCATGAATATTAATATATGTAATGTGAATTGATCGCGCGTTGTATACACATCTGTATATATTAGCTAATTATTCCACGCGCGCATTATGAATTTGGCGCGATTATTTTTCTTTCCTATTTTTGCGTAGTATTTGTTTGTTGAATGTGTGGAGAAAAAACATACCAATCACGATAAAGTATTGAAGCAACTCGTTTGCATTGAAATCGATGTGAGAATGAGTAAGATAAAAATTGTCAGTCGAAGAAAACGATATGTGTGTGTTCGCTTTCAAAAAGTCATAAGACTTGGCGGTTGAGATTTTACAGTGACGTGATGCAGATAAAGGCACTTGGCAGACGAAACAGAGAAAATGTGAATTATATATGGTGCGTTGATGGCAAATGCACAAAAGTAGATAAAATATTGCATGATTGGCTTGGTGCCGTTTCCAACAAGAATCCTCGATGATTTTTCAGATGCATTCGACAAAAATGCGAAATACAGACAGAAAGATATTGCTAAGGCAGTTGGAATTTGTCAGCACAATTATAAATTGCTTACAAACGAATGAAATATTATATCAATGCACTGAAACAATGTCAAGAACAAAGAAAAAGACTGAAAGCGTCGTTAATAACAGTGTCGTTAACGCTGATTTCAATTCGCACAAATAAAATCATAAAATTAATAATATAAAAATAATGAACACTCAGACGACGATGGAGAGAATAAAAAAATATTTATGATTGAAATCAGGCATAAACATAATTTGGAAAATGGTGTGTATTTTTTGTTCGTTGCAGCAAAAGTATCATTTTTCACAAAAAAAAAAAAAAAACACACGGAATGCACAATAAAATCGAATATACAAAACAAAATTAATTTTTAATAATACAAAAAAATTTGCAAACAAAAAATATTGAAAAAATATACATACGAATAATCCTGATTAAAGTTTATAGAAAAACCGTCATTTTGTTCCAAACACTTTTCAGTTGATTCACACATTTAAAATAGTTGCGGTTCGAAAACTCGGTGACTTGCAGTTGCTTTGATTTAATGAATGGACAGAAATGATGTTTCTGTGTTATAACGTTTTTCACTCGTACGCGCGTTTGCTAAAACAAATAAAGAAATAACGCACACTCTATAAAACCGATTTCGTGCTGGGTGCGCTTTTTTTCGCTAATTTATATAATGCGTGTGTTGGTTTTGTTTTTTTAATTCGTTGCTCTTCGTCCGTTTGACTGTTATTGGGTTTAATGCTTACAAGAGTTACAAATAAATACGATATAAGTTTTTTTTTGTCTCTTTCTCTTTGCACTCTCTTTTATTTGTTTGAATCAGAAGTAAATTTTAATCACTTTACGTTCTTCTTCACACTTGCAAAATTTGATGTTTGTTTTTATGTGTTTTGTTGAGTTGTACATATGTTTTCTTTTCGCAGATGTTTTGTATACTGTGTAGTAAGCGTATTTCTCTTCCGAATTCAGTGGTTCGTTGCAATAAAGGTGGTTGCAATAAAAACAATTAGTTTTCTATGCAAAAATGGAAAAATTGTTGGATATTTTGATGGCGTTAAATTTTACACTACTGAAAAATCGGTTTCACTCCAGCTGATATATGGTGTTTACACAATGGCAATGCGATAAACTCTGTCTTATGACAACGAAAAGTATGACTTCTCTCTACCTCAAAATTTCTCAGATCATTCACACATACGGTGATGTAAACAATGACAACAACACTGAACTAAATTTCTTCTTTTTCGTTCACAATTGACAGAAAATCAATGGCATTGATTTTTGTAGTAAAAAATTAAATAAATTCGATTTTAATTGTGAGAATAGAATGAATATATGCAACTGTTTCACACATAAAAACAAAAAACGATTAAAGAATAGAACTGATTTTACTCAATTTAAAACAAAATATGAAATACGATGTTTACACTTCGGACGCTTCGACTGAATGCTGTGCTGGAGTTGTGATTTGTTGTTTCATTTTTCACTTTGCTCGTTTGTATTCGTTATTTGTTGGCGTTTTTGCTTGAACACTGGCAGCTTCTGTTCTCTCTCATCAGTATGGCTATGATATGTTGTTTTCTTTCTTTCGTATTTTTTTTTTCGTTTGGCTTGTTGTTGTTATTCAATGGTCTCTTTTTCTCATATATGCACCATCACACTTTTGTACATATACAAGCTCCAGCTGATCGACATCAAAGTGTCTGTGTATGTGTGCACGTTTTTTGAACGAAATAAACAGCTAGATTTGTATGCAATTTACACACCAAATTAAGACCTATTTATATATGTATACGCTTTGTTATGTGTGTAAATGTTTGAGTAAACAAATTTTTCTGCATTGTCACCATCGAATTGTAAAATTCCTTTTCACACATTTTCAAAAATTCATACAATGATGTAAATTTTGCACAGTTTGCAAAACATATCCAATGAGACTTTCTGACGATGATGATGTAAACGAACCATAATTTACTGCGCATGTTGTACACTGCTACTATAACAACGACTGTGAATGTGTGCAGCAGCTGCCTTTGTTTACTCGTAATATAACGAAAAGTGTACCACTAGTTTTCTATGAATCGAAAATGTTCTATGACTGTATTTACGCCGTCTCTCTCTCTCTCTCTCTCTCTCTCTCTCTGTGTGTGTGTGTGTGTGTGTTGATGTATATGTTATCGATGTATTTGTCCCACTCGAACATTTACGGCTCATCATATGAAGTCATACATGAGATAACATTAGACCAATTGGAAATACAAGCAAACAACGTTGAAGAGAGATAAAACATATAGAGATACATTCGATCAAGTTTTCAAGTAAACTTTTCGTCAGTTAATTGATGTATCGTACCATAAATAAACAACGTTTTATTGGCTTTACTTATATACCTATTATGACCGTATGAACTGGAATAAGCTAGTTGACTATATGTCAGCATGATAGAAAATTGGCTTAATTTTTTTTGCACACATCAATTGCAATACAATCCCCACAATAAATTAAACGATTCATTTAAAATTGTAAAATGAGTCCAATCCAGTATTATATATGGGTCAGTTGTAATATTCAATAGGTCAAAGGGTACAATTATGTAAGAATTTTATGAATGCTTCTTTATTTTTATTAGATTAAGCGCAGTAACACCTTCATTTGAAATGACTTGTTTTTATTGCTGTAGAAGTGATTTTTATAGCAACGAATAAAAATCAAAGATACATAAAATGTCGTAGAAATTCCATTGTAAGTTGTAAATACAAAACATAATGAAGTCCATTTGAAACTCGATCCCTTGAGATGTTATCGGTTGGATTACAAACTGAAACCGTTCAACGGTCGATTTTTATTCAGTTTGGATGTCAAGAGGTGGCAGTAGTGTATGCATATGAAATTCAACCGTTGTTGGTCTAATCAGAATTTTTCGTATCATATTTCACACGCATTTGCAATTACTTTGTGAGAGTGACACAGCGGATAGAACAAGTGAATGAATAGATATGAAGAAAATTGAACATCTTCAGCGCAAAATGCGTCACGTTCAATATTTCTGAGAATGAAATTGCTGTTGGCGTGTAGGCGAGATGATATTCTATTTCACAGAGTGTCTTAATTCAAGTTCAAATAGCTTAAAGCACATACGCATACCCATATTCATGGTGTGTGTTCGTTTTTTTTATCAACAAATCATCAAAAATCATATGCATTAAAAATTTCGGCCCAACAACGATCACATCAACAATAAAATATAATATCGAATCATGTTTCTTTCATGAATTTTGGTTATTTATTTGATTTGTTTTATTTCACATATTGTTTTTTTATGATAATTGTTATTACGACGATTTAAAATCAATTGCATTCAAATATACGTTGAATGTTTCATCACTGCGCTGAAAATGAGCAATCGTCGATGATGACGACGCAAACAAAAAACTGTTTTGAATTGCCATTTTACTTTCTCGTTGAGAAATGCGCTTTTCAATGCCCTGAATGACAAAAGCGAGCCCAGAGACAGAGATGAAGGGAGAAGGGGAGAGAGATAGAGAAAGAGAAAACAAACAAAAATGCCATTTGATGAAAAACGAATTTATTTATTATCGTTTTTCACTATCCCGTTCCCTGCTTTGCCCTGCCCTGTGTGTATACGGTTTTTATTTGTGTGAAATATATTTCACGGCAGCAAATAGTTTGATTCAATTTTACTATGGTAGACAAGAGGCGCGTTTGCGTTTTCGTCTGATATAAATTGTGTGTTCCATTCGATGTGATGTGATGTGTGTGTGTGTGTGCTTTTGTGCCATTATAATGGATATGTAATTTGATACTATTATCATAACAAGAAAAACTTTTCGGTTTTACATTAAAAGCAGAACACGCTCACACATATTTGCGATGTGTATCTACATCGCTTTTTTCATGTAGTACATGACGATGGATCGGTCATACGGGGTACATCTATCTGCATTTCAACATATACATACGTGTATTTTGTGCTGTACATATATCGTGCAATCGGTTGCAAGTTGATTTTTTTTTTCGGTTCTGCTGCGATATGTGATGCGCGATCGAAATCGAAACAAACGACTCTTGTTTCTGGTCGCGTACCGAAAAAACATTTGTGTTTTTGGCGTCTGTTTCGATGTTTTATGGCATTTCAACTGTAACTGTTATGGGCACCTCGCAAAAGCGTTAGATTGCCACTTGGACATGCAAAGAATGAGACAGAAAAACAGACAGACAAAGATAGAATGAACGGAGATGAAATTGCAGCTTGAATTTTGTGTACATTGGAGCTGAAGAGGGTTAGTAAACAAAACATGTGCGACTTTTAAGTGCTCACAGAAGTATGTAAACAAAATCGATTTTGTTTTTAATTGATCAAACGAATTTTCTTCTTTTCTTCGCTCTCTTCGTTGTGGCTCATAACCATCTTCATCGTTTTTCTTTTTCACATTTTATAAAGTTCTCCATCGTCAGAGTCATCGTTGTTGTAGTCGTTCGTTCATTTTTTTTCCCATGCAATGACCATCGATCGCTCATAACGTCGTAACCCATTTCGCAAATCACTTGGTTCGATCAAACATTTTTTGGGCACTGATAATAAATAAGTGTCATATGATGCGACATACGGCGCATGTTATTGCCCTTTTTCGATCTCTTTCTTTATTTAAATCTCTCGTATTCTGCCTCTCTCTTTCTCTCTCTTTCTCTCTCTTTCCGTGTTATTTGAACAGTATTCCTTTTTGGAATTTTTCGTCCAAAAATCAGTGTTGAGGAAAAGGTCCATTCGAGCGAGCACATGTATGCGGCCTAAAGTAAACAAGCAGTGATTATTCATCCTCTATTTTGTATGTATATATCCAAAAAACAGCTTCAGTTTTCTTATGGTTTTTATGGTTTTCTCTTTGTCTCTCTTGGATTCACACACACTCTCTCTCTTTTTCTCTCAATCTCTGTTTTCTCTATCGGGTTTCGATTTGTTTTGCGTCCTCGCGCGCCACTCAGAAAGCCATACAAATGCACACACAAGATATAGCCATATACACCCAGAGAGTGGTTGAGATAGATAGAGAGAGAGCGAAAAGGCGGTAGCACACCACAGCAACACACAGTCCCAGTCAGACTTTCGTTCATGCCTTACAGTCTCTGTTCGCGCGATACACTATACTGCTATCCGTACAGCATTCGAAATTTGATCAGTTGCACACTGTCTTTGGAATCGAATGGTACACGTTGTGCACACCCAGCGCACATGGGATTGATTAAAAACCATTCGTCCGTGTGAATCAGTTTCGTTTGCTGATTTTTTAAAAAAAGCATACATTTAGATTATAGCAATCATCACTTGCCAACCATTCTTTGTTTTTTTTTTTAATGTTCACTCATCATCAAACCTAAACGACACCAAATTAACGGAAGAGGCTAAAAAAACGGACAAAAGTTACTAAAGAACATTCATAAAAATTAGAAGAAAAATTTTTAGTGAATCGTGAATATTGATCAAGGATAATAATCTCTATTTTAAGGTGATTCTTATTTTTCGAGAGAAAAAAAACTAATTTCAAACATCATATGAATTTTTGTTTAGATTTTTCTGTGCAATTTTATTTTCTGTTGATCGTTTCATTCAATCGCTGTTGAGTTTTATTTTGTAAATTGTGTAAGTGAGCGCGGCAAATCTGTTGTGTTGTTATGCTTATTCTCTCCTTGTTCCTGATTTGTTTTTTTGTGTGTCTTGAAGTTGTTAAATGAACGAGAGCAATTTTAATTCGTGCAAGTGAGTCGGTGCACACACCGACTCGATGAAACATATTTAATGAATCCGGGAAAAAAAGGTTATTTTTGGATTGATCAGTCAGTAGCCAGCATTGCGTTCAATCGGCTTTTTGCAAATATGTCGTAAAATCACGTATAAAATATCACAAAAAAAAAACGAGAGCCGTGCGACGGAATTTAATATGTTTGTGTTATGTGTGCATCGTGCATAAACATTTGAAGAAAAATTGAAATGCGAGTACACTGTACAAGTACAGATCCACAACAACAACGACGACAACACAAAAAGATTGGAAAAAACGACGAAAATGAATAATAAAAACAAACTGATGAATTGAATCCGCCAAATCAGAGAAAATACGCTAAAGTGTCGCGAAGGCGCACGACAGCGATCGTTTTGACTGCATGTTTTTTGCATGCCACCGTTTCAAACACACGCACAAAAATTAAAAGAAGAAAAAAATCAGCGATTCCATTACAACCCATTTTTGTACTCACCAAATCGTCTATCCCTTTTACGTGCACGTTCTCTTTACCGATGTGTTCTCATATTACTAATTTCGTACGCAAACTCTCTCAATTGCAAGATCATAATTTATAAAATGTTTATTTATAAAATTTAATCGATCGTGTAAACTGCGCTTGATTCGTTGATCGCCGTTTGTTTAGTTGTGCGCGTTTTGTTTCGCGGAAATTCTTTTTTTGCATTGCAATGTTTGCATATATAGTTTTCTTCCATCCTCATGATTCTAAGAAATTTTATATCGAAAGAGAAATGTGAAAAATTAACTTCTTTTCATGTTTATAAAAGTAAGTTCGTTTAAGAGCAAAAAGAAAAAAAAATAAACAAACAAACACATTGAGAATGAATAAAAAAAATAAGGATTTCAATAAATCTTTTAGTCCTCATTAAAATATAATAAATTTTCCGTACGGTGCGCCGGGTGTGAAGATGTAAACTGAAACCGATGTAATATCTCCCAAAAAACATCGAAAACGTACAACAAAAAACAAAACCGAAAAACAAAAAAAAAAACGAATTACTCAAACACACACACAGTTACAGTTATACGCCTCTTTCTCTTGGGTGTCATTGCGCATATCAGCGGAATTGTTTCTATTATCTTAGAATTTTCCTTCAGTGAGCTCTCAGAAAAACGCCGGACGCACGATATTCATAACAATTGAATCCCGTAATGAAATCACATAGAAAGCCGCCAAGCATTTGAAACGGGATATCGATAAATAAAAATATGAAAAGTAAACAGTGGAGAGCGAGTAAGCAAGAGTAGAGCAAAGCATTAAAATAAAAACAGAGAAAAAAAAACAACAAATCAACACTGAAACCTAGCAAATTTTCAGAAGAAGAATCAGAAACGCATCAGTAGCACCGTTTTTTATCAGGGGAATAGTCACTCCTCTTCGAAATAGATATGCCACACAATATTTTTTTCGTGTGTATGCTTCACCGCACGTTTTTTTTCTGTGTTCTACAATCGTTAAGTACTTGATAAATTCAATATATATTTGTTCATTTGTGTTCTCATTTAAATTCATATGTGTCGCACGTATGCATACAGCAGTAAGCTACACGCTCTTTCTATACGCATAAGCGCTGAGTCGATCTTTGTTAATTTTTATATTTCCAATTTGCCTTCATGGTGTGTGGTGTGCTTATATAGATAGATTTATGTGTTGTTTTATTCGTTGGTTTTTGTTTTCCGATGTTGTGTTTTCTGAAATTGAAATATGATACTTTGAGCGGATTGACAGTGAGTCTACGGCTACAACAACAAAACGGCTTCAGTGTGACTGAGTTTTTTTTTTCTTCTTCAATTTTTTTTTTGTTTTATTTTGTTCATTTTATTGCACACATTATTATTGTATATAAGTAAAACGGAATGCCATGAAGATTGTTGAAAGAGGCCACCATCAGAAAAATATCACTGTGAGTTAAAACAAAACCAACCGAAAACGAAAAAAAAAAATTATGCGAAAGAACAAAAGAGACATAAAGACATCCTCAAAAACTTTGTCGTCTTAAGACAACTTTTGACGTGCACAAAAGTTGCCATATGGACGATTTGGCCAAAGAAAAAGGCAACAAAACCAACGGAAAATGGTCGCATTTCTTCAAATCGCCTGAGTGAAAATGCTACACACCGTATACACGCACCACACATTTCTTGTGATCAAATATCCAAAGAGTTTAGTGTTTAGCAATCCTGTTCGTTCGGCTGATTCGCATTTGCTTCGTTCACTCGACCATTTCCTTTTTGGACGAACGCTTTAAACCGCCTCGCGCGCTCGCGCACACATTTTTCGCTCCCTTTTTCTTGTCTTCGAATTGTGTGTGTCTTTTAATTGCAGAAAGTAAATGAACGGTGAACCCTTAGCCGGTTTTGATGTGTTGTATATTTTCCTGTGCGCTCGCATGATACTCGAAACTCGCATTTTGGCTTCAGCTTATTTATTGTTTGTTTGGTGGTTTACCTCTTGTTTTGGTTATACGTTTTTTTAAAGAAAAAAAAATTATTTGATTGGATGAAATTTAATATCCAATCGACAACCTGCTTATCGACGTCAAATTCAATGAGTATAAAACGTATGCATGAATTACAATTGAGCATTGGACGGCGACAATGACGGTGAGACAACAGCAGTGGCAATGCGTTCATTTCGAACGAGATGAGATGTACCCCGAGAACTAAACTTCTGCTCACTTTGTTTCGGTTCGGTTCAGTTCAGTATTTCATATTATATATTGTCTCAATATATTGTTGCTATATTTTCAAGTGCTTTTACTTACTGACTGACTAACTTTACTTGCTGCTTCGATAGAGATGAATATCAATTTCATTTAGTCTGGATTTGAATTCAAAACACTATTTGCAGGTAGTTGTTATACCAGTTAGCACAACAATTTTGCAGTTTCTTAGCTGCTACTACATTCAGCCGCCCTCCCCATATCATTCAAATGGATACATACCTGTCTATCTTCCTATCATCGCATCTAACTATCTATCATCAACTTATATTGATGAAGACGAAAACAAAAATAAAACATAAAAAATCTACAATACATCCGAGTGCATATAATTGCATTTTATCCTATCAATTCGATCTAGATCATCGTTTTGCATTAGTTAGATTGTCGGCTTTGCTCGTTGCCAACAATACAAACACCAATCAAAATCGGATTATGAGCATTGTGATTGTTACAAAACTGCTCTCTTTTTCTTAGTTTTTTTTGTTTGTGTTCTTCGGTTTTTGTTGAAATGAGAAAGAGAGCGAAACGCAGTGAGGAGGCCCTTTCAATTCCTAAGATTCTAACAAATGAACAATGCCCCGGATTAGATTAATTCCATTTTCGGTTTATTGTGTAAATGCGGTCATTCATAAAATGTTTCAACGTTTTATATTTTTTGCTTCTGTTTAACATGAGACACATACGCACGGAGGAGAAACGAAAAAAAAAATGTATGTGCAGTCGCACAAAAACCAAAATGCCAACGCACAACAACAGAATCAATGTACAATAATTTGTACATTTTTGCACTGAAAACAAAATTTTATCCATTGTTTGTGGAATATTTCCGTTTTTGCTCATTTTTACGATTTTGGAAACCATATAAAAGCCTTAAAAAGAAGTCTTAACACACACTCACGGTTGTTCGGGCACTCCAAATTGGTAAACGATCATTCGAATGAACAAAAAAAAAAGACCGTCAAAAAGAACATTCGTTTTTTGTGCAGAAAAATAAGAAAAACTAATACTTGAAGTATTTTCAAAAAAAAAAGAAAAAAATTACGACGGCGCAGTGCGTAACCAAGTGTGTAGCGCCGGTAATTTTGGTATTAAGTCGAAAAATTAATTTACTTGTTGAGGTTTATGCTTAGGGGTGCACAAACAAACCCGTAGAGAAGAAGCAAAAGAAATAAATAAATATGTAACACGTCGGATGAATGAAAAATCAACTGGAGTCAAATTTATGCTATTTTGTTAAAGAAAAAGAAAAATGAAAAAAAAGAGAATTTAATAAGGAAAAACATGCACAATAAATATTAATCACTTAAGTCAACACACATGAACTACAACAAATTGCATGTCTACAGCTAATAATTTGCTATTTGATTTGCACGACAGGAATCGAATGGCACCGTAAGGATTTCAATTCTTTTCGTTTTACAAAACCACTCACACTCGACAGCCGAACACATACACACAAATCGTTTATGAACGACAATTGCAACCGAAATTACAACAGAATGTTAAATGTACAAGCACACACACATAATATGGAATTGCCGATGACGGCGACCAGTACACATGTATCACATGATACCACCGTCGGCCGATGCTCACCGCTCAACTCTGGCGTCGATTCCAAAGTCAATTTTATATTCACACAAGAACAAGTTGAATGCGTCTGTGAGGTAAGTGTTAAATTGAATACCATCCCGCTGAGTATTTATGTGATTTTGAATATTGACAATTTTATCAACACATTTAATCTTTCTCTCTTTCAAATCGACCATACGAAGAACATTTTTTACATTCCAAAATTCTTAAACTCTAAATCAATAAAACAAACAGAATAGCAACAAAAAAATATTCAAATTATTTAAATTATTTAATTGGATTATATATGAACAAGTATTTTCTTTTCTTTTTTTTCATGTTTCTTTTTATGTGTTTGGTCATTTGGTATTTCTTTTACATCGTCACATTTTTACCAAACGAAAACAAAAAATGGAAAATAAAATTCATGTAGGTATTACAACATTCGGGTAATATTGAACGGCTGGGTCGTTTTCTGTGGTCGCTTCCACCCTGTGATAAATTGCAATTAAATGAATCAGTATTGAAAGCAAAATCCGTAGTGGCGTTCCATCGTGGACACTTTAAGGAGCTATACCATTTGCTTGAACATCATCAATTCTCACCGCAAAATCATGCAAAATTACAGTCACTCTGGCTGAAAGCACACTACATTGAAGCCGAAAAATTACGCGGCCGACCGTTGGGAGCTGTTGGCAAATATCGAGTCCGACGGAAATTCCCATTACCGCACACAATCTGGGATGGCGAAGAAACTTCATATTGTTTTAAGGTAATACATTAAATTCAATCACACGCATTTTTCATCTCTATTTCTCATGTAGCACAACAATTTTTATATCTAAAAATATCATCCCCAATGAACAGTTAAAAATGCATAGTTTCCGTGAATTTATCGAGTGTATATGTGTGTGTTTTAGTGTGATGTTTTTTTTCTCAAGTCATAGCAGTGAATTTATTTAATAGTGAAGAAAAATTATGATATTGTTTAACACAGTTTGACATTCGGGGTCAATTTTAATGGTTCCCAGTGGTTTTTTTTTGTCGTGTATCATAAAATATCATCAGAATTTATTATTATTTTTGTTCAAATCGAATCGTTAAATATACAAATCAGAAAAAGGGAATTTTTCTTTCTTCGAAATCTCTGAAAAGTGACTAATTTTAAACGAAATAAAGGGGAAAATTGAGTGTTAACGCAAAAAAATATCATTTTTCATGTGTGGAAAATGTAATGAAAAAAATTGCCGACGATAATGAGCAACGACGAAGGTCATGTTTAGGGTTAAATATTGTTTTCATTACCCTTTCATTGATTTTTTTTTTATAAGATCAAAGGTTTTCTCATTACAGTAACAAATTTGCCTGTTTTTTTTTTCTCTTACCAAAATTCTGGAAACTTTTAAAGAATCTAACGAATGGAAATTGTAGCAAATGTGATGAATGTTAAAATTTAAAGAATGTGTCGTTTCCCTCTTGAGATATTTTGTTTTTATAAAAGACTCAATCACTTCAATCCGGTCCGTACATATGTTTTGCGGCGGTTAAATAGAAAATAGAACGATTTTTTGGCATTTTACGTTCCTTCTTTGTGATTTGAATGAGATTTAACACATTTTGTGAAAGGCGCAAAAAAAAAACCTCCTCTTTTTCCATTTCCATATAGAATCGGCCTTTGTGACATGAAATAAAACAGTGATTATTTTTAGAAAATGAAACAATAACTCTTATTCAAAACCGATTTGTTCTTTCTTTCAAATTTTTCACTTTGATTTTCACGAAAAATTGTATCCCGATGATGACGGTCTTTTCAATGAGTTGACGTATGCAACGGACTTTCTAGTGCAGTTTTTTTTCTTCTAACTAAATAAGATTGTATTGTTTCTAAAAATAAGCAACGTTTTGTTTCGTTCTGAATGTGATTCATGTGATCGATAAATGTGAATGTTAAATTTTCTCGCAGTGAATTTGCTTCAGTTGGTTTGCATCAGAAGTTGAAGAGCAAAAAAAATAAAATGTGTTAAAAAAATATATAAAAGAAGTGATCGTAAGAAAAAGTGAAGAAAAAGGCTAAAAAGAGTTGTTTCATTTTCAACGCAGCCTTGTCACACATGATATGATCCAAATGACAGGCTGACTTGGTTTTTTTTTCACAGACAAAATTCAAAGAAAAAACGACGAAAACTGTTTGATTTGTCATTTTTTTTTGTTCATTTCTTTATTAGAACCATAAAAGCGAATCTGTTTTTGCTTTTTAAATCAAAAATAGAATCAGCGTGAATCAATAAAATCAGAATGTGTTAAGAAGAGAAATAAAAAGAGAAAGAATAAAGTTGTAATCTACCGTCGCACTTTTGTGTACGTGAGAATGAACATTTTCATAATATTTTATCAATATGCAACAATATTTATCGTGTTATAACTCCACCCAAACGAAGATAAATATACTTTTAAAGTCGTCACCTTAACAATGCACAATGTACAAGTAATTTTGAATAAAAATGATAATATTTCACTTCCATAATCGATTACAAATTGATTGTCCAATGTTGATAAAACGCATAAATTATGTACGATACGTTCGGAGGATGTGTGTGAGTGTGTGCAAAAAAGACAAAATTCCATTTTTAATGCTGAAACATTTAAAGAATAACGAAGAAGAAAACAAAAATTCGCAGTTCATTAATTCCCACATAAAAAAAGGCGGTTCAATCAGAAAAAAAACCACCTCGACGAATGAATGATCGAGGTGATGTTTTGAGTGTTTACATAAAAAAAAATCGATTTTGTCTTTGCTTGTCGCAAATTTTTTTTCTGTCTCTCGGTGAAAAATTGTACGTGCTACTTGAGTTCTTTGAAATTGTTCATAAAATCTTTCGTTTGGATTTATGACGATTTCAATCATTAAAAATAATAAATTCATCTTATTGTAGTTAGTAAAATTTAATGCAATAAAAAAATTAAAAAAAATTCATTGTTTTCCATAGGAAAAATCACGTTCAATTCTTCGCGAATGGTATGCACACAATCCATATCCATCGCCTAGGGAGAAACGAGAGTTAGCCGACGCTACAGGTCTCACAACAATGCAGGTATGTATCGATTAAAGATTATGTTTCTAATCGATCGTTGCTATAGCTTATGTTTCAAGTTGACATGCACATACAAAAACAAAACAAGTTCAAGAGTGTGTCTAATGTAATAATCATAATAAAATAATATGTTTTGAATAAATTTAATGTTGATGACATTCATTCACAACAGATTTCAAATTGGTTTAAAAATCGAAGGCAGAGGGACAGAGCTGCTGAACATAAAGAGTGAGTATCTTGCATCTTATCATTCATCTCTGATCATAAATTAAAAATGGTGATAAAAAAATAACAAATTGTTATAACATTTCTCCTCTTTTTTCTTCAAATTTATTTTTTTTTTGTTTATTTATTATATTATTTTCTTCTCTCCTTCTTGTTCTCTCATTGTAAATCACACACAGGTCTGAAGAAGTACGAATTTAAGGCCATTGGATGAACGCAATCTAAATAAGAAAAATAAATAAATTAAATCTCTCTTTTTCTCATAAGTTATAATTAAATGAATGGTTCATCCGTGCATGAACTAAGTCGACGAATTTTAAATATTAAATGTAATTGTAAGTTTTTAGCATTTGTAAGAACAAAATAAATCCTGAAAATTGTATAGTCAAACTTAATCGAGCTTAACTTTTGAATTTTGGCTTACGAAATTATCAAATAGTTTAAAATTTTAATTATTATCTATGAATGAAGAGGAAAAATGAAAATTTGTAATTGTAAACACACAAATACACATACAGAGAAACACAAATAAGCAAACAAACAAAAAGAAAAACACATGAAAATAGATGTAAAATAAAACCACACAGTTTTTGAACTGAACTGAACAATATAAAACAAACAACCAGACCAATTTTTATTTCATCACCTATATCATAGTATCTATATATCTATTATTTGTTATTGTTATTTCTGATGAGAGTAAAATCTATTTTCACAAAGTGTATCAAATGTCGGTGGTGTGCATCATCACCATCATCATCATCATCCTGAAGTGAGTATCAATTTGCCTGTTTGGTGCGTATTACGCATAATTAAAAAGAATATGTTTTGGTTTTTTGATTTGAACGCATGATTTTTGACCAGCCGACGCAAATATGCACGTGCACATCTTCCCCTAGTAGATGTACGGCATCATGTCGACAACGGTGATATCGACGTCGCTCACCTTTGCTTGTTGACTTAACGTTAAACAATTACAATGTGCTGATCCGTAATGTGTTTTGTACTCAATGCGTATGTGCGTGCATGTTGAGGGCTTGTTGAAGACTTAACGTGACGACTGATATAATGAAAAGAGGTAGGCTTACCGATCTGTTTTTAACTAGGGGAGGTGCGTATAAGTCTATTCAATAAAAGGATCGTAATTGGATTGGATGGTAGCATGGTATATTTCGACTGCTTTCTTGTTTTTGGTTCGTTTGTTTACTGTCATTATCTTGTTAGCAACCGAATTTTTTGGTAGATAATTGAAATCATTTCATATTTTGATGTGGCATACATTCGTTGAATTTCCCATCGTCAATGTCGATGTCGACGTCGACGTCGGTGGTGATGTTGATGTGGTGTATCCGTCTAAATTCTGAGAACAAAAGATAATCCATGTAATCTGTTTACTGACAGAGGTAATGGCATTCTTTTAAAAAGGCTCTTAAAAAATTAAATAGTATCATCTTTTTGTGGTCAAAAGCATAAACATTGACGGCCCCCGTCAAAATGGCTAACAATTTTACTTAGCGCTTTTTTTTATTATTATTATTATTGTTATTGAAAAGAACAACATTGAAGCATTGAAATTCTAATTATAAAAACGAGTAGCCAATACGCACCCAAATGCCTCAATTAAACAAAACGCTCGAAAGTATCCAGTTTCAGTGGCCTAATACTAGTAACTATTTTCAAGATCGTTCAATGTTCAATATAGACATTTTATACGTAATATACCCTCTGCTCTCGTTTTTAAACTATACTTTTATTTTTCGTTATCTGTTCATCAATTTAAATTGTTCGTCCTGTTGAACAGTTATTACCTATTGTGAAAATGATATGATTCATATCAATGTGATGGCTTCCGAAATTCACTACAACTTCTGTATCTCTATTTCTCTCCTTTCCTCTCTCTCTCTATCCCTGTCGCTCAACATTTCTCTTTTAAACAAACATACATTTTTCAAACACAAAATCATTGTTATGCATTTCGGGTATTATTTTTTTTTTCTCTTCAATTTGAAACAAAACAAACAACAGCATATTGTTTTCCGGAATGAAATGTGCATCTTTGCTCTGGCTTCTCATCGCATCGTGTGTACATATTTGTGTTTTGATGATTTCTCAACGGAACATCGAATTCATTTCATTTCTCTATCTCTTTTTTTCTTTCAGTCTCTCTCTCTTTCGCTCACTCGATTTCTCTCTCTCTCTTGGTCTGTCTCATTCATTTTGAGTCTTTCTCTATCTACCATATTTCATTACAGCATTTTCCCTTGGAATGTGCAGAGATATCGAATTACATGGTATAATAAGGGCGGTTCGTTATAACGAAATTAATTCGAAAACTGACGGGAATCGACCAAAAATAGAGCAACGAATTTCACGTAATTGTACGAATCATAATGAACCGCACACTTGTGAAGAGAAAAAAAGTAGTGGTAATTCATGATAAACAAAAAATTGCAATTTTTTATAATGAATGCACGATCGATCGTCATATTGTTTTGCTGATTATCCGGTGTGTATGCTTTTTTATATGGTTTCGTTGAATTTTATTCACAAAAAAAGAGGAAAAATTGGGGAAAAAACGTTGACTTTTGGTAAGAAAGGGTTTCGGTGTCTGTTTATTTTTTCGTAAAACATTCCAATTGAAATATGAACTTTTCAGTGAATTTGGCGCAAGTAATTCGATACTAACGTGCAAAAAAAACACACATAATATCAGCTCAATTCCCAATAACACTGTAAAAATATTGTCATGTAGCGCCATCTGTCGGAATTCTAGTGCGACACACAAACGTTTGCAAACGCAGAAAATCATTACAACGTTCGGTTCAATGTTGAATGTTTGACAGCTCATTAGTGAAAATAAAATATACACACAACACATAGTGACAGAGTGACAGATTGAGTCGCAGTAATATTCAATATTTTATCGAATTCACTTCGAGAATTTCATTTCTATTTTGTATTTATATTTCAAAAAGTTGTAAAATAAATCATGGGTTGCGATGGTGGTACTATTCCGAGACGCGATGAATTGGTGCGCGTTAAAAAGAAGCCAGAACAGGTAAGAAAATAAAAATATTACTTCCTGATGCGGGAGTATATTTGAATAATTCAACATTTCTCAAAAAACATGTATTCTAATTTCCAATTTATTATTTATTTCCTGACACAAAAAAAAAAATCGCACAGAAAGACAAAGAATCCGAAATGGCATACCGTTGGCGTCATTGTGCATTGACTCAAGAACGTTTGCGTGAGCCAATTGTGATGTGTGGCCTGGGACGATTATATTCAAAACAAAGTATTATCGAACAACTATTGGACAGAGAAACCGAAATGCCCGACACATGCAAACACATCAAATCGTTGAAGGATATTCGTGATTTGCATTTAACACCGAACCCAGTGTACAAGGATGAAGATAAAACTGAAGGACTATTAGACACCCGTAGCGCTCCATACATTTGTAAATTGATTGGCTTGGAAATGTCGGGAAAATTTCGTTTCATTGCCTTATGGTCATGCGGTTGTGTATTTTCTGAGCGTGCTCTCAAGGAAATCGGAACAAAAGTTTGCTCATTGTGTCAAACACCGTTCACGGACGATGATGTGGTTATTTTAAACGGAACGGATACTGAAATGGAAGAGATGGCCGAAAAAATCGAATTACGCGCTGTACGTCGAAAGGCCGATAAAAAAAGCAAAAAAGAATCGAAAAAACAAAGTGTAACATCAACAGTTACATCGTCCACTGCAACCACTTCTACAAACGTAAAAACCGAACCATTGGCCAGTGGAATGAATGATTTGAAACCAATTCTTACGACTAAAATCAATAAAACTCAAATGCTACATCCAGAGGCAATGAAAGAAGCCAAGGCAGGCCCATCAAGCAGTAAAACACTGTCGAAAAAAAACAAACGTCCTGGTGCCGAAGAAGCACTTCTTGATCCCGAATTGAAAAAACTCAAGAATGATAGTAGCGTTGCAAACGATCCAAAAGCTACGGCCGTCTACAAATCTCTGTTTACCTCACACGAAAGTGCACAGCAACAAGACAGAGCTCATTGGGTTACATACAATCCATTCTACAATTAAATTTGATTTCTACTTTGACCTTTAAAGACTTTTAATTCAAATTTTCTTCAGTTTTATTTTTAAATTACACAATTGTATTTTGCTCTTTTTGAATGTACGTAATAAAATTGATAACGTAATTTATTTCAATTCGTCTTTTTATCTCATCTCTGTTTTGACTTGAATTTTGAGTTCATGGAACGATTGAAACAATGCCATTGACTATATAAATGCATTGAATGATAACATTCGAGCCATAACCTCAAAATTTGGCATTTTGTTCTTGATTACTTTCAGTGAGAGACACTCAATAATTGATCATGTGAACTATATAAATTGTGTCGCCGAATTGACGAAAGCATGTGAAATAAAAAGAGCGAACCGCATACAAGTGCTTTGCTTAAATGTCAAGTACAGTCGCAATTGAAGAGAATTAAAATGCAATTGCATGGCTATTGTATGATACATACATTCACGTCATGCATTTACATAATGAAATCGCTTGATTTTCTGTGTTTTGTTTTAATATCGAACGACAATGCCAAGACGGTTGGAATGAAAAGTGTAGTGTGAAAATCCATGCAGTTCGACCGTGTCGTGTGTGTGTGTTTGCATTGTGTGCCACAAGTCAGTTTCTATCGATTGGTGAAGAGCAAATGTTTTTATTTCATTTTTTTTTTTTGTTATCGTCACCGCTGTTATTGACAAATTTGCAAACGACACTTGTTAAAACCACCAAAATAAAATAAATAAAAAAAGAGTCACCGATCACAAATTTTATTTTTGTGAATATTTTAGACAAACATATCCCGGTTCTTTTTTTCGTGCACCTTATTCATCGGATTCGAGTGAAACGAGCTCATTCACAGTGCAACGCTTATCAAGACAACACACACATTCCGATCGTGTCTTCTCACCGTCTCGTAGTAAAAGACGAAAAAAATGTTCCGAGAAAAATTGTAATAAAAAGGGAGTCAATCGGACGAAATCAAAATTAAACATCATCACATCAAAACACACAAATACAAAATAAACATACAATCAAAGTGCAAACAAATACACAGATACATACGCACGCACGCAACGGCAACAAATCAGTGGTCGAAAAATCAAAATATACAGAGCACGCATGTAAAAGAGAGTGAAAACGGACAGTCAAAGGAGAAAGAGACCGCAAACCGACACCGAGTGAAATAGAGTGATGTGCTGCATGAAAGTGGAAACGAGAGTGGAAACGTGAAAACGGAACAAAACGCAACGACGAATGGTACGCTGTTCGATATCGTTTAGTGCATGCATAAAAAGACAACATAAGGTCTTTTGTTAGACACTTTCGTGCACATCAAACAGACTACATCACATTTCACGTACAACAAACGCAAACATACATAACATCACATACACAAACACAATCACATATAACTCAGAAAACGAGTCGTAGGCAAAGCAAAGTAAATGAACGAAGCGGAGAATATATAGAAAACATTGTGTGGTTCGAGAACAACACATTGAAACGCATTTAAAATGTCATCTGTCAACGAAGAAAATCCTCAGCATTTTTGATAGTCAACCAAAAAGAAAATTCGATTCGACATTTATTTCATCGAGAAATTCCAACTCTCCTTCATTCTTCAGTTTCTTCGTTACGATTTTTCGGTTTTTGTTATTTTTTTTTTAATTCCACAAAATTTGTTCCTTTTCGCCGAAGCCAACAATATTCAGTGAATAATTTTCAGTGGCCATTTAGTGTGTATTTTTGTTCTTTCCTATTTAAACCGAAAGAAGAAAAAAATATATATATATTAGTTTAAAACGTGTATTTTATCGCTTTTGTATTCTTCCGTCTTTTTTTCCTCGCAACAAACACATTTTTAGACTGATTTATATGATTCAACTCATTTTATGTTTTAGTTTTTTTTTGTACTTTGAATGTGAATTTGAAAACGAAACGAAAGAAAAGTGATTATTGATTTACTGTTTAAATAAATTTGAAGCCATTTCTATTCGATAAATGTAAGTGGAACTAACGAAAATATTTTTAACATGCTTATTGTGACTTTATGCAATGTGTATCGATAAGAACGCTTTTTTTTAAACGGTGAAATCTCATAGAAAATAATAGCATTTGACTGAGAACAAAAAAAAATCTAACGCAATAGAGGTGAGTAATCACTAGTCATGTTGAATGCTGTGTGTAATGTTTCTGGTATTGTGTTCTCGTTTTCATGTGGCAAATGTGTGACTTCGATTCCAATAAAATTGATGAATTTTATTTACATTTCACGCTTCGATTGTTTCATGTGCGATATGAGTGACTCAATGTTCGCCAAAAAGTGTGTGTCTCTTCGAGATAGAGATAGATATAGAGTGAGATAGACAGTGAATATGGATTTTTCACGCAAATACTTTTTCACGCAGTGCAAATAGTAGTTTCTTTTTGAATAATTATAACGATCAAAATGCGGTCAAGAGCAGAATGAAGAGAATCATCATAATATCCCGAATATCACCTGTGTTATTCTCTTGTTGTTTCACATTGTGAAACACATTCAATTCTTCTAGTCTGTTTTACTTTGAAATAATTTCGACATTTATTTTATTTAATCTTCTCGAACAGCAAAAATTGAGTCGCACATTAAAGTTTGGCAATTAGAAAAGATGAATTTCTCTCTCGATCTTTCGACGATGGATTTTGATCGTTTGACATCAAAAAAAAATTATTTACTTATTATAAGTTATTTTGTGTGCGGTTGTTTTTAAACGCATAAAAGAATAAAACTTGTTTTTGTGAAGTAATATTGGGCTGAAGAATAAACAAGTTTCGACATGATTCGATCCAATCGATTATAATTCAACAGTATCAGTCCACGTGTTTGTCGTTGTCTGTGTAATAACAAGACATTTTTCTCTGTTTTGATGATTGTAGGTTTTATTTCATCGTTATCGACCATCATTCTGCCATACGCAGTTAATTTGAATCGAAGATCGACGTTCGAACTTTGTATTTTTCTTCTTTTTTTTCAAATTGAATTTGTGTGTTTGTGGCAAACGAGAGAAGTGGTCTATTTTGTTGTTATTTCGATAGAAATTGAGTGGATTGCATCGGTATCAGTCCGTATACTACGATTTTTTTTTATTCCAAATAAAAATTCACACGAAATTCAACAAATGTTTCAACCAAAAAAAAATCATATTTTCTGAGAAAATCGAATAAATAAATACTTGGGCTGCCAAATGCTAAAGTAAACAACTTATGATACGATAAAAGTAAAAATAAATCAGACTGAAGCAAATACACAAATCAAATTTAGCATTCATTTTAAATAGAAAACCAAACTGGAACCAATATTGTCTACGTGCGTGCGAACAGTTACATGATTGACAGATAAATATAATTACATTTAAAAATAGATTGCATTTTGAATCTGAGTGAAAAAAATTAAATATTTTCAGCCCGGTTTTAACCCACCTCATTTATCGCGATCAATGTTTATTGACCATTTTGCCAGTCCGACTTGGCCAAGTCGTGATCTTGAAACACAATTAGTGTTTAGATTGTTAAATTACAACAATACCTGTGTACATCGACCATCGATATAGTTACGGCTTCGCTCTGTGTGTATATCGGGCTCTGTTTGTCTCTGTCAACATACATGCGATTCACGCGCCCATTAAACACCATTTAGTATATTATCGTGTGCAAATTATACTAACAAACTCCATTTTTTTGTATATCTCATTTAAACGTTTGCCGTTTGCGATTGCTGTCCCGGCTGTTGTTGTGGCCGCAATAGCAATTTCGTTATTGTGATCAATAATTTGCAATAATACTTTCTTGTTAGTTCTTATTGAAAATGCAATAAATAACAGAAATAAACAACAATCTAAATAATAATATAAACGTAAAAAAGCCCCATCCACATTTCGAATTAGACGATCGCACGCGCATATGTTTGTTCTTTTTATGTAGTAGAAAACTGAGGTATATGATATTGCAAAAAATGAAACAAATTAGCGACAGTCAGTCAATCGCACGAGTGACAGAGAGACGAAATGTCAATAAAATAGGCAATTGATTGGAAAAATCTGTGTATAGTAGAAATTCAATTAAATAAAATACACGAAACATGACAAAACTAAGATTGACGGCAATTTAACATTGAATACCCGGAGTTAATCTCAGTATTTCAATAAAAGATTCGACAGTTTAACGTTCATCAATCGGGGAATGGGAAATGTACATTTATTCATGCATTTTGTCTCGCCGTCTGCATTACGAAAATTGAATTGTTTTTTCTTCTTGAAAATTGTTTTGGTGCGGGTACTACGCTCCCTTAATTTCGCGTGTTATTTTGTTTTTTATTCACGGTCGTTCCATTTAATTTGATTAAATGTTTTGTGTGTGCATGATAAAATTATTGTTTACGTGAACGTTTTTGTGTCTTTGATTTTCACACATTTTAATAAAGGTGAAGCGCAAATATAAACGATTCATATCTCGGCCCACACATATTCTTTTGCATGACATCGAAACGTGTTTGGTTTAAATGATTATACAGGATTTTTGTTTGCCTCGCTAAATATTGGCCAACGGCTTTTGATTCCACGAGTTCAGAAGTCAAATAAAAGCATATGCTTTATCATTGCGGTCGGTGTGCAAACTAAACGAAAATTAGTTCAATATTCAAGTCACATGCTATTATTCGTCGATGACATTCCCAAGGGGTTACATTTGATTTGCACCTATTAAACTTCTTCGTTTTGAATGTTTTAAAGAATGGATTTTGGCGCATCCGTTTGACTTTACATCCCTTGTGCACACCGTTCACTTTACCACTTCCAAAAATGGAAAATGCAGTGGCATAGATTTTTTTGTCCATTTTGATAATTCAATTTTGTTTATGAAGCCGCAATAGCACTCTCCATCAGACTGAATTTTAATTTTTCTTATCGTATAGAAATTCAAAGTTTGTTTGAGTGTGTTTCTTGTTTGTCGATTTATATGCACATGCATCAAAATAATATTTATTTATTTTTTTATTTTTTATTTTTTCAATAATTTTTCTCCTTCTCTATCGCCCATTGATATAGATTACTGATTGGAAATTGCAAAATCGGAATTTATATATATAATCAACGTGATTAAGAGCCGTCGCACAGCAAATGACAATGATTCATCGTACAATTGCAATCGGCAAAAAATCATTTTGCAACTATTATTAAACGGATAATCGCAAGCGCACGCGAAAGAACACGCAAATTAAAATAACAACAATAGCAATCATAATAATTGTGCGGTTGAAGGTTTTGAGTATGTGTTAATCAGTTTTTCTTCCTTAAATTCGCATAATCGTTGCAAGAAATTTTTATTTACCACAACAAAATATCTGTGGTCACAAGTTAAAATACAGCTACTCTAGCATACTCATTAATATGGAATTAGGTTCGTAGTTAACATGTGAATTATCGAAAATATTTGCGGTGAAACAGAGTTATTTTGAACGCGTCAAAAGGATTGACATGACAAAGGAGTGCAAAGACTGTGTTAGTACGTGACAACGCAATACATATAATATATAAACCACAAATTATCGTACACAACTTTTGGAGAGAGAGAGCGAAAAAAAACTAAAACGAACCACATACAAATTAGATTGTTTGGCTGATTAGCGAAATCACGAAACATACCAAAAAGAAAGAAAGAAAAAGAAGATACCGAATAGACTGCTAAACAAGAAGAATTTTTTTTACGCAAATTTGTTTGTTTGTATTAGAAGATAGCCCTAATTGAACTGGAAACTCAAACGCGCACGCACATTAAACTTTATACGCAAGTACTTATAAGAATATTTTTTTGGACTGACCGAAACAATTCGAAATGGGAGTATGTTTGTGCAAAAGTAAAACATCGGACGATCTACCGGATAATTTGTCACAGAGCGGCCGACATAGTACGGATTATGGAAGAAGTTTTGGCCGACACGCAGAACGATGCGATGAATCGTTATCCGAAACGGTTGATCGTTTGGTTAAGGAAACCCTCAAAGTGATCGGCACTATTGTGGACAACGAACCTGAACCACCCAGCTCAATGGTATTATTTCAATTTTGATTGACATTATATTCATCTATTTTATTCTCTGAAGATTTTTTTTTTCTTTTCTGAAATATTTTGAATAATTTCAACAACTATATTTTGTTTTGTTTTCGTTTTTGATTTGGGTTTTTCATTTGTTGGCACACAGGTACAATTACATGACATAACTGATAAACCAAATGGATGGATTCAATTGGTAAAATCATTGATTCGTGTCGTACCAATTGAGCATGCGATGGGGCCCAGTGTCATAACCTTATTGTTGGATGACAGTCCTTTACCCACAAAAGATTCAGTCCTTGAGGTGGCTGACATGATATCATACTCGCTCAGACGTACTCCGCGTCGAGAACGAAATTTGTGTGTGATTTTAGGTTGTCTGGCAGAAAAACTAGCAGGTGAGCATGTTAAAAGAAACAAACAACAATCAAATTAATATATATTAACGTTCAATTTTTCGTATGTAATTTTTTAAGGACCAAGCAGTATTGCGGTGTTGTCCGAGAGTACATTGAGTTATTTAATAGGCAATTTGGTAAGTCGATCGAATTGACTATATCTGTATGAGTTCTTTAATTGAATTTAATATTTTCTGAATGTGGTGATAGGATGAAGGAATCTACCCGGAAGTGATGCTATTTTCAATTATTGCATTGGAAAAGTTTGCACAAAAAAGTGAAAATAAAGCTACCATTAAACGTAAATTGGCCATGTTCCCAGAGAATCCATTATTAAGACTTGAACGACATGCAAATAGCGATGACTATACACTCAGACAAGTTGGCTATTGCGCACGATGGTGTCTCGATAATTTCTGTAAGTTCATTTTTATACGAAAAAAAAGAAGAAGAATTTATTCGACAAACAAAATGTCATGACCAGAAAAGACTTTAATCGTTTTGTGTTTTACTTGCAGTTATAATCGAAGGTCGAAAATATTCTTATGAAGTGGTTGACGTATCTAATGTGAATGTAATGCTGAACACCCGTGACGTATCGGAATATTTGAAAATTTCACCGGATGGTCTGGAGGCGCGCTGTGACGCATATTTGTTTGAGAGCGTTCGATGCACATATCAAGTTAATTCAGGTTGTTGGTACTATGAGGTAACGATCATCACACCGGGAGTTATGCAGATTGGTTGGGCCACCAAAGATTCCAACTTTTTGAGTCATGTTAGTAGACACTTTACCCTTTACGAATAACGCTTGAAATTGAATGGTTTTGGAAACGGGGTATTTTATTGCATTTCTTTATTGATTTTACAGGAAGGCTATGGCATTGGAGACGATCCATATTCGATTGCATTCGATGGTTGTCGTCGACTCATATGGCATAACGCAAAATCGTTGCCACATGACCTTCCATCATGGCAAGGCGGTTCGATTCTTGGTATATATATCAAAATTCATTTATTAATTCAATTAATTCAATTTTTGTGAAAACTCTCTTTATAGGATGCTTACTAGACTTGGATGCTCATGAAGTGATCTTCAGTTTGAATGGTGTTGAGGGCGGTGTTCTTAAACAAGTGTTTGGTAGTGCCAAGTGAGCATTTAATTTTAGCTAATTTTTGGGTTGTTTGAATATTTTTCGATCGGCTTTTTTTTATTTTCACAGAGATGGATTTTTTGCAGCAGCATCGTGTATGTCGTTTCAACAATGCCGCTTCAATTTTGGCAGCGAACCGTTCAAATATCCACCAAAGAGTCGATCATTTGACAGCTTTAATTCACATGCATATCTAAAGGACCAAGATAAAATTGTGTTGCCGCGCCACTTATTCCTCGAACAATTACGAAAATTAAGCGTTCGTGAAGATTCATGTACATTATGTTTCGATTTGAAAGGCATCGTACGATTGGATCCATGTTCACATAGGTAAAATAAACCTAGAAATATCATTAACATTGCAATTTTTTATAAAAAGATAGAACAATGATAAATAAAATTTCATTATGATTTTAGGGGTTTTTGTATGACATGTGCGATGCAACTGCAACACTGTCCTTTGGTGAGAGAACTCTTATACTTACTTAAATCGCAACAAACCCAGAGATTTTTTGTCTGAACAATATGCGTAAAGAGAAGTGGTCTAAGAGGTGTCCGGTCCCTTTGAGCGCTTCTCTTTACATATATTGCTCTGAGAAACCGTCTCTGAAGAAATCCAATGAGAGAATATACTAATTAATTCAAATATAATTTCAGTGCCGTGCAGAAATTGTAACAATAGTAAAAGAGGAGAGTGACACACCGACATCAGATGACGTTTTAACGTGATCGACGCCATTGATGATCATCGAAAACTATTTTGGATCGAAACTTAAGCAATAACATTTCAGTTGATCATCTCAACAATCACATCGCAAAAAATCAATTTGAATAAAAAATTAACGAAAAATGCCTAATATACATTTGAATAACGCTCATTGTGTCACACACACATACACATTATACACCACATACACCCTCAACGTAGTTGGATTCACCTATCAGCTATATGAATACACACACATACATCAGGAAATATGTCATCACTTTTGCAAATCTTTGACAATATTGCGCAATTTTTTTTTTATTTCGATTTAATTGGAAGAAAAATATACGACGAAAACCACATTTTTATGAACGCAATGCAAACAATATATTCAATATAACTATATATCAAGGTGGAAAGCGAAGAACGATTCCCATAACATCATAGAAAAAAAGAAAGAATATTAGAAATAGTTAAACTATATATGCAAAAAAACGACAAATTTGCGCACAACTTTAACCTCATCGGCCTTTGAAATCCACTATAATATGTGATCGCCTCATTTTTTTTTTCTTCATTGTGACAAACAATGCCATACCTTATAAATGAGGAAAAAAACAGAGTATATATATATGTCCTCAAATGAGTATTGAATGTTCATGAATAATTCTAAATTAAAATTGTAAATCATATTTAATTTTTTATTTTTTTAAAAAAGAAGGAAAAGATGACAAAGAACAAAAGTTCGTCCCTAAACTCTTTTTTTTCATCTGTCGACTGGCGCTAAGTTTCGATTGTAAACAGTGGAGCTAGTACCTAGCCATTACATTACATGGAACACACGCAAACAAACCACAACACACACAAAAATATTGTACATATTATATTTAGACATTGATTGATTTAGATAGAATGTAAATTTACCGAACATTTATCAATTAATAATAGATTGTAAAAGTGACAAATTTAGCTTTCATTGTTTTCTTTCTCCATATTGTCGTCGTTCCAACGGAAATAAGAATCCAAAAATATCTTTGCACCGTTGAATAATATAGTGGTTATTTTCTTTTCTTCTGTTCTGTTGATTTAATTTGACGTGTGTATATTTTTGTCGATTTGATACGCTTTTTTTAACAATTATAAAATGTGTTGTCCGTCTTTGAATGTTATTTTGCAATGAATCAGCTTTTGATCGGTCATTTCTAATAATGGTTATAAATCGAAAAAAAATTGCGCCTAACGTATAGACATTTAATCGAAAATTGTGTTGAGAATCAAAACAAGCTCAATTAAATTGTTCAACGATACTAATTGCTATAAATTGTTACGCGAGACTAGACTGAATGTAGGCGGTTTCTGACGCACATTCTGGAATAGAAATTGAACTTTTTTATACCTGAACGAATGAATGAATGAATCCTCATAAAACTAAAACACAAAGATAGAACATTTTTATATCATACTCATGTCATTGTATCGAAAATTATTTTAATAAAGTATATACAAAACATATATAAGACAGCAATAACAGCTGAAAATAATTGAATGGTTTCTTTTTTTAGAAGTAGTCAACGGCAGAGTGACATTGATTCATGGAGTGTTTCCGACGATATACGCATTACTGTGAATGACGTGCGTCATTCATGGCAAACATATTTGGATAACTGAAGAACTTTCGAAATACGTGATTACGTTATTTCGTTCAAATCAATTATCACTCGTTTTCGTTGTAAGTCGATGAATTCGACAAAATCTTATTATTTGAACAAGTGGTAAGTCGAAAAAAATCGCAGATTTTAGATAACTGTTTTTTGGGTTCATTGAAAAAGAATATTGCGATGTAAACACTTGAAATTCGACGCTATTTTGAAGGTTTCTTGCACTTGTTTTGCCAAAAAAAAAAGATTTAAAGTGATTAATTAAAAAAAAGAGATGAAAAATTAAGACAAAAAAAATGGAAAAAGCAAATAAGATAAAAACAAGAATAATAACATTCCACAAAAGGTAAACACCGAAGGTTACAACAAAAACTTGAAAAAAATCGATTTGAAAGATATAGAGTTTCTTGAAAATTGATACTCATTACTCTTCACCTCTGTTTTCGTTGAAGCATGCATTTTCGTGTTCAACGACCGAACACTGAGCAGTATGCAGATTCCATGATATTGTTTTGATGTACGTGTGTTGAGTTGTGCGTTTGATGATGTTTCGAATCCACAAGTCGCACGTGTACACACATTTTCCCCATTCAATTCGTTTGGCTGCTGCAAAGGAATTTAATATGCATAAGGAAAATTCGACGCTCATGCGCAGTCAGAAAATCTGTCCTCTGACTGTGTTTATTCATTGACAATCCATTTGGTCGCACGGTGTGTTTGTGTATGCGTGTGTATATGAGCGTTCTCAGTCGCATTCCATTGTTTTGTTCTGTGTGATATTGGTGTTGCTGTTGTTGTTGTTCTGTTTTTCCTACTCGCATTACAAACGTCCGAACTTACACGAAAGGAGATAGAGAGATTGATAGAAAGAGTGAGAGAGCCTTATACACACATGCATGGAGCGGCGACGTCGAATCAAAAGCAGAGAGCAACACACTTTTCTCTGAAAAGAGAGGAAAACGCACACGAAAGAGAACTGAAGAAGTCGTTTTTCTATTCGATACAGAAGCATGGAAAGTTCAAAACGGAAAAGCTTTCGCACATAATACTCGTCACATCATTCAGCACTAGGTCGTCAAACAAGACAAAAAGTGCCATAACACACACAGCTGCTGTGTTTTATTTTATCGACCAAAAAAGTAGAAATTCAAAACAATTTATTCGATTTTAATTTAAATTAACCAAATAGGATTGAAAGAAAATGTAATTGTGTTCATATTTATATTAATTATGTGTAGTGAAATTTAATTTTTTGGCGAAAAGAAATGACGAATGGTGTTGTCAGTAGAAAATTGTTGGTGTGTTCGATTCGATTTGTGTGTGAATAAATTAAATTGCGACATGGACTTCAGTTACGCAAAATATTGAAATTTATCTTTTGTCTCGGTGCAAGAATATTTACATGAAATTTAACATTATGTTCAAATCAAGGATACTTCATTTTCAATTCAATATGGTCGAATAATTGCATCTCGATCTTTCACAAATTTAAATCGCCTTGGCCGTCGTCTTTGCGCTCAAAGAGGCAGAAGAAGAAAAAAAAAAACAAAAAAAAACTCTAGACGTTGTTGAAAGAATCGATTATTTTATGCTTTGTCCCTTCGTGTCAAAATGACACTGGTCACTTTATCATCATAAAAGGAATTTGTGTCGGTATTGAATCACGAATATATCGGAAAATTGTGTGTGACATTTCAAAGTGGAATGGTTAATTTCAATTGAATTCTTATGTGTGTGTGCATTTTGCTTTCAATTATTTATTCGATAAGCTTGAATTGTTGTGATGCATTGTGAGAGTCATTACACCGATTCCAACGATTTCATTCAAAAGACAAATATCGACAAAGACACACACACACACACACAACACACACACTTATACGCAATGTGTATCCTCACGACGACTCGCACACACTTAACATCGATTTAAATCTTATGAAAAATGAACACAGAAACGCGAAATGTCTAACAGTGTAGCAAAGTCTAGCACGGCATAGTATATAGTATGTATTTTAATATTTCATTTCGCGTATTGATGCGAGAATGTTGTGTGTCGTATATCCTATACACACTGTTTACACATATGTAGGCCAATTCAGATCGGGTAAAGTGTTTTTGTATCGGTGAAAACAGAAAAATAAAATAAAAAAACACCAAAAATACAAGAGAGAAAGAGAAGAAGAAGAAATAAAAAAAAACGGTATGAATAACTCGGTTGTTGATGATGATGATGATGATGATGATTTTCTTTCGTCGTTTTTAGATTTTCCGTCAATTTTTCTCATTCTCGGGTCCGTTCGAATAGATGTGTATTCGTGTATGTGTCGAAAAGAACGAAGAAACGAATGAAAAAAAAAAACGAAACGACGGTATGACTATAGTGTACCATATCTACGTCTGCGATTCTCTTTCCCAGTATAACGACGACGAAAGCGAGAGCAATGAGCGAGTGTCGATTAAAAACTTAGAAAAACTACCAAACGAATTAATTTTTCTCAAGCCACACATCGGGAAATTTTTCAATATAATTTTTTTCTATCGAACAAAAACGAAACACCGATCACAAAACACATCGAATCGAATTTTCATCCAATCATTTTCCCCTGAACACATTTTTCCTCTTAGTTTTCCCATTTGGTATTTCTTTTTTTGTTGTATTGATCATCTCGCCATTAATTATTGCTCCTTTCGCCCAGTTTCATTCCCAATTCGTTTATTATTATTATTATTATTTTTTCCGAATATTCGTGTGCAGTATTCCGAGTTCATTCAATTTTTTTTCCTTTTCGTTGAACACCCAACGACCGCCTTTTCGAACAACACACACAGAAGAAAGAAAGAAATATAACGTGAAACAAGCAAATTTGGTTGGTGCTAGTTTAGTAAAATGATAAAAATAGAAAGTAAAACAAGTGAAGAAAGTTGGAATATTTTTTTGGGGTATGAAATGATATAAACAGTGACAAAAAAATGCATACATAAGAGCCGATAACAGAACTAAAGAAATAGTTTAAGTTTAATTGAATAGAAATGAAAATATGAACGTATATATCAGCTGAAAACAGTGTGAGAACAAAATAAACGAATTATTGATGCGAAGAAAATAGATGTGTGATTAAAAAAGAAAAAAAAGAAGACGACGACAACGAAGAAGACGGAAAAATGTAGAGGAATTAAATAGAAAATCATGTGCAGCACTGCTGATTTTTTCATTCGTGCAGCGTTTTGATGTGTGCGAGAGATACAATAAAACCGTCAAATTTTATTTAGAGCTCGCGCGCTCTCGTGTTGCTCATACAAATTTTCTATCTCGGTCGCATAAATCGTATGTTTATGGCAGAGAGAGAAAAAGGGAACGAGAAAGAGAAGAAGAAATACATATTCAAGTGTGTGATCACTCACATATGATTGAACAAATAATTTTACGACTCAAGCGAAAGGAAAATCATTTTCTTGGCAAAAGTCGGACCGCCGTGCCGACTATCAAAAAAGGGAGCAACCAAAAAGACGTCGTCGTCGTCATCATCATCATCATCGTCGTCGTCGTCGACAAATTATACACATGACTCGAAATATGTATTCCCAAATCAATTGAAAAAAATCCCGACGTTCAATTTTATTTACTTCAATGAGAAACACTTTATGTTTTTTCCCTATAATGACGTGGGTTTCCAAAAATATTCCATACAATCAAAAATGTTCTTTGTTTTTCTTTCATGTCATTTGAAAAAGAAATCGATCTCGACCAGAATTACTCTCAATCATTATGTTTCGATATTTTAATGAAGCAATCAGTTTGATAAAGTATAGGGAACACGAGACTAGCGAATGAGGTGAACTGTTTTTCAAATCAAAAAGAAGCAATTGATCGTGAGTGTGAGTGTGTTGTGAAAAGAAAAGCCCCAAAATGTTCTTCGTGTTATTTAAACAAACATTATATTGTCATCGATAATGATCATCATATAGTCGTCATCTTCAGTTCGTTGAATGAGTTTTTTGTGCAATTGGAATATTTATTATGCGCTATATAGTGTTTTAGTGTGACGAGAGAGAGAGAGAGAGAGAGAGAGAGAGAGAGAGAGAGAGAGAGAGAGCGAAAGTGAGAGTGAGTGAGAACCAGAGATGGTGTAGAGGTATTTCATAAAATTCGACTATATATTTTGTTTGGAATGGGTTTGTGAATGTAAGCGAATCGCTTTTCTATTCTACATAAGACGTACGTGTTATGTATAATTCATTTATTCGCGTTGTCCTCGACAGCGATTCGTTTTTTCTTCTTTCTCATGCCTCTTTTCCAACTCTATCAGTTTGTTTTTTTTTTGTCGTTTTATTTGTGTGTGTTCGGTTGGGTCTTCACACATTATGGGATAGTTTCGAATGCTTTTCAATTTTCATTCGGCACTTTGTGTGCGCTGCGTGAATCGACGGGATTTTTTTTTCTTGTCAGTTTTGACGGGACTCGAAATTCGGTATTATATTTTTCGATACATATTCTATTTCGAACAGTAGCGTATATATGTGCAAAAGAGAGATAGTGTGTTTTTCATGACTGCGTTCGCTCATTCAGTTCGGTTGTGCATGGCTTGTGTTTTTTTTGCGCTCACATCGGCATGCATACGGAGAATACAGAGGAATTCATGAACAATACGACCGAACAACTGAATCGATCAGTTGCGAATGCGACGAAACTAGTAGCTGATATTTATTTATAAATTATAATAGAAAGACTGTGGCTGGTCGAACAACATTCTTTTTTCGTCATCTTCTTCTTCAACTGTTTAACATCATCATTATTATTATTATCATTTGAGCACAATATAGTACAGCAGTTGCCACTTGTCTGTTTTTTTTTCTTTTCAAAATTAAAAAAAACGTTTAAAATATACTAAAATATTTGAGTTATCACGGGCGATCTATTGATGGGTCCACTTTGTTCATCAATAAAATGAAAATCGTTTCTTTTATGTGTTTTTCTTTTCACTTGTATCCGCACGATTCGATAATAAAATCGATTCGAATGAAAAGGAACATAATTCGTATATAGAGCATATATAAACCGAATTCAACTGGATTTTTTTACGCATTTTCATGGCCAAATCAATAAATCTTCTATTTAATCCAGAGAACATGTCACGTGCGTAATAAAAGGAAACAGTTGACGCGTTCGATTTTGAATCGAAGTTCAAAAGCATGACAAAGATTTATTTCGCTATCACAATCATCATCTCACAGTGTGCCTTCTAAACTGAATGTCATTGCGAGAGATGGTATGGCATTTTATCAATTGTGGGGGTGGGGAGCAACCATTTATCTAATTCGAATGATTTTGACATGAAACGGATTAAATGGATATACGAAAGGCGTCTATTTTCCGGTAGATTCTTTTTTATGTTGAAGCAAAAATTGATACGATATACGAATTATAATTTTGTCACTCGTGAAATCAATTCAAACTGCTACGCAGCACATACATCAACATCATTTCATTCCGTGTGCGGCAATAAATGTAAAACTAAGCAACAGATCCACTGATGCCTGTCATATTTGAATATAAATCATAGCATATGTATATAGACACTATGCGTGTTTGTGTTTACATTTTTGTCCACATAATCTGTGTGTACCACCAACGACGACAACTGCGTCGATGTTGATGATGATGATGATGACGATGACGAATATTTGCAGAACTGCAGAACGTGACAGATTCAAAAATGCGCGTCTCTCTCTCTCTATTTCAATTTATTTGAGAATTGTTTTTCTTTCATTTCTAGTTTCTTATTACTCAACTCGTTTAATAAAATATGAACAGAGCAAACGATAATAATATCTCAAAGTGTGCCTGCAGCGTTAGCACATATACACTACTCGAGTCTGTCAATGCGTTGAATAAATGAGCATCTAATTTCAATGGAAATGAAAATTATCGAAGCAATTTTGAATTGTGTAAAGAAAATTTCCATAATTCCAACAAATGGGCAAATCGAAATGCAAACAAATGCTGAAATAATAATAAATCTTGCGGCAAGATATGTATGTTGATTAGCACGTGCCAGAAGATATGTTAAATTGGAAAGAAAATTGCGAGATAACGAGCAAGCATGCGATGCGAAAGCGAGAGTTTGAAAGATGCAAAGGTTGTTTTCCTTGAATTTACATAACCCGATTATATAACGCCGTTACGAAATCCAAACATCGAACAGTAAATTTTCCAATTTTCTGCGAATTTTGTTGTTGGCGATTTTTTTTTTTCTTCAATTCGATGACGACGCCGATGTGTACATATTGATGTATACAATACATCACAGGACATGAAAACAGCCCATGGAAAGCTTCATTATTATTACTAGGAAATGTAATGAAAAACGACTCTTCGATTTTAATGCGTATCTGTTTCGTTCTGTATGTTCGAATGTACATAAAATGTGTTATCGCCAAGAATATTTGTGCACATTTTTTTCTGTTCGCTCACATAAAATTATTCGATGGAAAGTTTTGATCAGCCAACCACTGATAACCTCCAACATAAATGCTCATGTCATTTGTCGTCATAAATCTCGAATAAGTGTTTTCGTTGACAGAGAAAGCGAGAACATTAAAGGCGCTGTTTTATGTAATAAAATCACATTATGTTGAGTGCAAAACAGATTCACCCAAAGCTTAATTACATTATCGACCATTTTAGTTGAATAGCATTTGTTCGAAAACTGGAAGAAAATTGTGTACCAGTCAACAGACTTGTTGTTGTCAAACGAATGGCGCGTAATTTGTGTAACCTTTGACATTTCTGCAATTTTTTATGCGGATAAATTTATCAGTGGAACTGAATGAAATGGTCCATTTATTTATTTCTTGAAAATTCAATTAGCTTTCGTCGACATTCAACGAAACATGCTTATATTTATAATGGTAACATAAATATGTTCACGATGTCTGGTTGATTCGTGCAACTGAAATTTGATCATTTTCTATAAACCGATATATTGACGATGAATATTTCATTCGTGTTCCATGTTGTTGAGCGCTTTTATTTTGTTGCCCAGCGCATGTTGGTCGGCATGCTCTCTTTCTCTGTCACATTAACGACCTTCAGCCCATATCATAATAATTGAACACCACTCAGAGTCTTTGAGCAAATAAAAGCACAATATATGGCGAAATAAAAACAACTGATGTGTATCATGTTCCATGCAATCTATGTTGTTTATGCAATCCATGGTAAACACACACCCACACATGGCATGGCGACATTTCTGTTTTTTACCCCGCTGTTTCTGCCCTTCATTTCAAATATATACAGAAATGTATCAGACCCCATGTAAATATATAAATGATTGAATCCATATAAATATTTGTTAATTATTCATTCGAGGATTATATCATTAACGCGCATTGCCGCCTACGATTACTGTTATTATTATTGTCATCGTCCTCTTTTATACGTATATTTGTCGTTTTTCTCTATCGTGTCCGTCTAATCGTATCCATTATGTTTGTGCCTTTATTCAACGTTTCACAAAGAACAATTCGCAACGGTGAAATTTCGCTTCAATACCATTTGGGGACGAACAATAAAACAAATGGAAACTCGTTTGGTATTTTGTCCGACAAAAAATAGCCGCTACTCCACACTGTTATAAATTATTTTTTTTTCTATTATTCGTTTCATTGGTTATTTGCACATGTTTCAGCATTCTCTGAGGAACATTTTTTGGTTGATTTTATTTTTGCAATGTGAAAATAACTATATGAATCAATCAAAAATAACAAATTGGAATGTGAGAGAAAACATGCGTTTTTCCATTTCGCTTTTCATAAAATAATGACTTGATTAAGCATCGGACTGGGGTTCTAAATCATTCAACGGGAAATTCGGTCCTAAATTAAGAACCAAGAAACAGACTTAACTCCAATTAGACATCATTTCTCGGAATGAGTGTGTGCGGTGTGGTGAGTAAAGCCAGATTCAAATTTCAAACAAGTGAATAAACGACCATGCATTAGTCAAAATTGAGTGCGATAGAACAATTCATGTCCGTGCGCATACTAATCAAGTGATGAATACAATGTGGCATGAAAATGCGAGCAGCATATGGTTATTCGGAAGAAAAAAATAACGATGGACAGACAAACATTGTAGTCAATCGCCACTTTTTCAAATTTACAATTTTTTTTACATAAGAAACGATATTCGAAAGCGTTGGTTTGAGCATTTTGAACAATGTTTAGGATGATGCGAAAAAACAACAGCTCATACAAGAAATTGCGAACATTTTTTTGCTCGTTTTGTTTTCATTTTCAACGATTGTTGGCTGTGTCGAAACTCGCACCACATTTCAAGTGTGTATTTGAGGTTTTTTTTAAACAATGATCTATACTGAACCAGTGAATACACACAAATGCGATGGAAGTCACACGGCATTCAGGAAGCCTGACTCACAATTAAATGAACGAAAAGAAAACGGTTACTTTTGTGAATTACTCACGCATTATTTATTATCATCAAATAATTTTAGAATTCCGATGCGAATTTTTGTGAAAAAAGTTTACAAAACGTTCGTTGTACTCCCGTTTCAAGGGCAACAAAATTTCATGCTATCAACTAAACGATGATTGAGCAACGGAATCACATTTTTCGTATCGTGTATTGATCGATGAGAGCAAGCAATGAATGGAAAACGCGCTCGCATACCACATAAATGGCACTCACCAATAAAATAACGTATAACACACGCTTATCTATTTTTATGAAATAAGTAGAAGAAAAAAAACCTAATCAAATAAAAGCAACACATTTTTTAAGATTCTTTTTCGCTTCGTTTTTCTTTTCTGTACAACAGCCGTTGCTTTTATTTCACATTGGTGCCACCGTCGTCGTTGCTGTATTACAAAAGCACTGCGCTCAGCTATTTTCTTAGCAAGAGCTTTTGACAGATTTAGCCTTTGGATGTGTTTTTTTTTTGTTGTTATAATATCATGCAGCAATGGATATAAATGTGTGTATTGCTTTTCTTTTGTCTTCGTTTCTTTCGTATATTTTAAACAATCTATGTTTTGATTTCATAATAGAGATAGAGAGAAGGAATGAAAAACAAAAACGAGAAAAAGCAACAAAAGAAACCGAATTATCCATTTTCTAAAAAGAAATCGCCTGGTGAATGGCTGATTCCCGTTGATTGCTTTTGTATGGATGATTGGTGTACAAATGGTGAATAACGAGAGCAAGTCCTCGCGCGATATGCATTTTGAGATCAGGTCAAAATTTGAAAGAAAAAAAAACCATGTGCATAATTTATCATATATACGCTTATTTCTCTTTCTATCCTCGAGGTCTTATTAATTCAATCTCCTGAATGCATTACTTGCACTCGCTTTCCATTTTTCAAAGAATTAGATGAAATTACTTGACCTATTCACACGCGATGCATGCCACACTGTGAATAGAAAGAGAATAAAAGAAGCGAAAAAAATATAGAGAAAACAACAACAAAGAAACGCTGCACTTAAGAGCTAACGAAGTAGAAAAGACGGTGAAAAAAAATAGTCATGGCATTTTATTCTTTTCTTGCATGCATATTACTTGAATGTGCAAAACGAAGCAATGCTGCGAACGCAATAGCTGTATTCTTCACTTTTTTGTGTGTTAATATAATATGAAGAAAAAACCTGGAAAACATACCAATAAAGTGAAAAATGAGTGGAAAAAACAGAGAAAAGAGAAAAGAAATCCTGACACAAATCGTAAATAAACATAAACCGCATTATGTACACGGATTCTTTTTTTTTTCATTCCATTCCGTTTAATGAATCATAAAAAGAGAACAAGAATAATATGGGGTTTTAACCACAAAAAAGCGTTGATTTGATTTGCTTCTGACACTGTTGATTTTCCTTTGTTTTAGCAACCGAAATATATTCATGCTGTTCGTTGATTGTTTCAAAATCGATGTTTTAAAGTTTTTCCTTCGCTTTATAACTTTTTATTCTTATTTTCTCTTTTTTTTTTTCGTGTTCCGTCAGTCGAATTGTGCGAACCGTACAAGCCAATCGTCGTTTTTAAAAACGAAACATATGCGTTTGTGCGGCAAACTGAATACGGGATAGTTATTTTTAAGCATTAATTTGTTCACTCTCTAATAAATCGGGCTTCAACAATTTCATTCTCGCTGATCGGACAGAGACAGAAGGTATGAGTGAGTGAGTGTGATCTTTACATCTGTGCGTCTTTGTTTGTCGTTTGCATTTCATATTGGTCAGTGGTTCGGTTGATTTGTTCTTTTCGCCAAAGCGTACAGAAATGACATAAAAATTAGTTCATAGACCTTCCTAAAATAGAGCAATTTTCTCTCTAGTTCATTTAATGTAAATGTATGGAAAATGGTGTCGGTGTAAAACACTCAATCTATGCAATATCAGAGCTGACTGTTACAATCTCATTCCCTCTTTCTGCCTTTAAACATGAAAAATTGTAATATGATTTCCATTGTTTTTCTTCTTATTTTTCGTGCCCGTTTGTCGTTTTTTTGCTCGTTTGCTTACACATTATTTTAATTATTTCGATATGTTTTGTTAGAATAGGTCGAACTTCTTCTTCAACATTGTAGTCATTGTTTCAAAAACTTTTTTTTCTTATTCGGTATACATACTATTTGAACGCGCCTTCCCTAATCGCGCAACCGATGCTGTTTCATTTTAAATTGAACGGGTCAATTTTATTTATGTTAATTTTGGCAGTGCGCCGTGAGCTACACGCCTCAATCGCGCGAACCTAGTTGATCTGTACCGTCTGCGACGTTCAACTAAACACAACACACAATAGTAAGTGTGTGCGCGTTTACGATGAAAGCTTAACAAATCGGCAACAGCATCAAATGAAATTACTCATTCGTTGTGTCGGCTGATTGTGTATATTTTGTTACCTATGTTGTTCTCAATTAATTATAAATCCATTTGATTTGTTTGTTCCGTTTTTTTTTTGCGTGCGTGCACTACGGGGAGGCCAGAAATTTATGAATCGGAAAAATTTGTTTGTGAAATTACTATATTTTTTATTTCACTTGATTATGGGTTATCGAATCGAATTAATCGATCAAACGATCCTTCAATTTAATTTTTTGTTCTCACGTGAAGTGCGTGATGATAAATTTTCATTCAATTGCAATTTAACGTAGTCTCTGTTCGGTGCTAAATTTCATTTCATTGTATTTTACTACAGTTTTACAACTATAACTAACTACAAACGACCCAGTTGAGGATTTAGTATTACTATCGCTTTGGATACAAAAACGTAACACACATATACACAAGGAAATAAAGCAGTTGCCTGTTGTTGTTTGTTGATGCGAACACTAACACATGGAATACGATATAACTCAAATAAATTCAAAGCAAATATACGTGCACATGAGCAAATGCTACTGGGAATTCTGTGTGTCAAATGGATGTTGAATTAAGTGCAATTAATCGAACCGACTTTCATTGTGTTAATGAAAAGTACCATAAACTAGCTACAATAAATCAAATTAAAGGAGACAATTTTAACTGACACAAAAAAAAAGAGGAAATGAAAAACTCATTGTTAAAAACTGCGAGACATTTTTTTATATAAATTTCAATCATGTTTAAAACGAATCAAAAACGAGTACAAACACCCAAGTGGACGTGGTATTAATTTAATCAAGTTTTTTTTCAAAATCGAAAACAAAATTGATATTGATAACGAAAAGTGAAAACGTGGAAAATAAAAGTAGCCTTTCATATATTGCATCTAAATTGGGTCATAATCATGTGGGAAATACGCTTGAGTGTTTGCATTAAAATGCAATTGTTGAACTGAAAAAAAAAAACCTAACATTGGCAACCACAATCACCAAATCAAATTCCTAACATATTTGCGGTGCTGCACATTTATTTTGAATTTTATTCAAAACCATCGAACAAACGAGAAAAATATTTGAAAAAAGAAAATAGTATAAAACAATTGTAATAAAGTGAAAAAGTAAACGGTGAAACAGAGCAATTGAGAAAAAGAAGTGTCGATATATATTGTACGAATGTGCGCTTAACTGTGCACGCCTTTTTTTAATTCAACATACTGAATTCAGTTTTGCTGTCGTTGGGCGCGCATCTTCTTAAATTGCACATAGTGAGAAAGAGAGGACATAAAAAAGCAGACGAAACAAATAAAGGTAAAAAAAGCAACAACAGAGAAAACACAGTGTCGATTTCTGATCATTGTGGCTATTGAAAATGCAACAGCCACCATATTCAACGCAACAAGTCAATTTTAATTATTCCTCACAAAGCAATGAACCTCCAGGTAAGCAAAGATTTTTCTGTCAATTCGATTGATAGAAAAAAAAGGAAAATTTAAAGAATTTACAATTTCAAATGATTGAACGAAAAAAAAACAAAAAATCCTTTTATTGCAGCAAATGCACCAAATTCACCTGGGTCAGCAACGACCACAACGGCAACAACGCCGACAGCAAACGCTGCAGCCAATGCAAATTCATCGTCGACACGAGCTCAGATAAATGGCGGCCGCTTTGATTTTGAAGACGGCGGAACATATTGCGGCGGTTGGGATGAAGGTAAGCGAAAAAAAAGTCCACTCATACGGCAAACATCAAAGTCACTTACAAACACACATATCCACTCTCATCGGCCTATATCTGAATAAATTTCCACTTGGTTTATTTTCTCTGTTTCTCAATATTCGAAAACGAAAAAAAAAATGAAATACAGGCAAAGCACATGGGCATGGCGTGTGCACGGGACCAAAGCATCAAGGCGCTTATTCAGGTGCATGGAACTATGGCTTTGAAGTGTCTGGTGTTTACATCTGGCCAAGGTACATTTACGAAACCAATTCAATCCATTTTATTTCCATGTTTTTATCATCATTTTATGTCACCGACCACTAATTATCAACCATATTTCGATATATATATATATATATATTTAAATGCTCTCAATCATACAATTTAAATTTTTATGACTGAACTAAATAAGCAGAATAATGTGCACTAGATGAAACATAAAATATACAAATGGTAGCGCAGTAAATGCAAAAAAAAAATCGAATGGAATAAAATTTGTATAAAAATGTGCCAACGCTGTAATAATATTTAATGGCATTAATAATAATGTGGCAAATGGATGTGTCATGTAAAATGTGTGTATTCGGGACGCTTGGTTATTATATGATGTTGTTTGTTTGTTGTTTTTTTTTTTTGCTTTTCATTGTGAAATGACGATGGACGATATAAACAACGGAAACGAATTTATAAGTAAAAAGAAAGAGAGAAAAGGTGCAAATATCCATAGAACATTGGATCATTTTTCCATAAATAAATATTACGATGGATAACAACACGCCGAACAAAATTATTTATCAAGTTGAAATTGCACGTGCGCATCGATGATTTGTTCGACAGTTTTCTTTTTTTGCTGCTAGTTTTCGATTTTGGCATTCTATCGTTTTCGCGCTTCAAGCATTTCAATGCAGTCACATTCAATGAGTAACAATCACAATCAAGTAGCCAATAAAATGTGGTTCAAATAAACATATTTCAATTGAATACATGATGTTACCGTCACCGATTTATATTTGATTTGATCAAAAATCGATTGCCCATAAAAACTTGAAAAGTCACATTTTACACATATTTTCGCATGTTCTTTTTTATTTCCATTTGGTATTTTTCAGCTGGCGCAAAGCAAGTCAGTTGCTATTTGATCATAGACATTTTAGTTCTTTCAATTTTTGCCGATTTGTTTTTTTTTTCTTCTTCTCTAGCAACTGTACTATGTGTTTATACAAAGTATATTGTGTATGAGTTTCTCATTCGCTTCCACATTCTTCTCTCTTTCTCGGCGGAAAATTCGTGTGTCTATTTTTACTCGGCAAAAGAAGAGAGAAAAAACAACAACAAGAAAAACGCGATCGTATGTGCGCTAAATGATGATTAACTCTAGGCACGCATAACAACCACAGCCGATTTATTAAAAGGCTATAATACTTAAATCATCCTTACACCCAACCAATATATATAAACTATGCCGTTTTAGCTTTGGCGAAACGGTTAACAGCTTACAATACAAATTTACGCATGAACGAGAAAAGTCAGCGCAAAAAAAGAACGAAAAAACTTTTAGAAAGAATGAACGAAGAAAAAAAAAACTGTATAAGAGCAACGACGATTCGTCGCTTATATTGTATCTTAGCGAATACGCTATTCGTTACGAATACAGGGAATTTTTATTGTAAAGAAAAAAAATGCGAGGAAAAAAAGAATAATCTCTTTTTGAATTCCTTTGGCGCACTAATTGTGTACGGTGTTTTTAACGTCTTCGCAATCGCTTCCAATAAAATAGACATAATATTGTGTATGCGACCGAATGATTTCTCAAATGCAAATAAAACGATGAGCAAAATTTTCAAATGGAAACTGAACGATATTTCGATTTACTTCAACAAACAACATTTGAATAATTGATCGGAAAGTTACATTGGATATATTGATTGATTGCAAATAAACAAACACACATTTTTGTTGGTGTGGTTGGTATATTGTTCTCTTGTGTGTTGCACAGCAACAGGGAAAATTATTCATGTGTCTTTTATTTCACAATTTATTTATTTTTACATTTTTGGTTCCTTTACATTTCCAACATATGCCAATTTAGATTTAATTTCTGATATTTGAATTTCTTGTTTTATTTTTAATGTAGCGGATCATCGTTCGAGGGTCAATGGCAAAATGGAAGACGACACGGATTGGGTGTAGAAACTCGTGGACGATGGATTTATCGTGGCGAATGGACCAGTGGTTCAAAAGGTCGTTATGGCATTCGACAAAGTGCTACTTCAACAGCTAAATACGAAGGAACATGGGCTACTGGATTACAAGATGGTTACGGTTCAGAAACTTATGCTGACGGAGGTAAAGAAATGATAGATACAGACAAGAATGTACAATGTCACACAACCCATTCGATTATAATAGAGCTGATGTAATCAAAAACGGTTGAGGGTCTTCACTACTGTAACTAATAGAGTTTAAAAAAAACCGACAACAAATAAATGAAATGTTCTACAAATCGACTGGTGATTTCATAGTGTCATTTTCTCGCCAGTGACACGCATATTAAACCAGATCGATAATGTATGAGTAAAACCAGGGAAACCTTTTAACTGAATTTGTCAGTCACATAAATTGAACAGAAATTCAATGCCTCTGCAATGAAACAAATGCTTTTTGCTACTGTTCATGAGAAATATTGCGGTTTATGTTTCAAAACATTGAACAAACCATCCATTGTGAATGGATAAGAACTTTAAAAACCAATTGCTTCTACTCCGCCCTCTCTCTCTCTCAAATTATGTTTAATATACTTGCAAGTGCTTATTTTTAGCAGAATAGAATCGAAGTCGGTATCATCATCATTCATTTCAATACAGATTATAGATTAAAAAGAAGTATATAGTCCATAATGTCCATAAAAACATAGTTTTTGCTCGTTTTCTTCCAAACTTTTGAACTTGTAATTCGAAAAGTTTTTACAAATCGTTTATTTACTTCTTTCGAAGCTAAAAAACTCAAATCCAATCAATAAGTTTTGTGTTAAATTCACTTTCAATGTTGTTTGGCACTTTTTCGATGGTAATTCTTGATTGAATCTGAAATATTCAATCAATAATTGATTTGAAATGAAATTTATGTTATTTTATGTTGCAGGTACGTACCAAGGTCAATGGCAAGAAGGAAAACGTCATGGTTACGGTGTACGTACAAGCGCACCGTTCGGTTTGGCGTCACACTATCGACCAAAAAATTTACAAACATCGATGACTTCGTTGCGAAGCAATGAAGGTGGTAGTGGAAGTGTTGATGCTGCTGAAAAGCGAAATCATCGTATGGATGAAATTCGCGGTGGATTCGTATTAAAAGCAAAATCCGATGAGCCACCAGCTAGGAGAAATAGTTTAGTAGAAAAAACGAGAAAAGGACTTTTATCGGTGAGTGTTAAAATGAAATGAAATGTTTCGATTCTAATTGGCACTTTGTGATTAAAAAAATTATTGACAATTCGAGAAGCGTCCGAATAGCAATTTATATTAAAAATGTATTTTTAACAATGCAGGGCTTAAAATTAAAAAAGCAACGAAGTACCGGTGATTTGGAGAAGCGTGGTAATGCATCGGGCAGTATTAGATCAACCATTTCAACTGCATCATGGATAAGTACCGGTTCATCACAATCTGCCGTATCAAATAAGTATGCATTGAAAGTGCTCATAAAAATGATTCGTTGCTAAAGAAAACCATTTACTTCCAGGTCTATGCACACAGATTCAAATGCCAGTTTTACGGTCGACGAAGAGCACTTAGATCCAAGTGTAACCGAAGTGTATATGGGTGAATGGAAACGTGATAAACGAGATGGATACGGTGTTTCAGAACGTAGCGATGGTCTTAAGTAAGCAGCATAATAATAAAGCACTTCCATGTTTTCCTTCCACTTCATTAAATATCTGTAAATGTCTAAATCAATTCTCTTCTTTTTTTCTGTATGTGGTTTCTTTTATTTTCATACATTGATCGTCGATCAGATACGAAGGAGAATGGCATAATAATAAAAAGCACGGCTATGGTGTGACAACATTTCGTGATGGTACTAGAGAGGAAGGCAAATATAAATACAATGTATTGATAACGAGTCAAAAGAAGAAGCATTTGTTTTTAATACGATCGGCAAAGTTTCGTGAACGCATCGATGCAGCGGTTAGTTCGTCACAACGTGCCTCGAAATATGCAATGCAAAAGGCGGACATAGCTATATCACGAACGGCAACCGCACGCAGTAAAGGTGAAATGGCCGATTCGGTGGCCGATCATGCGCGTGTCGATTGTGAAATTGCAGTTGCAACTGCACGTGAATTTGCACCCGATTTTAAGCCATCCGTTTTGGATCGTTTTGAACGGCTTCGTGTGAGGGATCGTTATCGATCACCAATCGATCCACCTGCATTATCATCATCATCACCGTCACACATGAAACCAACGTTGATCACACAAGTAAGTAATAATACCACACCGAATCATTTACCAGCGTCTGACAATCGAACACAGGCTAGTACGGATTCGACGCCACAAAAACAACCTCCATTTCCAAATCAAGCAACAATTCGACGCCACTCAATGCTTCAAAAACAAGCATCAATTGATGTTCCGCCCGGTGGTAATATTGGACCATTGCCACAGCATACATTAAATTATACGCCGCCCATCGGTGTACAACCACCGTTTAAAACGTATCACAATGATCAATATAATAATGCTTATGGTCAAGATCCATCCAATTTAGCCAATTACAATATGACGAGCCAAAACTCATTCGGTCAGCCAAATGCACAATTTAACAATACTAATTATATGGGCAATGTTCCACAAATGCAATCAAAATATACGCCAGCAAATAATATGATGCAATCACAATATGGAGGCGCCAGTGTGGGTGGCGGAAGTGGAATTGGCATCAATGAATCACAAATGCAATATGGACAACCACCATCACAGTATAATATGCCAATGAATCAAGCGTCTTCATACCAAAATTATAATCTAACCAATCAACAATTGGATCATGGAGCTCAACAGGATTATCAAACCGGTAATATTTCATTACAATTCATCAAATATTTCAGAGATTTTTTCTTAGAGATGCACTGAGGAGCAGAAAAAATTTTAAAAAATATATCTAAAATTATAATCAGAACGCCCTCCCTTATATATTGCTCCGATAGACAGTCTTTGAAATCCATCAAATTATTCAAATGAAATTTAAACAATGCAAATGAATCAATTTTATCATACAGATACCATAAATACACAACAAGATGGACCGGGGCCATCGAATTTACGAAGGAATTCCCGACAGGTCAACGAATCAACACGACCACATATAGGCTCATCATTTTCACAATCTTCCATCGATCATTTTGATCACTATAAACGGCCTCCCAGCAGAGATTCGTCCACAGATCGATATGCACGAGCCGCTAGTAGACTGGGCGGTTCACGACAGGCATCAATTGATCGAAGCATTTTACCATCAACAAACCATTCAAATCCATCACAGGGTCAAGCAACAGCTGATGCAACGGGAACCATTGATCGAAATTTACGGGCGGGATCTGCATTTAGAAATGTTGCAACGGTTGCAATGTCACCAGCAACACCAAACCAGACTTCAGGTGAGTTTTTGTGAATCAAAACGCCTTCATTGCGATTGTCATTCTTTTACATTTGAAATCATTTTAATTTTGCATTTACAGCCAATCCAGCTGGAAATGGTTCTGTAATGACTGGTAAGCCATCGCCACGGGCATCATTGACCACATCATCTGCGCATCCAATGTATTCAACACCGAATCAACCGTTTGAAGATGTATTGTTGCGTCAACGAACTCTTGGCCAAGACATTTTGCCATCGGCACGCGAACCAAAACGAACGGAAAGTCTTTACACTCCGCAAAAGCCAATACCAAGTGGTAGTTCAGCAGCAGCACCGTCAACCGGTGGTGGTTTCTTCGGTAAATCCGGTAAACTTAAGGTATGTTAACCGAACCCAAACCGAAATTGTCAACTTTTTCTCTTTGATTTTATTTTTGTTTTGTTCATTTTATTTCGGTTATAGACTTTAACTCAATAACCAACAAACAAACAAAAACTAACAATATGCAATCCTATTAATATCAATACATATGGCCCCGCGTGACATAACTCGATTTTTCAAAACTGAAAAACAAAGACGCAGAATATACAGCAAAAGCCATGCACATTTTCATTGTTAACCGAATATTTTCGAATAACCCAGTTTAGGTTTCTTCTTCTTCTTCTTCTTCTTCTGTTGAACGCTTGACAATGTGATTTCGCCAAAAGGAAAGTCATATGAAAAACTCTTTGTGCAAAATTTAGACGTGTGTACATTGCGATTGAATTTGATAAACTTGCGTTTATTGCAGATGCATTGGCATGATTTGAAATTGAGTCGAGAATTGGGGAGGGAATAAATTTTGAATTTAATATTTTCGGTTTTCTTTTCTAATGGAAAAATTAAAACCTCAATTGTCTTTCGTTTCATATTTCTCATCTCGTTCTGTCGGCCTACATGAGACATATGTAACGAGCTCATCGTTTCAACTCAAAAATAGAGCGCTATGTATTTCTTCATGAATTTCTCTCGATTCGCGGCTACTTTTCAACAATATGACGTTGCCTCTTCAAATATAATTTACTTCAGTCGAATTTCATTTATATAAAATAGAATCTCGACTGATATACACACACATGAGCTCACACTCATCATTACCAAAATCATCAACATTCTCAATGTTTTCGTCTCATTCTGCCATTATAAGTGGCAATTACAATCTCACAATGACTATCTCTCTTCTGAAATTTAAATACATTGAACATTCTTCGCTTTTATTTATTATCGTTGAGACATCTTCTTTCGACCGATCAAGCACAGACAACTATAAAAATATATGTTCACAAATCAATTGCACAATAACCATCAAGTGAAAAGTGGAAGCGGGAGAGTGAGTCGCCTCATGTATAAGTGAGGTGAAAAGCGCGTGAATATTCGTAATGTCATTCATATGCGCGTCGTCCGTGTTTTCGCCAAACCGATGAAAATAAGATTGGCGAGAGCGAGAGAGAGAAAGAAAGACAAGAATGAGCTTAAGTTTTCATTTATTTTCTGCTGGCATTCACGGATTTTCGTCAGTTTTTTTCAGTGACTGATCGCGTGAGCGGCATTTTGTACGGTGTACGACGATTCATACAAAATTCAACCGAATTTTCGCCGAGAAAATAAATAGAAAATAATTTGTGTATCAAATTGCAATTGTATGTTTATTTTCAAACGAATTTCGAGTGTGGAAAGGTTTCGCATTTCACAATCGTCAGCGGTTTTGACACGATTACCCCGACAAACATATAAAGAAAACGAAATCAACTAAACGATTCAAAACGATCGCATTTTTTTATTATCCATAAATCATAAAACCATTTGTTTTTATTCTTGAAAATGTTTTGAATTCAAAATTTCAGCCGATTAGAATGTAAACAATCAAATGTGATTATTGTGAGCATCACATTATCTCAGGCCAATCTAGTTAATATTTTTATTTTTCAATTTTTCGCCAAAGCCAATTTGTTTTCAATCAATTTTCATTTTTATTCTTCATTCGGAATAAGTGGCACTCGTTTGTTCGCCAAGTACAACAACGATTGTCGTCGACTCAATGCATATTAATTGACTTTGTCGATCACATATAGACAGTGAATTGTGCATGCATATATAATCATTTCAATAGCAAACGATACGTTCATCATCTCGTTTTGCTTGAGCAAATTGAGCTTCAAATCGAGTGTATACACAAAGCTCCCGAAAAAAAGAACTAGTTTGAATATCATCTTCAGACTGCGTCGGGTTTCTAAATTTAGGCGCATAAAATTGTCAGTGAGAAAAAGAGACTAAACATACACAATAGAAGTCCATTTTGTTCGGTTCACACAGAAAATCTCTGAAGGAAAAACCAAACAACTTGAAAAAGAGAGGACATTCAACACTTTTTCGACATAATAACGACTTAAAAGAGATTTAAAAAGTAGTAGATTAAGAGATAAAAGCCGAACCGATCAAATTAACAGTGAGTGAGAGAGAGAGATAGGGCGAACTGTGTGAGTGTGCGTATGTGTCTAGCGGACCAAATCATTTTAATTCGTCAATTTCGATGCGATCAATCCTTGATTGGTGAATGAAGACAAGGTCAAAGCAGTGTTTTTTTCATTGAATTTAACGAGAGAAAACAAAAAGCGTTTCGAACATTTCATTTTGCGTCTGTGTGACTCCCGAAACTTTGGCATTTCGTTTAAAAGCAAATTCCTTAACTTAGGATGCATTGGTATCAAGAAGATGAGTACGAAGATGAAGAGGAAGATCTTATGTATTCGCCGGCATTGCTGGCGCGTAGAGCATCGGAAAGTTGGATTGTGACCCCACCAATTGAGGTGTATATTCAATGTTGAATGCTTTTCTAATCAAAATTCGAAAACTAATTAAATTTCGATTCGAAAATGTAGACCAAGAAAATTTGTTGCTTTGAATATGTAGAAGAATAGTTGTCGAACTAACATGAAAACGTTTAATAAACCAATTAACCAAAAACAAAAAAATTTCAAAATTAAACGAACATTTATTAAATTTTAAGAAGTGAAATTACACAAAATTCACAATTTAAATTATTTTCTTTCCATGTGCTTTTTTCTGTCTTCTACTCAACTTCGAATCGCTGGCCGGTAATTTTTTGTTTGTATTTGCGGCATTGAAAATTGTTGGTAAATATATGCACATTTGCGACAAAACACGCGACTTATACTTCGTTCGAAATAAAATTTAAAAAAAATACACGTAATTTATGAAACAAAAATGATATGCAGAGTATTCCAATTGCATTGCCATTGAGTCGAAAAAAGTCATTGCCTGATGTTCAGGAACTTCCGCGTGCTACGTATCCAATGCCTCGCGAAGAAGTGTCGGCACTTGGATCAGCACGACGCGAAGAGATCCGACGTCAAATTGAATTAAGCGAACGGTTAAAGGCTAATCCACTGCTTTATTTGTCCAGTCCGCAAGTGAAGGTACGTTTTGATTTTGCCGTGTTTTTTTAGTTTCATTCTTCTTTTTTTTCTTTCAATTCATTTTCAGTTTTTGAGTTTTGATTTGTTTTTAAATAATTGTCGCTTCATTTTCGACATTTGTTGATGTGAATGTCAACAATATTGCGTTTTTTCCCTATTGTGTGCGTGCTTGTGACAAATGTATTTGTTTTTTGTTTTTCTAATTTTAATTTTGATGTGCAGTCTCACGATGTGCAACTTTTAACCTTTTTTACAACTTTCTAACGTTTTTTCCTCTTCACAATTGCCGATGGTTATTTTTGGTTATGAATTTATACTGTTTTTTTTTCGTTTGCAATGAAATCACAATCAAAACACACGAGAACCTTCAAATCGATACGTTTATATGGCCGCTATCTATATCAACATTTTCAAACTCTAACCAAATTTTCAAATTTTGATACTAAAAACCAAAATCGCATGAAATAGACCTTTTACAATAAAAAAAATTACCTGCTTCCTATCAATATCTGCATACACTCAAATTTTTTTTCTTAGTTTAAGACGACCAGAAAATAGATCCATCGAAACATCTGTTATTTGTTTTTATAGCATTCTGTTCGGAATGATCAAAAATGAAAAACAAATAGAAATGAAAAAAAAAATATAGAGAAATAGAATAGCAATTGTATACAATTTTATACGAGTTATACTTGTTACCAAAAATAAACTAAGAATTAGTTACTCTGTCGTCTTTATTTCTCTACATTTAATAGAGATCACACACTGACCTTGACTTATCTTTATTTTTAACAAACATTGTTCTATGCAAAAAATTTACACACTATTTATAAACCTGTTATCCTTTTTCGTATCCCTTGTTACTTTGCTCTAACATAACCTGCTGTTATCCGTTCAAAAATTACACACACAAACACAAACTATCATCGAACAGAGAGATTTGTAGGTATGTTAGTTCAACATTGCTTGATCCAAATAACAAACAACAACAAAAAAAATGCTCTAAAACAACATTAGACGTTTTATTTATTTGTCATATCATCTCAGACGCCTATTAATTGGCTATAGCATTACATTGATGTGTATTCTTTTTCGTTATTTATCATCTTATAGTAAATGTCGATTCGGTAATTCAATGTGCGTAATCAGCAGATTCAATGTTTTAACCATTTATATACTCTATGCGTTGAACTCATCCAATTCATAAACTATTCCTTTAATTTAATTGTTTTTTTTTTTCATGATATGAAAGAGCTTATTTTTTTCATCATTAAAGTAACGATGTATATGTTCATAGACGTGCTCAAAGTGGAATTGAATCTAGAAGAAGATATTCCACTTTGGCACAAAATATCATCGTAATCAGAGACTGTTTCTCAGAGCAATACATGTGAGGAAGAGCGCTATGAGGAGCTGCAAAAGCGCTGAGGTGCAGTGCAGTGCTCATCCTAAGTTAGGAGCGAAATTTTAAAAGTTAAAAAAAATAATTAAAATTGATATTGAAGATTGGTTTTTAACTTTTAAGAATCTGCTCTTGAACGCTTCTCCAGTTTCCCAAAGCGCTTCTCCTCACATATATTCCTCTGATCATCATTATCATTTTTTAGACCGAATCGTTTTATTATTTATACGGTCCGCGTTTTTATGACTCATAGACAATGCGCGTTCGAGTCATTTGCAAATATTCACACAATCCATTGCTAACATGATTTGGTCGTGCTCATTGTACATAAAATCAGTAAATGTGCTGTTTGAGTAAGTGACAAAGATTTGTATTAGAAATGTTTTGGAGGATGAGGCCCGGCAGAAGTTCATTGTATTCTTATTGTTCAAAGTGCTCTGAAACAATTTTTCTATGTATTTTTTTTATCGTGTTTTGGTTTCAATTCAAACATTTTCTTGCATGCAATCAATTTTTCTTTCAAGTAATTCTTAGATTAAGATCTTGTTGAACTTTTAGAACGGCAAATAATCAAAAATCGTTAAAAACAACAACGTCGAAAGAACAATTTAATTTTCACTGAAAATAGACAGTGATAAATGAAGTTTACTTGATTTATTGAAATTGAAACGATAATATCAAAAAGTTCCATAACATACAACGTTGATTGAATTAACGGTTTAACGTTGAATGAATTTTCGAAAATAAGTGAATATAAATTAGGCGATTAAAGCAGATTAAAGAAATACTTCATTTGACTTGTTCTTTGTCCATAGCATCTAAATGTTCATCACTTCCATCAAATTGTTGCATGATTATTGTCGTGACTGCTATTCATAATGTGTTCTCCATCCCTGTCAAGGGAGCTCTATTGCCAAATGTCTGTACGGTGCGATTTAAACATATGTCTATGTAAAAATGTTTTTTTTTGCTAATCCTGCTTCGCTGGCATGTTCAAAATCTTGAAGCTTTGTGTAATGCGAACAAAATCGAAGCAAGCGAAATCGCAATTTCACGCTTTTTAATACTATGTATATTATGATAAGAAAAATCAATATCGATGTAAATGTATCGGTCTCTTTTGCAACTGGTTTTTCATTCATGTCACGCATTTATTCATCTACATGATTCATTCCGTCTTTTCGGTTTTGAAAGCGTTTTTTCTATTTGCGATTGTATGGAATGGATACATGTAATATATTCATCAACCATTATTCATCAAACCAAAGATATCGTTCTAATTCTAATTTCTCCCTTTTTGTATTGTTTGTGTCTGTTCTTTTTCGCTCTCTATAGGACTGGTTCTCGCGCCAGCAACTAGTTCTGTTGGTGCTTGTGGTAAACATATGCCTGGCAATAATGTTCTACAGAATGCTTACATAGCAAGAGGCTTACTATTTTATCGAAGATGCCGTTTTACCGTGTTTATCGTTTATAATATTCATCAAATCCATCATCGTCGTCCTCGATTACTTTACGGAACAAGCAGTTTGGTTGTGTGCTGTTCAGGACTGCTGCTTCATCATATTCAACTCATTCAATTTATGTACATGATAATTTCTAAACATGATTCGAGCATTATTTCCTTCGATGCGACGAATCTAACTCCGAAACGAAAGCAACACTTTATTAATATATTAATTCAATTTTTTTTTCTATTTTAAATGAACAATTCAATGTGAAATTCGTTTAAATGACACTCTTTAGCTATTGGCATTTCAAGAGAAAAAAACATACACACACAATTTTTAGGTTTTTTGGAACATTTATTGAGAGGAAAATTTGATTTTCATTACTATTGGAATAACAGCAAAAGTGCAATGTCTTGATCACACAAAACAACAACATTAATAATAATAAAAAAAGACACACCCCCCATGAACATTTTGTGGAGAAAAAAAACGGAAAAAAATATTTATATAAGAAAATATCCCAAAAACTAACAAATTATAACAAATATGAAAATCGAACATTTAAATATCGCAGACAAACTCTTGTATATTCTAAAGCAAAGATCCATTTCAAAGGTCATATAAATTTTATTGATGGAATCAAATAAAAATTTGAACATTTTTTTAAAGGTAAAGTGCAACAAAAATTTTGATTATTCTATTTTAAATGTTTAAGGTAGGGATGCGAATAAATGAATTCACTTACTCATTGGAAGAGTTTTACTCCAACAGACAGATTGAAATTTAGAAGAAAAACTTATTATTATTCTTTTGTTTGATGGAAATAATACATACAGTTAAAAGCATTAAATTTAAATCAATATTTACTGTTGAAAATCGATTTATTTAAAATAAACATTGATATTTCCTTCAAAATACTCTTTTTTAGTTAAATTGTTGGCTAAAACTATAGATGAATTTTATGTTGTTATGTATGTCAGATTATTATTACAATTAATGTCGAAACTTTTCATTATTACTATTTATTATTGTTAGTTAAAAGAAATTAAAAAATTGTTAATTCATTTCATTTTAAGACTTGATCCAAGCACGTTTTTTTTTATTTTTCGTCTTCAGTCTTCTATTTTGAATTTGAAAAAAATCTCCATTTTATTTGGGACACACGGAACAAAAGAAGAAAGAACAAAAATGTGCAAAATGTGAATACAAAACACGCATATTTTACTGTATTAATAATGATTTTTTTTTGGTATTTTATAGAATATTAAAAACACTTGACATTGAAGAAAAAAATACTCATGTACTCATTATCATTGCAATATACAAACAATTAAAAACAAACATTTATTCATATTCGATTGACATACATGATTTTGATGAGCCCATAAACATAATTTAAAGAAAAAACATGCACAAATCTCTTTGGCTATACCATCGCGAATTTTCATTCTTCAAAAATATGGCTTCGATTTTTAATTGAACCCAAATGACGCAACAATGGATGCCTCACAATCACAAGAGGCTTTTTTGGGAGTCTCCTCAATTTGTTGATAAAAAAAAACTTTAGAAATATTTGCACGAAAATGCTTTGCAAAGTTTAAGTTGAAGAATGCCTTAATTTAACGTGATGGATTTTATCAAGCCCCCCGTTGACAAGGGAAAATATACAAAATTACATACGACTTAGAAGTTAAAATTGAGCGCATTTGTGTCTCAATAACGATCGCTTCGCAATTTTTGAAGAAGAAAATTCACTGACCTTCGCTGGATAAGGAAACTATTAAATACAAAAATTGATTCTAAATCATAAAAACACAATTTGTCGTTCATTTTCTCTGAAAAGAATGCAAAAAAGAATCAAAACACAATTCTGTTTTTTACATGGAATTTAAAAAACTGTTCGTATTAAAATCGTATTTCCTCAAAGACATACTTTCTCTCATACATACATACTCTCACTGAATCCCCGACAATTTCAAAGTTTACAATTTATACATAGATATTGCTTATCATCACATTTTAGAGATGGATTACTTGCAATAAAAAGCCATTTTTGATTAAAAAAAACAAACAAACAAATAAAACATAGTAGCAAACACAGAGAAAGAAAAAACAAGGGAATTAGGGCGATCTTTTTTTTTAAATCGATGTAAGTAATAGTTAGATAGACTTTTATTAATTGTTCAATGGCTGGGTCCTATAATGCATCGATGCTCTGATTAGCTTTTTAAAATGTGATTTAAAACAAGAAACAAACATAAATAGTAAAAACCAGTTATAGCAACGTTTCTATACCAAATGAATTTGTAGGTACTCACAAAACGGCTAACAGTGCCAAAGTGAAGAAAAAAATAACAGTGAAACAAAACATATAAGATTTTCTGTCTCCACCACTGAATCTTTTATCTAGATGAAAGGATATTACATCTTTCGAAGTATAAACACACCCATTTAATCACGACAAGCGTGTGTGCTTTACAATGCACACTCCAAATGTAGTGTGACGTGAGCATATTGTACTACTTTTTATTATTACTATTATTATAGATTGAGACCACAAAATCAAGTCCAGCTAAACAACTTTCGTTGCATTCGTTTTGTAAGCGGTTGTTATCGACAATGGGAGATCTATTGAGTTACTAAATAGACGGTATAGTTGCGATTCGTTTGCATACACGCAAAAATTGCAATACTTGAAAATTAAAGACGACCGTATGCCATTCCTACACAGTACCTGCTATTGTTGACAATGACCGTCGATATGTGGGCATCGTGAACAACAATCAGGTGATTTGGTACAATAGCAGTCAGCTGGCCAATTTGTCGACAAACTATAAACAATCGTAAACAATACTCATCAAATCAATTTTGTGTTCAATGCTTAAACGTTTATATTTGCACAACTGATAAGTGGAATGCATTTGGTTTTATTGATTTGAAAATAAATTTTTACGATCGTAATTTATGCTCTATTTTGTATTGAAGCCGAGGTGAAATGGTTTTGTATGAATAACATTTTTTTTTTTATCGAGAATGTATTTTGATTTAATTAACACTCTCATCTCAAATAACTTTCACAATCCGATTTAATGTATGTGATTGAGAAAACGTGAATTTCACAATGGATCTCCGAATATCGTCACTTTCAAGTAACAAATGCTCGATGTCATTTCTTTCGTGTAATGAACGTTTGACGCCAAATAATGAAGAATCATATTCGTCTTTTTTTCTCATTCTCTCGACGAATGACATATCGATACAAATCTTTCAAAAAAATATCCCGATGATCGTTTTTTTTTTTCGAAAATGTCCAAATCGTCATTTCAAGACGAGAAAAAAACACATTCTTTGTGATGCATCATTTCTCAAGTGAAAATGATGTTATCATAGAAATTATTGAGTAAAGTTCACTCTTTCTTTCGATCAGACTCACTCTTGCGATATGAATCCATGTTATCAAACAAACGATCTTATATGCGTGGCCAACAAACTAAGATGCAATATTCACACATTATCACAAACACACAATTTATTTATAAATAATTTTTGTTTTGTTTTCATTCGCTTTCGACATAATATCGTATATTAACCGTCTGTCTTTCCATGCTTATAAATATCATCGGGTGTGAGACATTGCCGGGCAGATATGTATTATCACGATGATCTAACATGTATCCATTAATTTTAGAAATAATCATGATAATAACACGTTAATATGTTTGAACAAGATTTGATGTCGATTGTTATTTTTATACGAATGCAACGAACATACTCGTTTGGGCTTACATTTTGGCAAGACTTGATGATCCATAGTTTTATTAGAATCACACAGTTTTAGAAACATAGGCATTTTGTTTTTGTTTTTGTTGGCCAATGCGACAGATTTAGTTTTTTTCCATATTCAACTTTCTTGTAAGTACAATTTTTTCGATTGTTTAACTATTCTATTTCATGTTCAACCACACCAATTTATGTAAAGAAAAATAAAAAAAAATAAAAAAAAATAAAAACAGAAATTTATTAACAGAAATTAAAAAAACTGAGCATTTTTGATAAGAAATTATTTGACTTTTTTTCTTCGATCACATTTATTTTGTTTGTTTTATTTTCTGCAGAAAAGTATGGTGGTATGTATGATAACAATTTTTTTGTGCAGCTACAAAAAGTCATATCTTTTTTTTTTTAACTTGTGATTATTACTTCATTTCACTTTCTGATGCAAAATAAAATGCTTTTAATGAAATCCCCAGCAAACTGCTGAATATAAAAGTGCAAGACCCCAATAATCATGATTATTCCATCAAAAGTGGCGTAGTTGAGTTCGAAAAAAACTCTCCGTGCGCAAAGGTGAATATAAAATTCCAGTGGGTTTCGTATCTGTCATTCGATGAATTGGCATTCATTAATTTCATAATGAAAAAAAATCTGATCATATCATAGAAATTCCGTGAAATTTATTGGCTTCATGAATAGCAAACAAGAGTATTTTTTATGTTTGTTTACTTTTCTTGTTGAGTAAAAATTTTACGGTTCGATCAAAATGCAAACAGAACTGATCACTGAGACATGGAGTGGATTACGTGTCTGAGCGTCTCAAAAAATCAGCGATAACGCGCACATATTTGCTGATAACACCACTAGAAAAAACTTTATGTCTAATTGAATCTAAGTTGTCTATTTGGTTTTCAATAACGAGTGCAAAACAAAAATTAAAATTTTAGTAGTGATAAGGTGGAGGAAGAGATCTCTTTAATTCGGATCGATAATGGAAAATGTGATAGCTTTGTTTTCATTTTCTTCGTTCCGTTTTGTCTTCACAATCTGTGTGACATACTTTTGTTTATAATGGGTTTTATTTCGGCAGGAGATTCGTTGAATGAGCGGAAAGTCTGGAAAAGAAATGCGCAACTAATTTAGCTCAGTGTCTTATCATTTGAAAAGGCCATGCAAAAAATGAAAACGATTCGGAAGCACAATTTCTGTTATCAAAACTACGTGATATTCAATGCACAGTGGATTTAAAGTCCACGTCGATTGCAAACACCACAGACGGCCGCATTTAAGTTTTGAACTTCAACTGAAACGGGTCGATCGAATTTTCAGAACAAAATGTGATACAAAGAACTGTAACCCATATTAAAACTGCATAAATCCATGAAAACTATATAAACATTGTAACACAATTCGAGTTTAAATAATATAACTTTATAAATCGTGTGTAAAAAATACGTCGAAATCAATTATTTCCGAAATGAATATAAACAGAATCAGTGTAAATAATGTTTTATAAACAAAAAATGGTTGCACAATTTAAACTCACTGCATAACGGGTCACAATTTGGCAACACTGTCACATCTGAAACACTCTGGTGCCAAAACTTTGAACTTCATTAACAGAAGCCTTCGAAATTCATTTTTAATTGCGCGCGTGTGTGTGTTTGTGCGCTGTGTTCGCATGTATTTGTGCACAAGTTCGTTTGGTCGCTATTGGAACAAGTGTGTGCGTGCATCAAAACAAGCTAGCATATGATTGATACATCGATACAAACAAGAATTCAGCAGCTGATTTTATACCAACAACGCGCATATACGATATCTTTTTTATAACAACATAGATTGAATTGCGCGTGTATGGTTTTCGTTTGCTCTTCTTCTTCGCTTGTGTACACAAAATATATATTGTTATTGTTATTATTATTCTTGTAGCCGTTTTGGTGCTGCTGTTTCTGTTGCTGCTGCGTCGTTTGTGATCCAACTCTTCGTCAAGCATATATACGCAATAACAAAGACCACAAAAACAAATTCGGAGCTCCTCGGCACTCATAAAATAGTGAAAAACTCAAATACAAACTGAACACATGCACCACAAGTTGTAGCAGCAATTGAATCGAAGTGAACTACAGTGTTTAGGCTAAACAAAAAAAAAAGAGATATTTTTTACTTAATAGTTGAAAAAGACAGAAATATCAGATTTTTTCATCATTTTTTTAGTATCAAATTGTGATTGATTTGGTGGAATTGTGTGCATATCCACCATTGAATAAGCAATGCAAGTGAGTATACCCTTTTTTGTCATCCTTAAATAAATAACTCGTTTTTTCATAGAAAAAGAAAAAGTTCTTTTTGATTAAAAAGATGAGGTTGTTTTTCGTTAAAAAAAATATATTCAAGTGATACCTTAAAAACGGTTTTCGGTTGTTTAGTTGCTTCCAGGAGGATAAAAAAAAGATTTCAATGAAGAACCCAATTACGATAAAAAAAAATGTCTTCATTTGTTTATAAAAAAACCTTTCAATCGATGAAAAATGTGAAATTCAATGACAAAGTGAAATTGAACCTGAAACTAAAGATAAATAAATCGATTTATTATTACTAAATGTCAAAAAGGTCATAATTGAAAAGTGCGATTCTCTGTTTGTGAATATGATTTGTGTGCCATTTGAAACGAAAACAGATAGTTTATCGAAAATGAGGAAACGAAAAAGAAGAAGAAGGAAAAATGTTGATTATGAAATAGTCTTGAATGACGTGATTCCTATATCTATCTCTGTTTCAAACAAATATACAAAACTATATCCACGAGTGAGCTAAAGAATAGTGTACTCATGTGTATTTGCAATAGTAAAACGGCACGTTCATCGTTTTTCGTTCGTTGGCGTAATATTGTATCACGATTAGATGATATGAACACCGTTCTGAATCACATATGATTTTCAGCTGAAAGAATCTACCGAATTGCACACATGATCGTCAAGCAAAAAAAAAATAAAATAAAACAAAAGCGATTTTTGTTTAGTTTAGTAAGTTCACGTTTTCGTTGATATGCCGTCTATTGCGTACGTCTATAAATCACACAAGCTAAATCGCACAAGCTATGTGACACATGCAAAATATTACTTTGTTCTTATTTTGTGCTCAAGTATCTACAAATTGTGCGTACAGAATGGGCACAGGCAGCCACACTTGACACAAATGATATGTATGTCTAACGACGAATTAGCCTACGTATAATGTACATTCGATATTTTTGTGTTGTTCGTAATGAAAATTTTGTTCAATTATTGTACGGACAAGTTTTTGTGGGCTTATTTTATTACGTGGCGTCCGAAATTCATAATGAAAAACGTGTTGACACGAGGCCAATTAATCGGAAATCAGGAAAAGAATTTTAAAGCACGAGCACTGCCCTTTGAATTTTTTTAATAGATTAAGGAGCATAGGCATAGTTCATTGAAGGTTGAGCCTACGATTATTATTATTTTTCGATACGCGATTCGAAACACGATTATAAGAGAGATTCTTTTTATTCGCTGTTAAAAATTGACGTAGTTTGTATGATTTAAAGCTTGAATGGCGCAATTGGGCTCAATTTTGTTTGGTGCTTGCAAACAAATTTCATTTTTTTTTCTACTGCCTAATAAATTTCAAAATCACATACATAGAAATCGCCTTCGAGAGAGAAAAAAAAAGCATCACATAACGTTGTTTTTGAAGTACGCATACAATGTCACAGCTGAATATATTAATTGTAAACACGAGCCAACCAATACATCCAAAGCGAAAAACATCAACACACACATACAGTCATTTACAAAGTGACAACAACAAAATCAAAACAAACATGTACGCATCTCGTTCGAAAGGTTCACTTGCTTGAGAATATACGCTGGTGAAGAAGAGAATCGACAAAGTGACAGGCTGTGAGCGTTCATTGCGCTGTATACAGTTTACACGCGCAGATATTGAAACCAATACAAAGTTGATAGCCGCAGTCAGCCATTGTATTGTATGTGTGTGTTACGAAAACATTGACAGTAGAGAAAAAAAAACGAACGAAAAACGCAAAAACCAAAACAAAGTTTCGGAAGAGAGTCACATACATTTAGTTTCATACTAGCAGTCTAATTCAGTTTTGTTGGTGATGTTTGTCTCTATTTGCGTTGCATGCGGTTGTGACGTGAGCGTTTGAATGTGATGGTTGTGGCCAGTGTATTTGTAATAAACCATAGCAGTTGTTGTTATTGAATAGTTGTACCATGTAAATGTGTGTATGTTCAAATCAACAACAAAAGAGCCGTGAGCCAGCAAATATGAGCACTAGACTTGAACAGTCAAACAGAATGAATCGAGCACACACAGTGTAGTGTTGTGAATCGCGTTTTATATTTGCACTTGAGAGTTGGTTACCATTTTTTTACATAATTTTTTTATAGATATATAGGGAGATATTTTGTACTTTAATTCGGTCTAAAATCGTTACTTGTTTTAGTTAATTGAAATTGTGTACAGAATTGTATTTAATTAATTTGCCAATTTAAAGAAAGATAGAGAAGAAGAAAAAGAAACACAAAAATAGTCGTATAAAGTTTTTTTTTTCAACATAGGTTTTTTTCGCTCGTTTCTATGCCAATATAATTTAAAGTTGGCAATTCTTCGGTAAACTCGATATTCTCACTAAAGTAAACACAAAGATTGAAATAGATAGTGAAAACAGTGTAAAAAAATTGTACGACGACGAAATATACATTTTAATTGAAAAAGAAGAAGAAGAAAATAGTTGATAATCATAAGAAGAAATCAAATTAATTTTCTCTTCACAATTATTGATGGCAAATGAGAAATGAAACAAGAAGTGTACGCAAAATAGAGTAATAAGTAACAAAGGATGCAAAAATCAAGACACAACCAATAATACAACTTAAAATCGAATCGTAAGTGCTATTCCAATTGAGCGTCATTTTATCCTCACTACCATATTATAACTTGATTTTTTTCTGATATAAATACGTACGACAAAACAAAATGCAATAAAAGACAGAGAGATTCAAAATGTATCTGATGAAATTCAGTTTCGTGATTACTTGTTGTGATTCACATCGCTTTAAGAAATGTCGTATCGTTTTCCAGCTGTTTTTTCCCGAATACACATTTTTTTCCCGGCTCATAGTAAATTTTGAAACGGCTGTTCATTTTATGACACGGTACTTTTCCATCGCATATGAATAAAATCAATCTCTTTCGAAAGAGAATGTTTACTATTTATGCAAATTTTCCGCATGTATGTATTTTTGTGTGATTTGAATATATTTGCCTTGTACAATACATCTCATCTCTTTCTCTCTATCAATTGAAATTTATCAGCTCCTAAACCCTTTCGATCAGAAGAATTTCAAATACAAACCATACTATGCTTCTCTTTCATTTCTGAACTAAATGTGTTTATTGTTTCCTTTCATATACCTCAAATTCAACGGGCAACTGAACCCACACACATACATTTCATAAACGTAAAACGAAATTACATCCGAACAAACAAATAGACAGATAAGCCAAGTCGGATTTTATTCTTTAACACATACGTTCTTTCGATATTCACACACGGGAGTGAAAAAAAAAATGAGGTTGTTTTTGGAACGAAACGACACAATACCGAAGAAAAAAAGAATATGACGAAGCAATATTAGAGGTCCGAATGCATCTCCCATAGAGAGAAAGAGCATTCAAATGAAGTAAAAGAGAAATAGAATGAGAACAAAAGAGAGAGGGAAAAACATACACGATGAATCAGTTATTATTCATTTGCAAATGCTAGAATCGTCGACGACATACGACAACAACAACAACTGCAATAGCAGCAGCAACCCAAATGCCAGTGTGTAACCGACACAGGTAAAGTGCTCTCTCTCACATTCATACAATGGCTATTGCTTGTTTATTGCTCTTTCGCCCGATTTCTTTGTTCTTAATGTGCATTTTGCGTTTATGTTGGAATATACACATTTTTTTTTTCGTGAAAAATTAATATCACAAATGGGCTATATTTGTTTTTGGAATTGTTGTTCCTTTTTGGTGTTGTTTTTGTTTTCTTTGGGACGTCAATGTATAGTCAAATTATTCGACGAAAAAAATATCGAAGAGAAAAAAATATTAAAACCCAAACAATTCGTTCCCAGAAACTAGGTAAAATAAGAGAATATTTAACAGTCTTTTTTTTTTCGAAATGGATCACAATGTTATAGAACCTAAGCCAGAAAAAGACAAAAAAGTAGTTTACATACTTGTATTCCTGTCTCTTTCTCGCACTCTGTCTCTGGCCATATTCATGTTGTACGTGTTGCATATAGAATATTTATTAATAATTTGCGCAAACATGTTCTCTCTCGATTAAGACAGAAATCGTCATGTTTTGGCATGTCTTCTCGTTATACGTTTTTTTGTATTCGACATTGCGTTTATTTTTCTCAGCTGGCTCCGTTTTTGCAGTTGTTTATTCGTTTCAACTGTGTGTTGTTTTTTTTCTGCTGTTGCTGCTGTTCAAGTGCAAAGCGGTGAATTATAATCTATACATTTTATTTGTATTGTATCCATATATTGTGGGCGCGCGCAAATATTTCCACGCAATGATTAACGTAACACAGACGAAAGACAACAAAGAGAATCTGTAAATGTCATTTTAGAGAAATTGAAATGAAAAAAATGTAAAATAAACATTTGGTTTTTAGTCACTTTTTTTTCTGCATATTTGCTATTTTTGGAGGAAGCGGGAAAAGCAATTGCGATGCCAAAAACAGTATCAAATTTTCTTCAGTAAAAACATTTTAATTGTATGAGCAAATAATAATAATTATAACGAGCAGAAAAAAAAAATAATTCCGCATCGATATACACCGAGTGTTAGCTGAAGAGGTTGATTTGAAATGAGTCAGTGTACGTGCGTGTTTGATTTATTCGTTTGAATTTTTATTTGTTTTCATTGTTCATTAGCTTGGATTTGTTTGCACTGACATAAAGGTCGATTGTGCAGAAAAAAAACCGTTGAGTTTATTTCATTCTTATGTGGGGTAGTCAAAATGTTCAGCCATATTTTTTCCAATTTTTTTTTCCATGGAATTGTTTGTTTTTTTTTTCTGAATTGCTCTTAAAGATGTGTTTACGGTATCAAAAGCGCACATGTGCGCATTGAAGAGCTGCAACGCAAACAATCGAGCCGATGTTTTGATTTTCGAAAGAAAGAAGGTTAAAATAGATAGCAAATGGCGAATTTTGTAAAAAATTAATATTCGTTTTGGTATTCGAGGTGATTGGAATAATTATGTCTTTTTATTTGCTTTATCTGTGTCATAGATATATTGATCGGCATTAACATACCGTTGAAAGAAGAAAATCAAATTCATTTTTTTTTGCTTTTTAGTTCGCCAAATTTTGATTTCAGCTGTTGTAAACTAGTATGTAGATTTCATCATCTGCTTTGTCCGGTCCTTTGTTTGAGAAATAGAGAGTCACATATGAATAACAAGCAAATAATGTATGGCAATGAGAGAAAAAGAGAGCGAGAATCGATAAAACCATTTCTGGCTTTCAACACGCGCGCAAAATTTATAAATACAGCTGCTTATGTGATTGTTATTATGGTTGATTCCCAAACGCGATTTTCCGATATACAATTAACACACAGTGACGCACAGTTTGTTGCTCTGCTATGCGTATGGCGTTTGTTGCTCAGCAATGGAATTGTATGCGTATATATGTGATACACATCTACGCATCATCGTGCGAAATCCGCGTATAGTTTTCGTTGAATGTCGAACCAAGCAATCTTATGAACGAACGAAAAATATAAATGTGGAAAATAGGTTCTATCTTCAACCTGCGGCTGGCTTCTCTTGTAAGACTAAGAATTACTTTGCTACGTCCAAGACCAACACAATTACACGCGTACGCATTTTTTTAAACGTTGAGTTTTGTTTGCTTTGTCCTTGGTGTGTAGAACCATCGATTCCACTCGTGTGTGCTTATGGAATTTCAAGCCAAATATTTCTGACAAACACGAAATTTATAAGCAAAAGAGCGATTATATGAAAATCAAACGAATATGCGTCGTTTTTTTATTTCACGCCTAAGTGAGAACACACGGGAAGAAACTTAGGCACGTTTTTTGAGAAATAAATAAAATAAACTGCCACAATCATAATGAGAGAACCCGTATTCCATTGTTTCTATGGCGGAATTCGGAAATAACATTTGTATTTATTTTTCATTTTGAAGTTTGTAATATTTTATTTGTTATCTCCGGTTCTATAGAGGCCATTCGAAAGCAACAAAAAGGTTCGATTTAATTACATCGATTTTGTTTTGTGTATTTAAACAAATGAATAAATTTATTGATTATTATAAAATGGAATTTATACCAAAAGCACTGAACGACTTGCATAACTGCATGGAAATATTGATAAAGTTTGTAAGGTTCTTTTTTTGCGCTCCGTATCAACAATTAGTTCAACATTCACACAACTGAACAAAACGACTAAAAAAAATGAACGCATTGCACATTTATCATCCAGTTCTGCAAATAGATTAATATATTAAGTTCAAAAAGACAAGTCGTCTGACTCTTTGTGTGCGCTCATTAAATATAGAACAAAATTTGAAAACAATGTTATGTCAATCGTATGTGATTGTATCCGATATTTTTATTCCGTTTTCTCCATTTTTTTTAAATATTTGTTCCAATGCATGTTTGATTACACCGCCGAATGCATTGAACCAATCGTATGTTACGAATAGATAAATGACCTCATCTAAAGTCAAATCGACCATTTATACGAACGCACTCAATGGATTGTTTGACTTACATAATCAAAACTACCGATCGATTTCCACGTATATTAATCATTTTTATTTTATTGTTTTTATTTTCCGTTTCTTTTTCTTTTGCAGCTAGTGCAATTGTAACGAGTGCAACAACTACGGCAATACATTAAATCTAAGAGGGAACATATATACGAGGAGCCCCCCAAAGACCAATCATCATCATCATCAGCCTGCAACAAAAACACTTACACAAAAACTCACCCACTTGAACTCTCCCTCAAACATATGCAAATAATCTCAACGAATAATATACGGAAAAAAATAAAAATCCATTCGCATAACTTCACACACTGAATTGAAAACGGTCAATGTGTGCAGACTGCGCGAAATCGAACACACAAGTGCAAGTGAAACGCACAGTGCATTAATATTTATTGCATTCGTTTAACATATATAGATGTTATGTATTAAAAAAAAATCCGCCAAAACCCAAATCGTAAATTACAAACAAACAAAAAAGAACAAAAAGCAAATGCGTGAATAATAACAAATCATAAACGATTAATAATAAAAGTGAAGAAAAATTAAAAGAAAAACGCGGGCGGCAAAAAATAGAAAACAAATAAAAAAGAAAAAAAATCAATTTTAGTAGTAGATAAATATTTATACGTGTTCATGTTGAGTGCGGTAATTGTTCATTGAATAACAACGTGATAGATTGATAGAGTATTTGATTTTCTATAATTTCAATTTTTTTTTTTTGTACCACTGTATGTGTATTTTTGTGTGTAAGTTAGTCTCTGTTTCGAATTGAAATTGCTGTTAAACGAAGTGAAACAGAAAATCAAATTGCGAATTAAATGGACGTACAAAAATAGTTGAACAAAACGAAGAAAACTATTGAATTTAAAGCCGGCGTCGCAATAAACGAACGACGAGGACAAAATCTAAATATCACGAAAGAAGACGCTGCAAAGAAAGAAAGAGAAAAAAAAACACAAGAACAACACACAAAACGAAGAACGATATTACATTTATTGATGATTAATTTTGCCTGCTTAGGATTTTTAAATACGACGCACAACAATTGAACGAGCGACCGAGTTCAAATGATCGGATTAACAAACAGCGAGTCTATGTGAATGAAGTAAACAAACAAAACGCGCGCGCGCATTAGTAACAAAACTAACAACATCATTGTAAACGAGTAGTACACACGGCCCCGGCGGTGCAAATACTGATTCGGCAATAATAGATAAGATAACGCAAAAAACAACTGCAATCATTCGTGTTACCGAATGCACCAAAGCAATAAACGCTAAGATTTTTTTTTTGTTCATTGATTTGAATCTGTACTTGTGTACGAAAACAAAAGAAAATTCACATTTTTCGGCCATTGCCAACGTCAATCTCATCAACATTCATTTGAATTGACTACGGACCACGAACAACTGGAACAAGGCGGCACATTTGGTCTGAACACACGCTGTCAAAATGGTGTTATACATATTTCACGTGAACAGCGGCACAATGCTGACGTTCGACATGGAAATGGCACTACAAACGTAAGTTTCAATTATCAATAATTAAATTTACGATCCATTTATATATTTCTCAATTGAATTCAACTGGATTGTACGTCTAACGACACAAAACTGTGCAAATATGAACGAAGCAAAAATAGCATATATTCTAACTTAATATTAACGCAATTGAAATCCATTTTACAAACACTAAATTGTTCTTGACGATGAAAGAGAAAGAGAGGCAATTCTGTTTGATGTGTGCCTTACTGATATCAATTCTTACTCGCAACAATTTTTACGTCAAAAATCATAATAAAAAAAAAAAATGCGGTGGCGAACGAAGGCAGAAAGATCAACTAAAGTAGTAAAGAAGAGAAGAAAAAAAGGAATTATGGCTACATTAAATACACAAGTAATTTGTAGTATAGTCATTCAAGTTGGAATGATAAAAATAGTCGCGCAAAAAGCTACACACAAACACGAAATGCAGTGGTTCGTTCGTATATTCCGACATTGCAATTACGTTCAAGTGAACTTACATGCTTTTTAAATTCAAACAAACATGCTTTTTGTTTACAGCTTTAGAATATCGGCGAAATAAAACAAAAATACAAGCAATAAAGACAACTTCGACATCAATGGCAGCAACAAAGTAAAGTGAAAAATAACAGACATAAATCGATAGAAAACAATTTGAAAATGCTACTAACAATTTGATTGCGAATTGAATTGGTGATGAAGAAAAATGGTTGTTTTTCAATTTCCAGTGGCGAAGTGACAATCGATAAGTATCCCTTCGATGTCATATACTATTCAATATAATCCCTATAGCTCATTATCCATTCGGCCGTTGTTGCCACACATTGATTTTCTTGTCATGTAATTTGAACCCAATTCAAATGACTTTATCTTTTTTTTTCCATTCGCTGTGACTGCCATTTACAGAGTCGGATTGTCTACGGTTGTATTAAAACTTTGCACAGTGCATATACTAAATTCGCTTAACGCATACTATATTTGCAATTGTACAACTTTAATATATTCAACATTTTCATGGGGTTTTCCAAATGTACCACCAATTATCGACGTCATTCTCAACTGGCACTATAATCTTATTAATCATTTTATATTCACGTTATACGACATCGACACAGAAAAAAAAAGTTCAGTCGAGACCGAACAAACACAGCAAATAGAATTGAACATAAGAAAATACAGAGAGACAAAAAAGACAGCAATTTTACATTTACATGATACCGTTAACGCTTAATAACAGTCGTTGTATTGAACTTTGACTCATTTCATTGGAATTGATGCAAAACCAAATTGTATTTGACGTTGTTTCTTCGATAAAAATAGAAATTTCGTTCTATGGACGAGGACGAAAGGAGAAAGTATTTGTCTGGCCGAGACAGTGGCGTCATTTTGGGGCTCATTCAGTTTGAAAGAATTAAAGTGACGGTAACGATATACAATTATGGACATTTACATTGCTTATGAAATTTCCATGAAGTGGCTTTGTTATTTTTGCATTCGAATGTGACATTTTTATTTGTTTTGATCGTTTCGTTTCGTCTACAGCCGATGGTTGTTTATTTTTTTGTCTTGAAAGTTTCGACAGGGTTGAAAGCTGAAAGTCACACATTAAGTATTCACTTACACACTGAACGTCAATATATCATGCCGCACACATTAAAACAGTCTTTTTTTTCGCAAAATCAGATACCGTTTTCATTTCGATGCGTAATGTTTCAACGATTTCTCGATACTCACACAACTGTAACGTTGTTGTTGTTATTCGTTCCGTGTATGTGAAGGCATTCAACTCAGCCCATTCTTTTCTATATAAAAATGCGTATTTTATTTTTCAGTCTATTCGAATTGTCTGCTATTCGAAGTACAAAACACGCGAGAGAAAAACGAATTAAATTGTTTTATTCGTTTGACATAGTTTTTCGTTATTGCGTCTTTTGCACGGTTTCGTGTGCGCCTGCAAATATTATTAAATAAATGACGGTGCAATTGATTATTATTTTGTACCCCCCATTGCTATTACATATTGTGATCCACCACCACCACCACCATCCCATATTTTACTCCGCCAATGTTTATTAATGAACACGACGGAGAAATAAACATCGTGTAAAAGACTAAACAAAAACAAATTGCGCGACAAACACACGAGCAATGCTTTGACTGCGCATCATGCTCCCTTCGAAGTAACTCTGCTGTAGCATTTCTTTCAGTATAACAACGATGTGTGCACCCGTGTAAAATGTCTTTACATCTTTGTCTGGCTGGGTGCATATGCCCCATCTATCTGTTCAATGGCTTTCCAAACGCTTCAAAACCATGGCCAAAATAAATGAAGCGAAAATGAAAAAAATAATATATATCGTATTCAACCTGATGTATTTACTATTTACATGAGAGTGTATATGTCTAAGGTCGTTCAACTGGCTTCACAACAACAACAGACGCTTTTCAATACACTTTAAATCAACACCGAACACCACACACTTTCCTAACGTTCACTTCGTCATTCACAACATGTATACAGTATATAGTTCGAATGTCATTGTGGTTCCCATTCATGAGAGAAGTGGAGAAATGAAAGTGCAACATGGAAACCTTTTGTGGATACAGTACAACACAAATGCATCGAGCTATATGCACTTTTTCCAATATTTGCTTTGAGCTTTTCATGCTGTTAAAACAAACCGAAATCAATTTTCTTCACAGAGAGCGAGTGAGCGAACGAACATAAGAGAGAGAGAGAGAGAGAGAGAGAGAGAGAGAGAGAGAGAAGGAAATTCACAGAAAATAGAAATGAATGAAGAGTCGCACTGTTTATTTTTCGTTATTTTCAGAAAAATTCACATTTCTTGTTGCTAACGATTCACTTCGAACGCAGTTCAATAGACTTCGTATTTGACACTTGCCCATTACAAACTCGTACCAATTCCCGAAACGAAATATTTCACGCTTTGTTCCACCAAATAAAGACGGTTATTACATACTCTCCTTAACAAGAGTGTGTGTATGTATAAATAGCTTTATTTCGATGCCTGGTAGTCAAGAGTCGATTGAGTGTTATGAAAAGTCATCGAAATAAACACCGTGAATAATAATGTGGCAATTACACAAAATGAAATAAACCGCATGTTTTGAAATGAAAAAGAAATAAAAAATGTCTATATAAAACTAAATGCGTTGTTACTTCAGCCATTTGTAAATGATCCAATGCTATTTATTTGACGGAGCGTATCATCAGACGAATGGCAAATTGTCGATACATAAAAAACGACGTCATCGTCTTAAAATTCATTCGTTCTCTATATAAAGGAACAAAGAGATCGCTTGAAATGGCGGACGAGACAAACAAAAAATTGTGTTGAATAAATTTGTTGCAGTTTATTATAGTGTAATGATCAAATCAAGCCGACAGAATAATGAAATCAAGTGGCATTGACTGTGCGACCACACCAGTGAAATTGGAGAAATTAATGGACATCTAAAATTTTATGTCATTTCACTTTGGCCATAGGAAGACCATATAAAACGGTCAATTAACTAAATTCACACCATATGATTGTGCACACTAGAAATCGAGAACGCAAAAAAAACAACGGCGAAAAAAAACTATATATACCAGGAAATGGTATTGGCAAAGCATATGTGTACGGCATGTGCAATTTATTCTATTAGCATACATTCGCTTCAACATTCAGCTGAGACAGATGCAACAAAAATAAAATAACAACTATAAAAGTTATTATACCGTTGAATGTGTGTGCATTCTCTCATTCACTTGCAACATAATAGAACACATAACGCTCGCACCACTGCCAGCCATAACTTAAAATTTATTGTTTTATTTACATGACAACCTCTTCTAGTTTTTCTTACCTAAATGCTTTTGTTCCAAATCGGAAGCTGAGAACGGCAAAGAAATTAAAAACCAAGTCAAAACATAGCCAACGTAATCGTGAGCTTGTGTATGTATGTGGCCATGTACACCAGAACAACGAAAAAAAAGAGTCGAAGGTTTTTGCTATTTTGTGTTCTTATTAATGAGTGTGTTGTTGTTATAGTTTCGTTATTATGCGGCGAGAGTAAAATCTAAACAAAGCAAAGTAATTTGGTGCTGCGCACATTAAAACTAACACACTTAAATGGTAACGATGTGCCGTATTATTTCTAATTCTCGATGTTTGACATTGATTTCCATGTGAATTCGAATATTTTTTTGTTCAGGCCGACTAAAGCAAGTCAGTCATTTGTATATATGGGTGGGTTACTTGTTAAAAAGGTTTATAGTTTTATCACAAACAATCATATTGAGAGCGAAACTGAAATTGAAACTTAGCAAAAACGAATGAACAATAGCAGAATACTAATTAAAGCGAGAGAGAGAGAAAGAGAGGAAAAAAAGAAACTGTGCTTACAAACTTGGTGTTGCGACTTCATTTACGGTAAAATGTGTCAATTTGTCGGATACTTTTTATTTCTATTTTTTTGTGTGTGTGTGCGCGCATTTGACGCTATACAAATTATTGCTGCTGCTTCACTTGGAACACACGCAACTCACTCAAACGGAAATTATGCTTAACAAACAATAACAACAGCTATCAATCTAATAATTTATTTGTGCAATGTGTATGTCGCGCACACGATATTTGTTTCATATTTATTTTCAAAGTATGAACAATTTATATCCATGTTCTCTTCGTTGGTATCATCACCATTTCTGTAATTGGTGCTGCTGCTGATTGTGTAGAAAGTCAATAAGCGTAAATGATTACATTTTGTGAAAATGCAATTTGTATAAACGATTCAGCAATGTGAGGCAAATCGAATAAACTTCGATCAATTTGTTTCATGAATAATTTTCATTTCATTTATTGAGAAATGCAAGCGATTACGTGTATTTGCGTGAATTCACATGAATTTACACATTCTAATCTTGAGATAGAAATCAATGCGCATTCGTTAGATGAAAAATAACCATCAAGCAATTTTAATTATAAATTTTTCCATTGATAACTTGAGCACTTTTTAACTTTAATATTTTCAATGTATTTTTGTTTACAGGGTTCAAAATCTTAAAGAGACAATCGACCGATTGTATTCAATACCATCTACAAAACAAGTCCTAATGATTAGCGGCGGTGAGGTATTAAATCCAATGTCGCGTGTATGCAGCTATCCATCTGGTACCGATGAAAATCCTATTTATATGTTTTGCACATATTTCGATAGTTCAAAATTAACGCAGCCATGGCCAAGCGAGTGTCGTAAGTAACCTGTTTGTCATTTCAATTAATAAGCTATTTTGTTGTTGTTGTTTCGTTGTTGTTCTATTCTATCGCTCATAACTTTATATCATCCATATTTTCTTTGTTGTATATGCGGTCGATAGGGAGTAGCGTGCATAAAATCACATACACCAACTTAATCGATTTTATTTTAAAATAAATCCCCAATTGAGATCAGCTTAATGTCAAGTGGGTTTGTTCTGGCGTTTTTTTCGCTTTGTACTACAGATTATGTCGTGTCGTTGTTTCAGATTTAGATAATTCAATTTATATTTCATTGTTAATGAGACCCAATTAGTATGTCATATATATAAAAAAAGTCACAAATGAGTTTATGAAGAATTTCATTTATTCCATTTCCGATATACGTTCTTTGTCATAAATAAGTTTTTTTTAAATTGAGATGACCATCTTTTTTTAAAATTGAGATGACAACGTTTTTTAGGTGATCATCATGTGCATTTTATTCTTTGACCTAAAAATAATTTCAATGGACAATCAGATAAATAGAATTCGTTGGTCATTCAAAAGTTTCATGAACTTTTCCAATGATGCTATATCATTATTTACTCACTTTCTACAATCGGTTGAGATAGCGAGAGAAAAAAAACATATATAAATATATATAGTTGAGCGTTGCACACAATGTATTTGCATTGCAAAATAATAATAATCATTGTCTAGGGGGTAGACACGAATTATAAAACTTTGAATCATGTGAATCACAGTGAATCAAATGAATCATTCAAATGTCAAATAAGCATCACTTTTGGTTTTACTAACAAGATCGTTCAACAAATTCTAAATATTATTTTTTCATCTATTTCGTGTTTTTCTAGTAAATTCCAAATAAAATCAACCATAATGAGATAATACATTTAAAAAAACGTCAAGAAATCATTTTTTCGAAGACAAATACTTTTAATTGTTCAATAAATATTTCTTGTATGACACATAAATGACATTTCAAATGTCATCTAAACAATGTGAATCTTTTGAATCACAGTGAATCAAATGAATCATGTCTACCCCCTAGATCATTGTAATGCTCTTTCAAGATCATGCCGAATGTAAATTAACCGATATGCAGGCTCGCGCATTCGCGATATCGTAAAGCAAATAAAAACAAAAATAGCGCACGTTGACAATACAAAACGCTCAAAATACACAGACATAATATAAACACAATGCGTATTATTGCCTGGAACAGGAGATAATTCACGGAATCGAATCACAGAAGCATTACCATAAATGCCATATCATTGTCTATATTTCATTCTAAGCGTATTATATTTTGTTGCATGTAGACAGACAGTTAATGCCATCAAATCTCGTTCGCTGTTGTCCTACTTATTTTTTTTTGTTTTTTTGATTGCCCATCCATATTTTATAAAAGTGTTTATAAAATTGAAAAAACAAAAAAATATCATCATAGCGCCAAACAGATGTGTTCAACATTGGAAACAAAAAAGTAAGAAAGAGATGTTATTCATTTCGATTGTTTACGAATGGACAAAAAGGTTGACAATTCATTTTTTATGGATTTTTTTTTTTATTTCGTTCGACCAAAAATAATAATCATTGTGTACATATGTAGAATGTTTTGGTAGATAATGATATTATATAAAATTTATACGTATATGGCAAGACTGTAAGGTTATAAATGCTTATGTTTATACCTTTGATATCGATGAAGAAATTTCAAGTGTATTGACAGATAAAAACAGAAGTCGGTAAACAACATTTATATTCTAATCGATATTTACATTGTAAATGCATGGATGAAAAATAAACACATATTGCCAATGGCATGATAAATCGGTGACAATTGACCGGTATATTCTAATGAAAAGAAACAACAGCTCATATATTATGTCTCTGAGTGCAGAACATCGAGTTGATACATGATTCAAATGTAATTTGATAAATAATAAGCATAGACTAGTTTAAAACGAGACACACTTGTTTCATCACAATCTTGGTCTCTTTTATATCGCACCGATAGATATATAGTCGGATAGTGCATTGCATTTTTTTCTTCTTCTTCTTCTTCTCTGTTTTTCGCAATCGGACAAATAGATTCCCATATTACGATAAAACTTTTTATTCGACTTATTGGCTGCAATTTTTCACGCCAATTTATGCATCTAATGACTGTGCTCATAACCCTACTTATAAAATAACACAAATATACATATAAATCGATTAATTGACCAATTAAAATACATAGTGCACTAGAAAAAATGTTGAATTTAATTAGCACTCACACTAATTTAAGCACATTGTTTTTGTTTTTAATTTCAACGTTTTCTTCCCTTTGGCATTTTCTCTCATTCTTTGTTCCTTTTTTTTTATTCATATTTTTCAGGCATTAAATACGAAGACGAGGTGAGCAAATGTTTAAAGATGCCAGCTGAATATAATACCGTTGTGATTCGAGCGAAATTAGCTCAAAAAATGTACGATAGTGCCACCAAAGAGATAAAAGAATGCGAAAGACATGTGTTTGATCAGCATTTACAACAACAAGGTTGGGCCGCTGTTATGGCAAATCTAGAAGATCTAACAAATGAATTCAAACAACGTAGTCAAATGATATTAAATACAATCAACGACTATCTGGAAAAGCGGCCAAAATATTTGGATTTATTAAATTCATTTCCGGCGGATCTAGTTGAATTGTCAACGGTGCCCATTTTAAGTGAATTGTTGCCGTGTGCACAACACGATTTTCATGGATTCGATGAGATTTTCCATGATACCGTCTCGTATACGGGATCAACGAGTGCCGATAGTGGAACAAGTGTCGGTGGCAGCAGTAGCAATAGTCGAAATCGTGAATCACTTAGCGGATGTGACAGTGGAGGTGTTGGCGATTCATCTAGTCAAACACAAGGACAAATAGATACAGTTATTTCAACTGATAAAACATCAGCAGCAGCAGCAGCAGCAGCAACAACAACAACAACAATACAAGACAAAACATCCGTAGATTCACACAATAACGAAGCGCCGAAAAGCCGAACACTTACACTTTTACAATGGATTTCATCGAAAGAAAATCACAAAGCATTAGACGAAATGGCCAAACATTGTGGAAAGGTTCTAACGAAATTCGATGAAAATTCCATTCAAAAAGTTAAAGAAGGCATCAAACGAACCATAGATATTGCCGAACAGGTAATTATTGATAGTTTGGTCAGTGGACTTTTTTTATTATTTTTCTTTTTAATTTTTTTATCGACAAACTTCTCGATTGAAATGAAATTTAATGGATATTTTGTATGTGGTTACAGGAAAGTGTACGTGAAGTTGGTGGCTTAACAAAACGACTGGAATTACTCGATACGACGATGTGTGAAGCTCGTAAATTGGTTCAGGATCAAAAGGAACTGTCAACGGCATTTCAACAGAATCAAACACGTGCCAATCATTTGGGCGACGCATCAATTCTACCCGATCTCTGCTTATCTCATTCCAATCAATTGAGCGTTATGCTTCTGAATCACAATAAACTTTTAGATTTTGAAAAGCGAATTTTTAAAGCGAAAGAAGAATTGGCCGAAAATTTGAACAAACGCTTGGATTATGTGGCCAAAATTGAGAATTCAATCAGTGATTTGGATTGCAATTTACTGTTACACCATGAAAATTTCAAACGATTGAAAAATCATATGATGATTATTGAACAAATTCATGAAGCACCAACCACCTATGTAACGGCTGTGACTGAAATTGTACGCCGCAAACTATTTTCAGATGCTATGCTTAAAGTAAGTTAATAAACTGGTTTGCTACGATTCGTAATTGGATTTGTAACGTTTTTCTTTTTTTTTTGAAAATTTTCTAGTGGGCTGCTGAGCTTTCATCAAATATGTTTGTCATTCATGATGAAGAACGTTCACGTCGAGAAGAATTTGAAAATACATTCGATCAACATTTTTTAAATGCATTATTTTTGGGTCTCGAAGATGAACCACCAACGTTTGCAACACAAGCACCAGCCATATTTGACAATCGGTTACCTAATTTGACCAAAGCAGGTTAGCATTTTTACCAGAGACTATTTTTGAGGAATAAATCAGAGACTATTCAATCCGATGCCGACCGATGCCGACCGATGCCGACCGACGCCGAGATTATTAAATCCGATACCGACCGTTTGCCGACCATCTTTTTTCGATGCTCGAAAATCGAACAAAATTTAATACAAAATGAGATAGAATTGAGAAAAAAATGACAATTGATAAAAAATCCATTCAATTTTTCAAAAAGTCGCGAACTCGGACAAAACTCGCATGGCGAAATCATTCCGACGCCGACCGTTTTCCGGGCATCTTGGGTTCGGTCGGAGTTGGCGGTCGGTAGGCGTCGGAGCTCGGTCGGAGTTGCGAACACTGTTTAAAACACAGATTTAACATCTGGGGAGCTTGAGAAATTGGGCCAAAAGATTAATATTATTATTTTAGATATTTTTTTAACTGTTAATATTTTGCTCAACAGTGCTTCTCCAGTTCCTCTGAAAAACAGTCCTCAATTCTTACAAACTTGTTTTTTTTATTTAATTGATCACACATTAATGACAAATATAATTTGTTTGCAGATTTACAATATCTGAAGGAAGCCATTCCAGATATAGCTTCAAAAATAGAATTGCCTGATTTGAAGTTTGCGTTAGACTTTTTTTCCACACGCTATGGTAGCAGCAAAGACTCGTTAATGGACAAAAAAAGTACCGACGATGTCAAATTGATAGCAAATAAATTGTTAGATATTCGCACCTTCAAAGAGTATGTTACAAGCTCAACAATAATGTGTCTTATGCCATAATTTTATATTTTTTTTTTTATTTATTTAATTTTCCTATTATAGTGGTTGTGAATCGGAAACGGATACCGAAGAATTTGAAAAAGTTGGCCAAAGTCCGATCGATCGACGAAAATTGGCTGATGGCAGAAGTGAAACTGTCTCAAAACCCGAATCAGTTGAAATGGCCACATCCACTAACCAAGTTGAAACAGTATCCATAGAAACATTGACAGAGGTTAGTTTTGACATTTTTAATTTCACATTTCGATTTTATTGGAATTTATTTAATCAATTTTTCTAGGATAATGCTGGAACAGCGCAGATTGAAATAGAACGTTTAAAAACACTTCTCGTTGCGATGGCACAAATATCACGTAACTCAATCGAATTACTACGAAAGCAACTGGTTGAGCTCCGTGATGGAGTAAACTGTGATAAGAACGATGTAGCTGTTGAGTTTAAAAAGATCGAAACGATGTGGTCAAATCTGAAAGAAGGAACTGAAACGAATGAACGTGAGATCATCAATCGTTTGACGGTAGATCATGAATTGGAATTAACTGACGTACGAAAACTATTGACAATGAAAACGGACGAAGTGGTCGATTTGAAGGCAGAGAATTCAAAACTTTTGGAAAAATTGGCAAACAGTGAATTGGAAACGGAAACATCAAAAACACGTAGTTCGAATGAAATTGATGCACTCAAGGCGCGCATTGCACAACTCGAAGATCGGGTTAAGGGTCACGAAACTGAAAAAACAAAGGCTGTGAATGAAATAAAAGATAGACTGATTCGTGAGCATAAAACCGAAATTGAGTCGTTGCGATGCCGTTATAAGCTGATGAAAAATGTCGATCGAACACCATCCGATACAAGTCTCGAACGTGTCGAACGTCCTGAGCTTCAAGCCTGCTCACCGACATCTAGTCAGAGCTTGTATCGTCGAATCTTAGATGAAAAAGAACGACAATTGGACGCAGCCAATTCACAGGTCGATGTGTTGAGCAAACAAAATGATGAACTTAAACGCACCATACAAAATTTAACCGAAGGTGAAACACTCGAGAGCGTCGATCAAATGAAAATTCAAATCGATACATTGCAAAAGGAAAAATACAAATTACGTCAGAAATTGCACTATGAACGATCGAAGAATATCGATTTGGTTCCAGCTGGAGCGTAAGTTAACAATTAAAATCACAATTTTCGGAACTTTGTTTTAAATTTATTTATTTTTTGTACAGATCAACAAGCGATCCAGCATCATCAACTCTAACGAAATCATTATATCGTGCTCGTTTATGCACAAAGCATTGCATCTCAGTTAGCTTATGTGAAGTCGGTGTAAATGTGCTTATCATATTTAACGAACAACTGTCTCGATTTGTCATTGTACAAGTGAGTTTTCAATCCTTCGATTTTATTCAATTTTCTGAGTTTTAGTAAATGAACAAAAATACTAATGTATGTAATTTTTTTTCTATTTAGGATTCACCAATCATTCATTTCTTAGAGGAAGATAGTCATACATTCTTCAATCTTCCTGTGCCAACACGAAACGAGGAAAAGTTTGAAAATGTTCAAAAAGCACCATACTATATTGGTGTGGTCACTGAAAAACAATTCTGTTTGGTTAAACGCGAAGGAACGCGCTATCGTGTACCAATCGGCACTCGATTCTATCGAATAAAGGTGCGACCATTGCCACCAAATAGTCGTACCAGTTCCATATCGGAGAATGAACAAGGCACACAAAGTGCTCGTAAAAGTTCCGTATCCGAATCGATCGCACCAAGTTCATCACAAGACACAGTAGCTGCAGCTGCCGCCGCATTGAGCACATCGAAAATTACCACTGATTGTGAGAAAATTACTTGTTATTTTATTGAATAATTATTTATTGAATCGTAACTAAAAACTATTTTTTCTTCTAGTCTGTCGCCCAAATCCACCGGTAGTTCGTTCGTTGAGTGCTCAGTTCACCGATTCGTTTGCACAAACTGAATCGACCGATGTTGCTATCACCGAAACAACGGAAATTCCAAAAATTGTAGAAAAGGATATGGTGGACTCAGGTGTGGTGGACAAAGGTGAACGGATCAGCCCAAGTGGTTCTGTGTCAACATCATTTGTTGGACGTTTACGTTATGCAAGCGTTGGAGAAGATGAAGCAATCATCGTTGACAACGTTGACAATGTACCATCATCACAAGAGGTATGCGTCTAATGTCATCGGTGTTTGTTTCTTGTTTTGATCTGCAATGTTGAAAAACATACTCACAAAAATTCAAAAAAAAAGTGCTTAACTGTGTTGTTTGTCACATCTCCCCATTCCTTTTACACCACCCCCCACTGTTGGCTTATTCTACTTCCTGCAAATGTGTTTTTTCTCCAAATTTACTTGCTGATTGTTCATACACATACAAAATGATCATTTTATGCATAACACTCTAAACAAAATCACTACTTACTTATTCTAATTGAAAATCGAAACAAAACCGAACCAAATAAACAAACAAAAATCAATAAAAATCCACATCCATATGTATAAATTTGTAGGAAACGGCCACAAACTTGATTGAAATAACTGATGAATTTGGCACGGATGGTGATCAAGATGAATCCGATGAGTATCGTTCGCTTGACGCAAGAAGCGATGATGTCGAACCGATTAGTTAGTTAAAAATTTTCGTCACCATCGCATCATATTTATCGACGTCCTGGTTTTTACGCGAATGAGACATGTTATACATATTATTGCATTAAAAATCAACCACATCCGATGACATTTACAAAACTCTGGACTGAATCAAAAATAATCGAGTAAATGTTAATATAAAAAGTGAGTTGCACCGAAGAAAAACAACCGGATTGTCAGAATGAATTTAATTGTAAAAGATTATTGAATCTAAATGGATTTCATTCCAAAATCGCATAGTATTTAAGGATTAATTAATTTAAACATAGCAAACAACAACAAACGTGATGAAAAAAAAAGAAAATCAAAAAAGATAAAATACTTTTATCAGTTGACATTAAGTTGAATCTTTAAAGATTGATCTTAAAAAGAAGATATTCGCAGTTGTATCAATTATTGGACCCAAAAAAAAGAAGAAAAGAAAAAAAATATTTGTATCTCCATTAGTTACAATCGCTTATATTTAACTTTTCAATATAACTAAATTTATATTTGTAATAATTTTTTTTAAATTTCTTCGCACAAACGAGTAAGAGAAAAATTCGCAGAATTATAGGCGATATGTCTCATTAGAATTGAACTCTTAAAATTTGGATTTTTTTGACAAACAAACAAATAAATTCAACTCAATAAAATGACAAAAAAAAATAAAAAAAAAACATACAACAGATTATTTCAATCAGTTAATTTTTTTTTTCTCTTTTTCTCGCTAAACATTCACTTTTCATTTCAGGATGCCTTGCTTTCTCTTTGAAATATAACACAGTAAACATTTCATAAAACACCGGCATGTTAATTCATTCATTTCAGACCTTTTGAGTATATGACAATTTGGGTTGCATGATTTTTCTCAACTTTCATATCATCAATTTTCGATCTGACCTTCTTAATCATTTGTGTTGTGCTTTGTCTTTGGTACACCCAATTGTTTTGTGTTTCTTTTTCATGGCTTTTTTCTACTTACATTTTTATGTGGTATTTTGTGGTTTCTTTTAGTTGCTAATAGGCGTATAAATATATACCCATAAACAAATAGTTCCAACTATATTTTGGTCCACCATTTGAACTTCGAAGAAAATGAAAAATAAAAAATAAAAAAACAAAGAGAAAAAAAAACGTTTGTGCTCTGCTTTTCACAGAATTGGATCGTCGAGGCAGGAAGCGGCGGCATTGGATTTTTTACATTAATCGAACCACTCATAACACCACTACAAAATTTATTGGAGAAATAAAGTATACACATGCTATAAGATCTGTAGCTGATTACATCAATGTGAGTGTCATCTTCAGCGCAACAATTGTTCGTCATAATTTTAGTGAGTTAAAAAATATGTGTTGTGTGTGTGCGCCACTTTTTATATCCTTCATATGTTTTGCGATATTTGGCTTTATGCAAACGAAATTACCCATTTTTAATCGAAAAAAAAAGTATCATAAAAATGTTGGGCGTCTTTGAAAAAAGAAAAAACGAAAATAAACCAAATCGTTACTGTTTGATATTTTTCACACACACTGTTAAAATTGTTCTCGCGTGATTTTTTTTTCTGTTAAAACTGTTGAAATATAGAGATTAGTATATGCACCAAGAAATAAAATTGAATGTTATTAGTTATTTTCTTTTTAAGTATTTTATCGTCGAAAAAAAGAATTGATAAAACAATATTTAAACTTCAATCTGAAAAATCTGCTTTTTTAACATAGATTTGGGTATGTGTAAATAAAATATCAATAGTAAACATAATTGGGCGTTTGTCAAAATAATGAGCAGATTTTATTTGAATTTTATTAAATTTGATGAATTGTATCATAAATTAAATATTATAATATCCATTGGGTCAATGGATACATTTTGATACGTAATCTCATTAATGCAGAAAATACTTGGTTTTTAGGATAAATCTTGTTCTTTTCTCAAAACTGTTCTTTTTTTCTCATTCGAAAAAAAGTGATTTTTGAATCAAATACGAATGAATACAGACCGCAAATGGTAAAAAAGCGCATTAGTTGATTGCATTAGCGTGATTAGTTGTTAAGTTTTTGCAGTTAAGTCGCTTATTATATTATTATTGAAAATAATAAGGAGAAAATGATAAGAAAAAATATGTTTTACTTAAGGTATGTTAAATTTAACGCAATCATTTTCATAAAAAAATACAAAAAAAAAATCATTTTCACATTTTCTTATCTTACAATATGTATGACAAATTTAAAATAAAAAATACGCCTAATAAAGAAGTTTGCCAAAAAAATCCCTACACAAAGCTTACATATTTTGCCACGCTTATTAATCAAAGGTGTTAGTTTCTGCGTTAGGGACTTTGGAAGCTGGAAATCTTCTTTCTTCTTGTATACAGACTAAGTCAAGCCCACAAATAATATGTAAAATCTCAAAGAGAGCAAATCTTGTAAAATAAATAAAATAAAAAATATTTAACGAAACGTTTTTTTTTTCTCATAACATTAGACTATTTATGGACATACACAGGGGCGTATCCATAATTTCATGACGGGGGGGTTTCAAAAAAGTCAACGTATAAAAAATAAACAATATAAAATAGTATAAATTGATCTAATTCAATTGATATAGTCTTACAATAACATTTTTCTATTTTTTGCTTTTAATACCGAGAAGAGTATTTGAAAAACGCAGTTAATGAATAAAAAAAATGAAATTAAAAGAAGCGACTACAAAAATACTTTAAAACTCGATGGCTTAAACGGCTGGATTCAATCACTACAGTGAATCTAATTTTTTTGATAGACAAAATAACATGCAAAGTAAGCAGAGAAACTCTCCACTAACATAGGATTCATATACGAATGGCGTGTGAGTGGAGTGTGTCATGCAAAATTTTGTCTACCAAAAATATTAGATTCACTGTACTTTAAGGAATTTCTTTTGCCTATTATAAATTCTCTAGAAGTTATACAAGAATCTTCGAATAGAGAATCATCTACAAAAGCATTCTTATATCTACTCTCAAATTTGGAAAATTTTATTGCTGCTATGATTCATGAAATTTTTTCATCCCCTTTCTGTATCTTAGCAAGCGAAGAATACTGACTTAGCAAGTGCATTTGCATATTCTTGGTTTCAGTAGAAAATATGTAATAAAAACAATTTTTTATTTGAAAGAACGTCTGAATGACTGATTGTAGCCAAAGCTAATTGGGTCTAAAAGAGTGTTATATACTTTCTATCTTTATTGAACTATTTGGCTGGAATGTTTGAAGAATTATATGGTAATAAGGGCTTTGAGAAGACTTTTTTGGTTTGTCAATTGAAGCGCAGTGTAGAAATGACTTTTCATTGGATTTATCTCTCATTCTATTGCTTTTTCTCTTTCATTCGAATGAATGACGATCGTCTCTACCTTTCATTGATACACAACTGATACGGATTTTTTTGTACTTCATTTTCCACTACTTTTCCAAATGCTTGTTCATATCTAAAAGACACTCTATAAATAATTGAAATGAAAGTAAATTATTTTGGCAGTTTTCAGAACTGTTCAATTTCTATCGTATGGAACTTTATTTTCAAACCAAATTTTTAATAACAAATTTCTCAGAAAATAATTTTATTCATTCAAAATATTTGAATTTATTTGTTAGGTTATTTTGAACAAAACATTTTGGTAATAATGTTTTAGTTAATAGTTTCTCTCGTAATAAATAGATCATTTATTTTGATAGATAGCCTTGCTATACCAATTCTTGACTTTCTCTTTGTGTTGCATCGCCGGTCTTTTTGTTTTCGCGGTAGTTCTTCAAAGCGATGAAAACATAAATCGAACAAAAAGCTAAAGGAAAATGACGAAAAACATAAGTTCAAAAACTTCATAGAGATAAATGAAGAGTTTAATTTACCAAACATAAAAATTGTCACCCAGAAATGTGTTAAATGCTCCAAGGATTTAGTTGAACCATGTCCAAATAACATTCTGCAGATCGAACAATAAAAATTGACAAATTATAAATAAATGCATTTAAATTGTTGATCGTCATATATTTAATCAATTACTGGTGTGCCTGGAATGATATGTAAAAACTCCAACACATCAACGGCATTGCCAACCATATCAATGACGTCACCAATAGTTCAGTTAAATTCTGCTTAAATCGAAACAAAATTGAAAAAAAAAAGTCGAAAATTGATATAGTAAAATGTTTGATTCAAATTCGCTTACCAATGAAATTCCGACCAGCCAAATGAGACATCCAATTAAATTGAAGACTAAACAAATGTACGAATAGTTCATGGAAAATTGTTGGAAACAATTAGATATCATTTTTTTGGCATAAACGAACATTTAACTCACCAAATGTTCCAGCGATAAAATCACCGGCAATTCCAACACCTTCGAAAATGAAAAGCAATATTGGATTCATGACAACGCCAAACCAACCAATAACTTTTGCGTCATAATTATCCATTTTGAGTTTGTGTGATACCATGTGCTATACTTACTATAATAATATTTGTTGTAAATGGCCTGTGGGTCAAAGCGTGGTATCGAGATGAATTACATAAAATAATTTATTTTGAAAATGCAGCTACTTTTTATTTTATTTGTTTGTTTTGGGAAACTCAAAAACGAAACGAAAAGACGATCAAAATAAAACACGTTTTTTAAGCGGAATACGACAATGGTATATGATCTCAATCGTTTCAAGCGGCTATTCACAAACTATAGTGATTTTCCAGAATCAAAACCACCATATTTATTTTTTGGATGACAAACGAAATGTCAAAGGCAGTGCCAACACCTGATAGATATATAATTTTGTATTGAACCACATAATCGCAATTGATTTATCGAAAAATAATGCCGACATCTTTATAGATGTGCCAAACTCGATATATTAATACATTTTGTATTAGAATAGATACCATTAACCATTAAGACATAATACGCATATTAACATGATTATTATCTATTAAGATCGAACATTTGCAATTTTGCACGGATTTTTACAAGTGTGAGTTGTGTGTAAATAGAATGTCGAATGTAAACCAGTATGAATCCAAGGGTGAGTGAGACAGCATGATTTACCAAGAACGATTTGGGTGACAGAGTTCTGATTACACCAGATGATGTAGACCACTTAGTTGTGTTCGAGAATTGAGAAAAAAAATATTGTATTTTTTTTTCTTTTTTTGTGTCCTATACCGAGTCTCCGAGAGTTTCATATAAGGTTATTACATTTCGACTGTCCAGTTCTTCTCATTCTATTATAAAAAAAGGTCTTTTTAAGAAGTCTTGTACAAATTGTGAAGAAAATGTTGTGTCGAAAATTATTCATTGCATAAGTGATCGCATTTATTTGTGCGCTGCAATATTTTTTGGATATAAAATGTTTGGTAGTAGAAGATCTCCTATTCGAGGTGAAATACTTATGTTTATTGTGTAAATATCTATTTCCAGTCGTTTCGGAAATAAAACCAAACGAAAATTAGTACATTCATCTGAATAATTATCATTTTGTATGTATCACAAAATGTTGCATTTAAAATTCGGTGCTGTCACTCTTATATATATTATAAGTCCATCTCTTTCCTTCGCCCACTGTGAACTTTAGACAGTTGTCGTTTTTTTCGCTCTCAATATTTTGAGTCATCGTAAACACAATTCTAATTTTATTTGTGAAGTTGTTAATGAAGCCTTAAAATTAATACCGTTCCGTCTGTCTATTGCCTGAATTTCCATTTGTTAAGCGCGAGAGTTGTTACATTGAAAGAGATGCACTCAAATATATGAATAGAATGTATTTTTTTACCGCGGTGTGTTTCGTTGCCTTGATGCATTCACTTTTAGAGTTTATAACAATACCAAAATGCGAGTGTTGCTCTCATTTCCAAATTCCCTGATAGATTTATTTCAGCCCAAAAAAAATGGAGACATTTTTACGATATGACTCTTTAAGTCGTGTGTCGTTTTGTTTTCGTTACGGCTTGTTTTTATTTCTTCAATCGAAAACTTACGAACAAAAAAAAATAGACGAAATTTATAAATAGACATAGAGAGAGAGTGCTCAGCCCATGTAATATATAGCGGCATGCGCATACCGCACATTAAATCATCAAATTTTGTAATATAAACGAACGTAGAGATAGAAACACACGGCTCAAAATGATTTAAGCAAAAGTGAACTGGCAAACACTTAAACGGTGCAATCTATTCATCGAGAATAGATAAAAACAACTTCTCTATTAATGAAACAACGATGCGACTACGTAGAGAGCATACTCGAAACAAGACAAGCAATGTCGTTGTCAGAAGAGATGTGTGTACACCGAAAGCACACCGAAAATAGGGAATACACGGAAAATGGTGCAGTTTTCATTCAATTGAAGCGAAACGATCATTGGAATTGTCAGTACGTGGAGAGTTGCTTAGACCGCCATACATTGAATATTGTGTTATAAATTTAGCCATTTAGAAAAAAAAAAACATTCGCCAAACTCACATTCAGGAATCAGTAGCACAAATCAGAGAAGTGGCAAGAGTATGTGCTGGGCTATGAGACGGAAAGCCGAGGAGATGAATTTTTTTTGTGTTTGCTCAGACCCACTGGTAGAAAAACAGATTAAAGTTCAATAGCCCTGAATGTATTTTAAATAGCATTAGCGGTAATGTAGGAAGAAAACAACAGTCACACATGCATTTTTGTTCGTTCTTTTCTCTCTTCTTTTACATTTGGCTTTAATGGAAATAACATTAGAACTGAGAAAAGCGCACAAAATTAGGATCATGTCGAACGATTGAATACAAAAAAACCATACATACACACATAATGTGAAAAACAACAAAAAAAATTGAAGAGGTTGAAATGAAACACACATGTAAGGAAAAAAACGAAAAAAAAACACAAAACGGAATTTCGTTATATCAAATCGCCAAACGAAAATAACGTGCACCGGCCAAAAAGGAAAATTGAAAAGAAAAGAGCACACTTTCGATGTGCTGAAACTATTAGAAGGGGTTAGAGCACGAATAACAGAGTGAGAGAGAGAGAGAGCGATAGCGAGAGAGAAATACTTTGGCGAATGTGTATGTAATGGTCGATATGCATGCATGGCAGGCATCGTTGATTGTTTTGAAAATGTTCTGTTTACGAATTCATTTGTTAATTGAGTGTATAAAATTAGAAATGGATGCCGTTGGTTTGACCAGATCAAAATGCATAAATACGTGATATGTTTGCAACAATTGATTATTATTATTATTCAGTCGCACCAGTGCCACTATGAAAAATGGCATTGGATTCGTCTTTGAGCCCGCATTTTAAGAATTGATTACGCAATGTTTAGAGGGAAAAAAGGCAGCAACATTTCAAATATAGATATAAGCTGCGCATAGCTTTCGACATGCCCACGACATGCAGGAAAAAATAGATCAAAAAAATTCTCAAATTTTAGATGTCAAAATGTTTTTGGTTGAGGAATTTCACCGATTTTTCTTTAGCCACGTTCATAAAAAAAACTTTCAGTTTTTTTCTCGATCCTTGTGATGCATTTCGACAATTTCTTTGCAAGCGTTTTTGAAATTTGTTGTCTAAATTTGGAAATGTCAACTGTAAATTTCGTATTTTTACATCCAAAGTATTTTCGTGTTCAGTCAATACAATTTTTAAACCGTTTAAAATAGCTGCAGCTAATAAAAATACCTGACGACCTCCTCCTCGAAAACAAAACAAAAAATAGTCGTAGTCGTCGTCATCTAAACGACGATGAGTGAAATGGGTGTTTTCGGTCCGTTCTTCGTATGGGATAACATGATGAAAAATATGAGAATCTAGAGTTAAGAGAAAGACAGAGACGAAATGTGAGTTGGTGTATTGCATATCCTGGTATGTTTTCTTAAGAATCAGAAGACAAAAAAATGACAACGACGTCGACGATGAAGACAAAATAACCAAATACACATTGTGAGCATAAAAAGGCCAAACGAGTGCATATGGAAATGGATGGAACACATGTTAGCCTTTGCTACTTTATGGTAAAATTTATGTGAACTGAAGAAAATGAAATAAAACGCACACACGCACTTCGAAAATTGAACCACATAGTTGTTGGTTTTGGCTGCCATCATCTCAACTAAACACGATATTTTTCATTTTTTTTTATTCCTTTCTCCGAGTTGCCAATGTACCGTGACTACTATCCAAATTCAAAGTTAAAAATCTATAAATGAACTACCGTTTCCAACATAATTACCGACCATAAATAAAACAATAAAATGAATACGTTGAAATGAAATGTTTGCGATTGCTGTTGAATGCTTATATTGCTTGCGTAACCTAAATATTCTTTAATGAAGCTATCCTCCGATTTCACTCCCCCCAACGCACTTTTCAATGATTCACGAAAGAACACATTTTATTTCCATTCCAAAGGCAACAACAAAAAATTAGGTAATACGATCACATGAGTAACAAATCAAATTGAAGGAAGTGTTAAAGCTGAAAGTGAATTTAGACATTGAAGATAATGAGAGAGAGAGAAAAAAACGGCCGATGTGAGGAGAAAAAAGTCATTTTGACGGCTTGAAACATTAGATCAATAATGTTGGATTTTGAACGAGAAATGTGTGAACAGCACATTCGAAATCGAATATTAAGCACATGATTCATTGAAATGAGTGAGTTTTTTTCACTCTTGTCATTCATGTGGCTGATGAATTTTACGTCAAATACATCTCACTTCGACGAGGGTATTTTTCAATAAATGGCATAAAATCCCCTGCTTCGCTTTAATTCAATACCAACGCGCTCACATTATTTTTTTCATACATCGCATCGTCCAAGATCTCTACAATCAAGATATCCATGATCAACTTTATCTGGCCAATGAATTTTCGCATAAATTTGTGAAATTTTTCCTCTGCCTTGTGGCCATTCTGCCTTGTGACCCATTCAAATCAGAGATTTTATAACACCCATTCGATTGAATCGCGCATAACATTCGTCATCTGAATCAAGTAATCGAATTGGCATGCGCTGATGGTCGTCGCATCAACCCGTCTACACATTTGATTCTCGCCCAAATATCGTTTATATAGCTACATATTTCTTCTCAATTTCTGAAAGAAATTTCTTTTTTTTTTCTATACTCAGCCTCCGTTTCGACACGAAGACACGATCATCATACCGAAAGCAGCGATGGGAATACACATATCCCCAACGAACACACATTGACACATGCAAATTCAGGAACACACCACAACGCAGACATTTCTCTATTTATATTTCTCGTTCGAATTAGGCATAATGTGTTTTTTTTTTCTCTTCTCTCGTCGACTGAAATACTCTCATCTGTTTTTGCCGCGACGCATTCGCGTTGGCTTTGCCGCTTTTTTCTCATTCTATCTCACTTTGTTACCTCCTTTGGGATGGTTTTTTGTCTACTTCTTTCTAACACATGCTCAGTTATGATCGCCGTTTGGGTTCATTTCTACACATAACTCTCAATGTTCTCACAAGCAAAATCGAAACGATCTTAAAGAAATTCAGTTCAGTCTTGTTCGTAGTGTCTTTGGTACAACACATAAAAGTTGAACATTTTTCTCACTCTCTCCGAAATAAACCATATTTTTATTTAAAAAAAAAACTTTTTTCACAATTGAATATATATATATATTTTTATAATTTCATTGCCGCTCATAGTTTTGTTAATAACTTGCCGAAACTCGAAAAAAGAAGGTGAAAATTCAAACGAAACTTGTGCAATTTTTACGAATATTTTTTCCATACATTTTCACGTTAGTTTGTGTCCGTGTTCCTTTTTTTCCATTGAATTGTTTCTTTTCAAGTTCCATCACATATTCGAGAGAGAAAAGGATGAAGAATATGGCAGTTGACCGAGTTTCGTGCAAGAATTCACTTTTTATTTTTGAAATATGTTCGACGAACAGTGCATCCTACGCACGGAAAATATTTTCAAGTCGCATCGCATCCTACATAAATATATTTAAACAAAATTACAAACTAAGACGATTGCAAAAATACTTGACGGAAGAGAGGGGGAGAACAACATTTATTTCTATTCCTATTCGAAATGAAAATATATTTTTCAATGGTGAAAATTATTTTTTAAAAAATGACCCGCAATAGTTTTTAAAGGATCAATCACGTAATATGGGCTGAAATAATAAGAAAAGTGATCAAGTAAGATAACATTTTCCAATTTGGCGCAGGCAAACAAAAGAGAGAAAAATGTTGAGGGAAAAGAGGAAATTGTAGACAAAAAAGGAATCAACAGCTTGAAAACCGTTGAAAAAAAAGAGTCATAGACATTCGTTAGCAAGTGAAACGAAAATATCGAAGAGCAAACATGTGGAATGAGATAGAATGATGGAAATGAAGAAAATCGCCATTTCAGAGTGAATCGTTTTCTGAATGCTCGAAAATAGATGAAAATAGCATCAAGCTGAATCCGTGGCCAACAAATAGACAGAGAAAGCGAGATTTTTTCTATTTTCCATTTGTAGTTCGGCGATAAAAATACAATCGTTTGCCCGAAGTATGTACACTCGTGTGTTGTCGGCCAACCCATCACCATCGTCATCATCATCAACATACATAGACACCACTCATTAAAAATAGCTCACGAAAGTTCCATTCTTCCTTGCATTCGATAGTATTACATTTATGCCGTATGGAATGTAAAGAAGTATGGAGCGATCGGGCTTATGCAACCAATATTTTCGCCTCGTTCCGATTCAAATGACGATCCGATTTGATGGGGCCTAGAGTAAGTCCGGCTATTTTTATTTTTTTTTCTCCCTTCATCTCCCGTAAAAAAAAGTTGCAGAAAAATATTTTTTCAGGATTTTGATAAAACTCATACCAAGTGAGAGAATAAAAAAAAAAAATTCATAAAAGACGTTATTGCGTGGGTTTTACATTTAACGATAATTTACCGGTCATCGTATTGAGGGCCCATTTTTTGTTTTACTCGACAATTTTTTTTGTCTTTTTTAAAAAAAGATTTTTTTATAGATAGATGCATGCGCGCGAGAGGTCGGCAGTCTTGAAAAACATGCTTCATGAGACAAAATTCAGATGAGTATGTGCCGAAAAAAGCAAAAAAGGTTATAATGATTCATGCTGCTTGGCGCTGAGTGAAATGACAGCCGAAGAATCGAATTTTTTTTTTTGTTTCCAACAACCGGAGTTCAACAGTCGCATTATGTGTAAGGGAATAGGAAGCGATTAGAACATTTACCAACTTAAACGATGGATCGTTATAGAGTTTTTTTTGCAAACAGCATCATTTCAACACATCTGGTCACCACGTGACCAGAGATAAATTCCAATTTTACATAGCCATGAATTGTGTCTATTCGACAAATGTGTTGTTGCGACTTGCACACACACATATCGTCTCATTAAAATGTGCATCGTACGTCTACATAGCAAACGAAAAAGGATCACATTTTTTTTTGGTAAATTTTACATAACAAAGATGTAAAAAATATGTGCAAATTGAACAAAGGGACAATAAAATTTAAAAATCTGACAAATTTGTATGTGTTTTTTTTGTCTGTTTATATGCATATGTGCATGAAATTTCATATATGACTTCATCATGTTTAGCCCATAAATATCGTATGTATACTATTTAACTTGAACTTCGCGTGAAGTAGGAATGTCAGAATGTAAGTATTTTATATAACAATAGCCTTCAAAAACTAACATCATAAAATGCAAATTCGTTCCATTCCGTACAAGAACATATTGACAAACAGGCCATATAATTTGTTGTTTTTTTTTTTTTCAAATTCTCATGCATCATGGAAGCTAAATCGCATTCAAACGCTTTCGAGTTACAAACAGCATTACCGCAACATTTAAATTTTTTTTTACAATTCATTTTATAAATAAAAAATTGTTTTTTTATTTGAAATTAATTTGAATTTATTCTAATGAAAATATCTTCATTTCATTAACACGATTATTATCCATTCAAATATCCATCAACTTCATTCTATATCTATATATTTTAAAAATTACATCATATTTTAAATCAGTAGTGTGCGAGCTCAGATTCTCAGGAAGAGTAGGGGTGATTTCAGAAATGAAGAGTAAAATTGGCCACTTTTTCCACTTAAAATGTTAAAAATTGAAAATTTTGGTTGTTAAAGAATGATAAGCCCCACACGTGCACATTACTGTTTCAAATTTACGTTCTTATCGTTTAAAGACACGTAAATGGATTCCTCCAAGCGGTGCCATCAGGAAATGTTTCGGATTCAGTTTTAAATCGTTATTTTTGTGTCGGTCACCCAATTCAAAACGGAACTTTTGTAACATCATCACTAATCCAACTTTAGATTGAATTTTCCCCAAGTTGGCTGCGATACAATTACGAGGTCCATCACCAAATGGCAAATAAGGTCGATTAATTGCGTTCTTTTCCGTCAAATTTTCTTCATTGAATCGATCTGGATCAAATTTGTTCGGCTCATCGTAATATTGTTCATCCAATTGTAATGAATTTACTGGAATGAATATCGGAGTTCCTTTTTCGATAATTTTATCTGTACCTGGAATTGTATACTCTTTTACACATACTCGACTTATAATCGGCATTATTGGATATTTTCGTAGAGTTTCTGCAACGAAAAAAGAGTCAAACATTTAAAATTTAAATAAATATTAATAAAAAATAATTGCTATCGATAAGGCTGAAACGAACCGTCAAAACATTTTTGAAAATATTTCATATTAGAAATGGCTTCAAACGATATTTTTCCATCATTTTCCATTAAAACTTTATCAATTTCATCGTGGACACGCTGTTGAATTTCTGGACTCTTACACAGCTCATACAAACAAAACGATAAAGTTGTTGCCGACGTCTCAAAGCCGGCCGAAAAGAAATTGAATGCTAATGCCGTAACTTCATTTTCAGACATTTTTTTCTTTTCATTCGAATTAATTGTCGTTTCCCAGTCATCGTCCGATTGAACCATTCCCGAGTTACGCAATTGTATCAATAATTGAAAGAAATCTTTGCGTACCACATTGTTTTTCTCGCGATATTCCAAATTCTGTCGTGTTATCGCATACATGAATTTTTCAACGTCTGAATTAAGTAATTTAACTCGAAAAAGGGTCATCAATTCGGGAGCATTTAAAAACAAAAACAAACGAATCCCTTGGCTGATACCACCTTCAAAAATCTGAGAACCATACTTGCGAAAATCATTATTCGGATCTGTAATTGAATCAACATCGAGGCCATAGCCAAACGATGAAATAATATTTGTTGTATAGCGAGAAGCGAGATCGCGCACTTCAAGCTCCTTGTCTTTATCGGCATAATTTTCCAAATAGCTTTGAAGAGTTGAGCCACAATTATGTAATGTGGTAAACATTGCTTTTAACTTTCCCATTGAAAATGCAGGAATTAATTTCCAACGTAATGGTTTCCAACGTTGGCCAGGCAAGGTGAATATTAATCCGGTTAAGGGGTCAAATTTTTCATTGCAATGAGCAAAACGATCAGTGAAGTGTGAAAAATCTTTGATTAAAATTGAACGTATGAGCTGTGGATCACGCACCAACAATATCGGACGAAGAATTGTATAGATTCCCACAAACGGTTCACTTGTACTATTATACAATCTTGTTGCCAAATCACCCAAAAATTCTCTTTGCGTCAATGTCTTAGTGAAATGTCCGAAAAAATAGTTATATCCCGATAAAGTTTTAATACCCCGACGTTCCCAATACGAATAAGTACGTTTGAGAAAAAAATAAATTAATGTTAAAATGCCAATTAATATGACCAAAACATCGATTTTCCAACTTTCGCTAGATAACAACATTTTTACACAAAAATACTGTTTTAAAATTTGCACAATGTACTGGTCTCTCGCTTCGATTTATTATGACTGAAAAGATTTTTATTTATTTCATACTTCAGTAGATTCATTTAATCGCAAGAAATTGTTTTACTTAGATATCAAATATCTTATCAATTACTGTTCACCAGATTATAGAATGTTTTTTGTTACAAATTATTCCATTATATGTTAAAACTGAAGAGTGTAGAAATAATTCATCACTGTCATACATTGCCATGCATATGTTATCAAATAGGTAAAGTCTTATCATTCGTTTCAATAGAAATTCCGTTTGATTTGTCTATAAATAGAATTTTTACAAGAAAAAAATTATTTGAAAAATGCAAGTATACTCATTGTGAGTTCACATTTGACTCTAAGGGGTGGCACATTTTGTCCGAAGCAAAATGCGCATAATTCGTATGACTTCATTTTGATTAGCTCATAAATTTCAAATGCATAAATATAACTCTTTGTCGTATTCAAAATGTATAGTCATAAAATCGTTCCGTTTCGTTCGAAGGACGTATTGATACATGGGCCATATAATTTCAGTGAATAGATATATCAGCGCTGTTTTTGCGGCTCCTGTACACAGCAAATATCGACAACGATTTTATGATATAAAACTACACTGAATGTAGAACAATAAACATATTGATTTGTTTTTATAAACAATGTGCTCATTTTTTTCGTTTTTTTTATGAAATGTGAATGCAATTCTATCAGTATAAGGTCAGTTTGACTCTCAGAGGTGGCACATTTTCTCCGAAGTTTCTTTTATGCAGAGCATATATTAAGCATAGATATATATCCTGGATATTTTGTTAGTATCCGATATTCATTGGAGCCAGACTTTGAAATAGAGTAAAAACAATAGAAGTTATTTTTATAGTGATTGTAGTAATGTAAATGGTTTTATACTTAGACCTATAACAATCACTTCTATTGTTTTCACTCCATTATAATGTCTGGCTGCGATAAATATCGGATACTCACAAAATATCCCGGATATATATCTATGCTCAGTATATTCTCTGCTTTTATGAAATAAAAATTAAATCATGTTTAGCTCATTAATTTCACATGCATCACTATTTATTTTGAATGTTTCATCCATTTATGGTATGTCAAATGCAAGTACTTAATGCAAATTAAAATTCAAATTATCTTTGTTCTGAGAAGAAAACATAGCATTTGTTGAATCCAAATTCATATCATTATTTTTGTGTTCATTCAACACGAAATTTCTTCCAACTGGATATTTATTTTTCCTAATCTTATTCTCATTCAAAAGTGTGTAACATGAAACTTGATTAGCGAGTTTAAAAAAAAATTCTGAACTTATTACAGCCTTTTCCTAATGTTCTTAAAAAGAAATCCTATTCTTTTTTTACATTAAAAAACGACCAAATCTCCAAATAATTTCAAATATGTACCGAACCAGTCTGAAGTTGGTTGTGATTGGTTTATTCGTCGTTCGTTATGGTGATATGCTGTGAGAATACTGTGGTCGGCAACTTCAATCCAATGTCATCTGACAGCAATCAGTTTTGTTATTATTATTGATGTGCACGATTGGTCCGTACACAAACAAAATATCGATTTATTATTGTGTGTTTCAATTTGATGCGTGCTGTTCGCTCCGTTTGCCATTCGTCTTTGCAATATTCAACGATAAAAAAAGAAATAAATAAAACTCAGTCGTAATTCCGTTCATTCATTTGTGTAAAAGAAATTTAATATTTCCATCGAAATAAGAGCAATAATTTTCCTTTAACATTGAAGTAATATTATACGGTGCGAAACAGTAAAGTGCTAACATGTACTGATATTAGTTGTGCTCAGAACCCTTTTTTGGAAAATAATCAATATTCGAAAATTGAATTAAAATCCGTGAATACTCTGAGAGAAAATCATAAGTTTTTCGCTCAATTAAAGGAAATAATTGAATTTCATCGAAGAAGTGCATTTTATCTGGGCCAAAAAAAAAAAATACAATTATAATCAACAAGGTAAGAGAAAATTTGTGTTAGATAAAATTAATATGCTTTTGTCGAATGAAAAACCGCAAACAAGCCAAATGAAAACGTTCGTTATAAATTGGCAAACGAAAAACATCAATTTTAATTGGAAGATTTCATCATCTCACCATTTCGCAATTTCATCACTTTTTTTTTTTTTGAAAAGTCAGCGCTTTAAATAAAACATTGCATTATTTTGCCGCAGGGGCTTTGTGGGAAGTGCGCCTTTTCAATGGGTATTTTTCATCATATACATGAACAAAAATTTGATACGTGTATGCACATAAAAAATGCCTTTTAAATTGGCTTGGGTGCATGCTGGAGTAAATGCATTTCATCGTGCTATCACTCCACATTTCCATCCTAATCGAACTCTTATATACATCGAGAGTAAATGGAACAATATAGTCTTTATCAAAAAACTATTTGACACAATTTCACTTCATCAGTTTGGCGATGAGCTGAATACGGTCTCGATGCGTTTTGCCTAAATGCGACCGGGGCTCAACATATTTAGTATTTGCTTAAAACTACCTATATACCGTAGATTTTCCATTGTTTGAATAAAATTTTGTTTATCAAATACATTTTTATTGCGATGTAGCTTTCCGAATATTCTCGTTGTGTTTGTTATATGCTGGTGTAAATAATCGGGTGTGATAAAAGTAAACACGCATCCATCGCGCGGGTGTGTGTATGCATAACTGTGAGAATTCTATATAATTGCTAGGTGATGCATGTATACAACGTCCTTTTTCACCACATTATTTACAATTTGCTGATTATTATAATACATACATGCATTCAGAGAGCTCATTCGAATCATTGCTGTGCCAGTCGAATGTACACATTTTTTGAGGATGTTTATTTTTTCGCTCACATAACTTTATTCAACAATCAAAAATTCGATTCATTGAAACGGGAAAAAAGTTGCTGTCTCTTCATGATTTCATGAATGTGCCGATAAAGCATTCACCGAATTTACATTTCTCATTTATTCACATTTAGATGACGAACATTGACAAACTTCAAATGGTTAAATCAAGCCTGTTCCAATTTGTGAACAAACACATTAAAGCAGCCGATTTGAGTGTCGTTGACGACATTGTCTTGAATTATGTGATTGCCATTTTGGAAGAGGCAACCGAAGATCCAAATTTTGATGTTGACGGTGAGTTTTTCTCTCATTTTATATTACTTGTTTGGAAAGTAATTAGCTTTATTTATTTCAATGACTTTTTTTTTATTTCTTCTCTTGCATTCATTTGTATTTATAATTTGTTTTTCGATGATTTTTGAAACGTGTGTTGAACAATGGAAATGTATTACTTAAATGTAGAAATTTAAAATGTTAACGCCATTTTTTCTCGCAACGACAGGTTTTGTTGAAATGATGTCAGCTTATTTCCCGGATTTCTCGCAAATTGAAACAGGCAAGGTGTGCGAATGGATTTTCGAGTTGGCAAACGAGATATCGGAGAAGAAAAACACCGTTGAAAATAAATCAATCGAAACAAGCTTGAAGTAAGTGTTATGATATGAAAATAAACAAACTTGTATCGAAAAGATGTGAAACGATTCAAAATCAATAACATAGATGAACGTAGTACAGAAAAGTGCATTGTACTAAAGTGTCTTCTTATCACAAAACTTCGTTTTATTTATTGTTTGCATATAAACTTCGAGAATAAGCCGAGTACATTTTCATCGAAGTGATAACAATGGATATTTATTGTAAACACTAAACAAAATGAAAATATATCATTGAGGAAAGTTTTTGATATGCTCGATGATAATAAGCGTAGTATTAAACAAACTTGAACTTTTCCAATCGTCTAAATTGTTATTTTTCCATTTGTGGTAGGTCACTTCGATTGTCGGACATCATTCCGGAGTCAATGCTGCGAACAAAATCGAATTCGGAGAGCAACGATGGCAAAGATGACTTGAGTGATATAACCAATTCGAATGAGAATTTGACAACATGTGATTTCTTCGTGGAGGAGAGTGTTGCATTGCAGGAAATGTTTCCAGACAGTTCAGCATTGGAGATAAAGCATTGTATTACAATTGCAAATGGTGATATTGATCAAGCAATCCAAATGATATTGGATCGTGAGGAAAAGGGTGAAAGTCTAACCGGAACATTGACTAGCAATCATGCAAAGCAAAAAATTGATGACAATGAGTTGAAGAATCGTATTATATCACGTTATTCGTATGTTGATCGTAGCACTGAAAGCAAAGAATATAAACCGGTTGTGCCAAAGATTGAACCGAAGAAAATGATTCGATATCGTGATAATAAAATTGTATCGTTGCGCGGCGAACGATACACTGAAGTGCGCAAAGGTCAAGAGGTTGAATTGCGCAAACCGAAGAAACAACATGTTACACCACCATAATCAATGCTCAACCACAACAACTACAACCACAATCACATTGCCACTGAACAGCACCATTTTACAAATATCACACGCAAAAAATTATACTACAACAATTCACCGCAATTCAATGCAACTAATTGTATTCAATATTATCTATATGGTAAATGTATTCAAAATGTGTTTAGAATTAAGACACGACTGCGTCGATACAGTTGGACAAAGGTTTTGCTGAGATAGAGAGTAATGTGAAAATATTCGGACGATCAATCAAAATTTGAAGAAAAAAACAAACAAACAAAATATATGCGTGAATGCAATAGATATGTATTAAATGCAATCCAAGAAAAGAAAAATGAATCTGCCTCAAAACAAAACGGCGCAGTACCCAAATATTGTACTCGCATCGATATCATTTATGTTTTCACATTCTCTTCACTGTCGTTGTGTGTAAAGGCAAAGCCAAATTTTTTTATAGATTTATTTAATCTCTATATTAATCTCATTGGACGTTTGGGTAGAATTTTATTCCTACTCGAAATGATCATATTGTATTCGTTAAATGATTTTACTATGTTTATAAATGACCCGAACCTCTTGACATGCATTTCAATGTGTGAGTGCTTTTGTGAAAACACCATTGACAATTTGACATAGTGGTTGCAGCACCATTGTCCGAAAATCATCGATTTTCATGAAAATGTTTGCTCACCGTTCGATTGAAAAAAAAAAGATAAAAAAACGATTGAAGATATACACAACTGATTATTGGTGCACAGTCAAAAATAGCAATAGCTACAAGATCTGTAGGGAACAAAAGTAAAACAGTATTTTTCTAAGACCGTTTCACTTCCACACATACACATACATTACACTAATGATGAATACCTACATTTCATTTGACGCTTATTTGAATTAGGATATTTCTCGTTCTTTTCGTCATTTTATTTATTTTTTTTTTTGCCAAAGTAATTTTTAGTTTATTGTAGTAAGTTTTTACATCACATATTCTTTTCGATATTTCTTTTTTTTAATTTTAAGCTAACATTTTGTGTTAGGCGTGCTTTTTTGCATTAATCATTTGCATTATTCAGATCTGTTTTAGAATCAACATATATTGTATACGTATGCTGGAATGACGTAGCCAAAATCAAAAACACCAGTACATCTTTTTATCATTAGTTTAACACTTTATGTTATCAATTGATTGATATTTTTAATGCGCCATTTAGTAATTATTATCACTTGGCGAAGAAACGAAAGAAAAAAAAATCGAATATATTCTCAAGTGAAAATTTGTTACTATTTGCTGGTAGTCGCAAACAATCAATAAAATTATATTAAGCTTAATTATACCAATATATATGAAAAACAACAAATTATAGTTGTATGTGGACATAAAATTATGCCAGCAATTCGGCTTTCACAATGTTTCGAATAAAAACCAATTTACTGTTTCTTGTGAATCAAAATCAGGCGTTTTATTTATTTTAAAATTGTCACATTTATTTATTTGGAACTTCTTACTTTTACAAAACTTCCTGACGCATATTTTGCTCTCTCTTGATTGCTACAGACACAAGAGACGGAGCCAAATGAAACATAAATTAAAAGGTGAAATAAATTAAATAAATATTTTATTCTCAGGACTTTTACCTCAATACAATTACATTTAAGACTTTTTTTTAAATAAATTTTTTATATAAAAGACTTAAATCTATTTCCATTCTTAAACAATTTTTTAGATTTATTTTCATTTGAATTTTGGGCAGTTTTTTTTTTTTTCGAAATTACACGTAGAAATAGCATGCTTCTTAATATCATACTCTAACATTTATTTAATTCCATCGCATTAGTGATGTCCGCCTTTCAAACTAATAACGGCTGCAAAAAGTGCAAAGAAAAATCCTGCCATGCCAGTCGAGCCCACCAATAGCACCAGTCCACCGATCAAAATTGGAATCAGCGCAAAAAATTTCAATTTATATGCAATCAATAATGGGATCAGGAATTTCTTAAACTTTTTCTTGATTTTGAATTTTCCTTTTTTACCACGACCTTCCATCAGCGGCGAATTTTCTGAAACGAAAAAAAAAATTTTTTTGGGTTAACTATTTTTGTTCCAATTCGAAATTATTTTTTATCAATATTGGCTGGTCCCAAGACAACTTGTATTTCGCTTCAATTACTAGCACATGGTGAAATGGCTTGCTCGCAATAATACTTAATAATTTTTTTTTATAAAATAATAAAATCTTAATTCAGCTCAATGGTTTTGATCGAAAAAAAAAATATGTTCTTTTGCTTCGAATGACCAGTTTCCGTGTTTACAATTGCAAACGAATTGAATTTCACTGCGTCATTCTGCAGATGAATTCACACACACATACATACAAAGCAAAGGTGTGTCATATAAAATTGGACACAGTTGATTTTAAATGGTTAACAAGCAGGCCATTCATGCAACAATGACCAAACAAATCAAATCTTCAAATTTATGAAGTGTAGAATGAATGCTACCAATCGCTGATCATTTGGATTTTGTAAATAAGTCATAAATTTCGGTAGATTTTCAATTGCACGAAATCGATAATCCCGTCAATATCGTTAAATGAAAATCCAAACAATATTACGATAATTGATAATTGGCCTCTTGTTAATGTTGGCAAATTGTTTTTATTTTCTCTTGCTTTTTCTTTCTTCATTTTCTAATTTTGATGATTTGCCATGCTCAAAGTGTCAGCACTAATGCAGTGGAAAATTATTCTTTCGTGTTGAAATAAAAGAAAAACGATTTCAAAATCGGATGTACAAGAACAATTTGTTGGTCGGTGAACGTGAAAGTGTGAAAAATACGAGGTGACAAACCGCCCGTAGTGTCATTCATAGAAATATCGCAAACGTTTCAATTTCCCGCTTGTTTTCTTTTTAACTTTTTGTTGCGTGACAAAGATGCGCCGAAATTCTTTTGACATTGAGTGAAAATGAAAAGAGACACATTTTGCGACAGTTCAATGGCAGTGCATACAAATATCGGCCATTTAATACAATAAACGTTTCTTCTAAAAATTCATGAACATTTTATGGTAATTCGTAACGGTATCAATGTGGAAGAGAAAGTATTTTTGTTCAATGTTATCGAAAAAATTATCATTTGTTTTTATGCAGCAAAAACACTGAAAGCCGAACGACAATGGACACATCTAAGGAAGGAAAAACAATCGACGTGATGATGGTATCTTGGTGTTAATAGCAAACATCAAATGAATTGATTTATTTGAACAAGTACTTTTTTTAGTTAAAAAAAAGGTTGATTGACGTGGCCTAACAATGTTCAAACGGTATTTATATATCTGTATCGACAAGTTCTCATTTAGAAACACAATAGATCACAGAAGTGTTGTTTTTGCACGGGTTGAAAGTAAAAATAGATTATTTTCTCATGCCCATTTCATTCGATGAATATGTGCTATAAACAATATGTGTTTGTTTGTTTTTTCGGGGCCACTCAATATGAAACGAAAATAAAGCAAATTTTCTTTTATGAAGAAAAGCAAATTTTGTTGAATCGCTTGTCGATAGGCACATTAAACAAAACCAATTTTAATGTGGGTCGATCACATACGCTAATAATGGGGTTCAGTTACCTTTTTAAGCCCATCAAAGAGGAAAAAATAGTTCTTCATACGTTATGGCGAATGTTATGCGTGAACATAAACAAAAACTACGTTTGAGCTTTAATGATTACAAATCAAATCCAATTGTAATGGTATCTCGATCATTAGACTCAGTTCCGGTGATCACAAATGTTTTATGAAAAAAAAATCTTTTAATCAATTTTCGAATTTTTCTTTCGAATAGCATTTTTTTCTTTTGAGCACACATCGCACAATGTGCGTATCTTCTAAACAGTTAGATTTAACATATTTTCAATGGCGAAAAAAGGCCGCCAATTTTGGGTGCGAGAGTCATACCGTGATTTCATTTATGCGACTAGCACGAATTCAACATTGAGCATTAGCACGAAGTTTTTGCATAAAAAAAGATAATAATTGGTCGTTAAGTGGTCGCGAACAGAAATTTACGCTCATGATTACATGCGAAAAAAAAATTAATGTATGCACAATGTACGACTACTTAATGAGCGCACAAAATTTCTCCATTTATTGGTGCGCGCGTCATTCACGACGCTACACAAGTGCATAAGCGAAAAAGTGCATATATGTGGAAAAAAAGAACAACATAATGCAAAGAGCCTAATAATAAAAGTGAGAAGCTATGAATAAAACAAAAATGATCATAAATCATGAAAATGACTTTTCTTTTGTTCGTGCACAGTTTACCAAAAAAAAAAACCACAGCAAATCGCTATCGACGTTGTAATTTATAAATTTGAATATGTCAAAGTGTGTAAGCTTACCCAATGTGAATAGGTTCATGATGTAGCTAACAAAATGTTGCATTCGATAGTAAAATCCCATAACCGATGATTTAATGCTACGAAATGTGGCGATGTATTGATTTTCCAATTTGTAAACTTCTGGCGCCCAAAATGGTTCACGGGTGACCTTTACTAGATGATTTTTGGACGATGGTATTGGTGGTGCAGCCGAAATATACGTATCACTTGGAATATTCGGAATATTTGGAACAGTCGGAATGTATGGAACGGGCTCAAGTTGTGGATAAAATGGTTGATTCAAATCCATTTGATGGATTGACTGATGATTGTTCGGCACATTTATCGACTGTGATGATGATGACGATTGTGATGGTGTCGCTTCATATTTCGATGTGGTTATTGCTATCGAATCATCGTAATATTGAAATTCTTTTGTTATGTGATCGCCAATGATCACCGGATTCGTATCACTGATCAAATTTGTGTACGATGTAATTGATTCAATGTCATCGGTTAATTTTCGTGATTGTTCTTGTACATTTGTTTGGCTGTTGGCACTTTGAGAACATTGGCATTGTGCAATTAAATCTAAACTACTGATTAACCACACATACTGGATCAGAATTTTGGTCATCATTTTCGGTAAACCCTTTGACAATAACATTTCTAATTTGTCACCGTAATTTTTAGCACGCATATCAACAATAGTTTTAAGTTTGAGTCAAAACAACAACAAAAACACAAAAAAATGTCTAACTGTAACGGTAATTTACATGGATTATTTAAAAAAGAAAAACAAGCAGATCAAAATGTCGATAATTTCGTCTCCAAGTCTTGATCTAAATCTTATTAAACCTCGCGCACGCAAAAAATTCAATCATCTCTCTTCCGTTCTATCATCATTCACTTTATACAAATTTTTTCGTCTTAGTTTTTCCACGGAAAATTAACAACAACAAAAAAAACCTACTCGTTAGGCCGTCGTTTAGCTGAGTAAAACTTTTTCAATTGTCTTTTAAATATTCACTTTATGTCAAAACACATAAAAACTTTTCGGACCAAATAACAACAATCTTCCGGTCTTACAAATTTTCATAGCTGATGCCAAAAAATTTTTTTTTACAAAAAATTGCCCGAAAAAAAAACGAATATTTCAAACGCAGAACATGTGAAACATAGTTCCGAACACAATGCCTATCAAAGTAAGACTATCATCGTTTGATTCCAATTTAAGAACTGAATAAGTTCCTCCGTTGTCAGTCACATTTTATTAAATTTTTCTTATGAAAAGTAACACACAACAGTAAGCGCCGCCGCGTACGGTACAAATTGTACAAAATAAAGGGTACGCGTGAAAGAGAGGGAAAGCAAGAGCACAACAGTAAACAACAGAAACCATGAAGTTTGTGCTAAACATACCGAATCCATTGAAGTCTTTTGAGCATTCACAAATACGTATACAACTAGCTATGGGTAGTGTGCTACACAAGATATGATCTAAACACATTTACCGATGATGAGAAGAGGCACTTCTTTTTTTTCTTCTGTCGAGCTAATGGTTCTGCATCAATTGTCGCGTCACTATAATTTTTATTTTGTGTTTTTATAATTCGCATCTCTTTTCGGATTGACGATAAAAGCCACACTCGACTTATTCTAGCTCATAATGTCGCCATTTACACGATTCGTTATTCATTGTTCAACTTGATCGACTCTCTACCTACAGTGTGTTCTTTTTCAAGTAAACTAACTCAACCATTCTTGAGATCAAATTTAAGAAAAAAGCCACATTGATTAAATGCAATTACGCGTGTATAAAAAATCACAACTGTATTTTCTGAACTACATTTGACGGTTGATTTTTTCGCCAGAAACAATTTCATTATTTCACACGAATTTAGATGCTAACACCCAATTTGAGACCTTATTACAGTAATTATATTCTTTATGTGTGGCTTTGGCAGAGCGATACATATAATAATATCTACGTTTGACATCGATATCCAAAAAGAGATGGTATCAATTGCTAGTCCACATATTTTTCTGGTATTTTTACAGGAGAAATAGAATAGCGTACTCTTGGTTCAAAAGACTTGATTTAAGGATTTCGCCGTCGTGACCTATTTGTGGTACAGCATCACTGATGTTCAAGGGAATTTTATTTCGTTTAAGGTGTGAAATTCACCGCGTCATTGTTCTTATGGAATAAACTTTAGATTAAAGTGATAAAAAAATGTGATTAGTTTTAATCAAAGCCTTTTGAACAAAACCACACCTAAACCCATTTGCATGTTTATGCAAATGTTCACGTCGAAAAATTTATTCATTTGTAGTTCTACGAAATAACAGCATTAAAAATAGTAAACAACTCTTGCTTTTTTGTGCATTTCGATTACGCATAATGCATAAAATTGTATTTGCAGTGAAATCTGTGCAAAAAAATAACAAAAATATGTTCGTTACAATATATTCATTACTTTGTCGTTAAAATCCAGATGAAAGCATCTAAAAAGATGATTCTTTGATTTGTTTTCACTTCCTTTGATGCGTCGTCTCTGTCTCAAATGTGGAGAAATCTGCTTTCGTTTTTTTCCCTATCGATTGTTTGAAATGCAGAAAACGTTGGAGATAGAGAGAGAGAGAGCGAAAGAAAGAGAGAGAAAGGAACAAAGAATAAGAAGAAGCAGAAAAATTGATAAACTCATAAAGATTCGCGAAGTAAATTGTGGATGAATAGATTATTGTGTAGTTGATTGAAAGTAGTGTATTTTGGATAGATTTAAATAGAAATGATGATAATAACGATTCGAAATGATCGACTAATGACAGAGAAGATAAGTGAAATTTGGTTTATGACTCTTTTCTCTTCTTTCAAAATTGGACCGAATCATAATAATAGATCTACAATTGGTTGACAATGAAATGCGTTCGCAAATGATGTGTTGATTTCCATGTGAAATTGAGAAGCGTCAGGCAATTTCAATGAACACCATTCGGATTTGCAATATGTCTGTCAAATCAATGTATTCAAATTTTAAGTGCCCATAGAGATTCATGCGCGAACATCGATTTTTGTCGCGAGTAAATAATAAACGAAAGAAATTGCAATAAATGTTCACTTGTTTTCACTTTGGCCATTGTTTCTGCAGTGCAAAAGAACATGAATTGTAAATAACGATACACAGTGAATTGGCATACCCATCACTTTCATCGGTCAAAGATCCACATAGATCGATATCCAGTCTTGTGATATGGAGTAGCTTCCATGAATACCATGCTTCCTGATAATCTCCATAAATGAAACAATTAAACTAAACAAACCGAGGTCAAACAATGCCACAATTTAATTAATCATGTAAAACGATCAAAGTACTACACGTGCACTTTGAAATGTAAAACAATGTTGGCACAGATTTGTTGTTGTTGTGGTTTTTGTCCAAAAAATCTCACTTTTTATTTATCAACGACGATTGTTTCCAATGAGCGCACCACTCGACTGTGAAAATTCGCTCAACTGTACTCGGTCATTAAATCAGTTTTTCGTCGAAATGATGCATACGCAAGCCAACCATCTGCCTATAATATGGGACTCGTTCCATATTCTGAGCACTTCATCTCAATTGTTGGCATAATATGCTACGCACTACACGCAATGATTTCATTTATGTACATTTGTGGCATAGAAACATGAGTTCGATTTTAAGACCAAATTAAACCGTCTTAAATTTGTGGGCATTTAACAGTAATCTAATTTTAAATTTCGGTAAAAACACACGTACAAAGTAGGCAATTTATGTCGGAAGATTTGCACGAATCCATCCCACATAGAATTTTGTTAGACATGCTCAGTTTTATGCAGAGTCATCAATTTTGTGCCCGAACACAAATTAATCACATGATGACTTCATTTTTTTAAACGTTTAGTCGTGAACGGTTACCCATTCTTCTTGAGGTGTGTAGCATTCAACAGTGAGTGTATTACAAAGCCACGCAAAAAAAATATAACCAAGAAAAACAGTTTGAAGCTCAAAGAAAGTATAAGCTTGAGATGAAAGTATTTGCTTTGCAGTGTGGTGAAAGTTCTGCACTCAAGCTTTTAATCGCTATGATGTTCAGCTACCAACACCTTCTTCAACACGATGGTTTGAGAGCTGGCAAACTGTTACAAATGTGTTGCATGAATGCAGGAGTATAATTACATGGTTGCCGAGGCTTTAAGAAATAGCAAAAAAGTGTTTTGAAGGAAAGAATGAACATCAAGACACTATTTTTAAAAAAATATTGCCCCACTGAGTTCAAAGCGAAAATGACTGCAAAGGTTTTTCGTTAAGATTTTTGCAGCAAAACCTTTGATGTACTACAATATTGAATTGTTGACAGGTTTTCACCGACTTTCTTGATTCCCAAGCTTCTTGATTCACGTGCAAAAGTGATTAAAACAAAATCATGACACTAAAAACTTTATATGTATATATTTATTATACATCGAAAAAGAAAATGTTACTATCATTTCTGACATTTTTAATTGAACACTGATTCAACCTCATATTTTCAAAAAAGAATGGCATTTTCGAAAAAATAATATATTGATTGATTTGTGCCTCATATTTTTTATGATTATTTGAAAATGATTTATCGAATACTTGTCGATATAAGTGCTCGTTTTATGTTCGAAAAATTGATTTTTTTTTAATTATTTAAATCGAGTTTTATATTCTTACTTCCTTCTTTGGAAAGTTTGAAGCAAAAAAAAACTTGCTTCCGTAAATCACAGAAAATGGATTCATGTCTTATTAATTTTTTTATTACTCGTAATAAATGTCAGCTTAAGGCAATACTTAGTCATTTCAATCAGCAGAAAAAAATACTGTAAAAATCAACAATCAAATAGCAAAAAGAGACACAAATGGCTTAAATGATTTATTAATTGTTTTTATTCGAAAGAAAAAAAAGTTTCGTTTGCTTCATTTGAAGTGTGAAAGGTACATGTTCTCTATTGCTTTAGAAAATACAAAAAATATCGTTAAAAACTAAACTGTCTACAGCAAATATAAAAACAAATAAATGAAAACCGTATTTTGAGAATGGTGTCTGTGTGTGTGTATGAGTGAGTGAGTTAGTGATTTGTACGAGTCTAACTAAAACGATGAACGGAAATACGAACACTGATCCGGATATGTTCAAATGCAAGCTCTGGTTTTCTTCTCTTTCATAGTGTAATCAAATAAATTAACATTTTACTGTTGTCGAAAGCTGAAGAGAATCGAACGAAAGTAGAATGATTGCGAAATTTGAACGAATTTTCTCTCACTTTGAATTTTATTTCTTTTAGCTCATTTTACATATAAATGTGCAGCGCAAAAAAAAATCTCAATTTAAATTGAATTAGGTCAAAAAATGGCTTCATTTCCTTAATAAACTAAAAAAAAAATATTGTATTCGTTAAGAGTATTTTTCATCGTCCAAAAAAATGTTTCGTCCTTCTTTTTTCCATGCCATTTCCCATTGGTGCTATTATAATTTTTCCCTCCTGAAACTGTCAAATTGTTGATTGCAATAAAAGCCTTGCTCTATGAATATCATATACTACAGTATAAAAAGGGAGAAACATAAAGAAACTTAAGGAAGAAAAAATAGAAAACAAAACATTTTCTCTTTCGCCAAATAACGAATAGACACAAATAAATACATAATAAATAAATAAATAGAATTTTCTTAAAAACTACTGCATAAATAAATATGATGAAAAGCAACTGTTTTGTTTTTTGAATATTACAATGAATGCAATGTCTAATAGTAAGTTAAAAAAAATGCTGCTTAAATTTTGTGTTCCAACTGTGAACTGGAGTTGCGAGCAAAATTCGCAGCAATTTTCGATGAAATTTTAAATTATTCGGTTTTGTACGAATAGGCATTGTATGCAAGATTTTGAGCTTCGTTCGAGCGACGATCCCATCCGCCGCCGCCACCACCATGACCGCCAGACGATTGCCATCCTCCACTTGAGCCACCAGACGACCATCCGCTTGAGCCACCACTATTTTTGCTCGACAATAACTTCTTAATACCGATGATACCGGCCAACAACAATGCTATCTTTGACACAATCAACGCTTTTCCAGCCAATAAATACAAGCCGGCAATCGCGACTGGAACTAATGCAGCCATTTTCATAGCAAATCCCATCATCATCATGCTCATCATCTTCTTCATTTTACCACGACCTGAAAAGAAAAGAAAAAAAAAACCGTTCAGTTGTTTTAGATTGTTGCATAAAAAATGACATTCTCATTGCTAGATCTAAAACAGAAAAAAAATATGTGTCATCATTGTTGAATTGAATTTTATCAAAATATCAAGTTTTATTGCACAATTTCGACCGTTCCATATGTACGATGTGACAAAACGGTACATCGCGCCATACATTTGTTTTAGAACAAAGATCTGCCACGGATTATGCGAAACTGATAAATATGCTCTGATCCACTGACTTATATAACGCACACCAGTGAATAATTGCTTACATCGTGTGTGTGCACGCAATTCAAAGAGTTGCACAACCATGGTACAATTTTGGCTAGTTAAAAAAACATCGTACATGTACATGATTGCCACAATTCCGTCAAAAAAATGATGTTGACGATGAGCTCGATTTGGTTCTAACGCATAAATACACATTAAAATTGAAATCACGTGCACGAAATCTCACAACATAGCGGTTTTTTTTTCTTGTTTCGGTATATCTTTTTTTCTTCCATAAAAAAGAATAAGATTCAACGCGAATTGTTGTTAATGCGAGAAGTAATCATGTCGGTTATTTTCTTGAAAATGTAATTGTTTTTTATTTATTCTGTTCTCGTGAACTTTGATGAATAATAGTGTTGTTTTGCCTTTAAAATGAAGCAAAACAAATTATCCAAAGTTTATTTGCTCTACAAATAAAATTACTATATTCGTGCTGTTTCGCCGTTTGACGCAATGTTTTATTTCGCTCAATGTGACAAAATGAAAATCAATTAAATGGCCGATTTGATGTGATAACTGTG